TGCAAAGAGAATGGTAGGAGAAGATTACTTCCTTGCCATATTGCATCTCAGTCTGGAAATGTGGAGATTTTGGAATTTTTGATTGACCACGCTTGTAAATATTATCTGAATAATAGTACAAAACTTCAACAGTTGAGTGAATTTAACAATGCATCTATTTTCAATAATTCATTGAATGAGTTCATAAAACAATTTCTTTCAATCAAAACCCAAGATGTAAATAGTCAAACTCCACTTCACTTGGCAGTTCGGGAAGGTCACACTTCTTGTGTAAAACTATTACTTGAAAAGGGTGCTGATCCACTTTCAGTTGATCATATTGGTAAAACAGTAGTTGATTATTCAAGAATGAACTTTATTAATAAGCATGTTATCATTGAAGAATTGCAAAAGTATGTGGATTTTGCAATCTTACCTCCACTAGAACCAATACCTATCATTCCAAACATTGCTGAGTCAGAATCTATTGAAGAAGAAATAATTGTAAATCAAGAACCAGAGCTACAATCTGAATCAAGCAATTCTAATCAAGAACAAGATGAAGAAAATGAGAACATTTATTTTATGTGAAACCTTCTTATGAGACAAGTATTTTTGAAATGGCACTTTCTAGTTTCATCCATTTTCAAATGGTTGATGTATTGAAGACACAACACAATAAAAAATGGCCAAAAGAAAGACACCAAAACCACTTGCCTCTCTTCGAATTCTCTCCTATTCCGATAAGAAGAAACTTCAGTCTCAACCACAATATAGAACCAGACGTTCAAAGCCACCAATCGATTGGGAATTAACCATTTACAAATGTGATTCCTCTCAAATGTCTTCTGATGAATTTGTTACAACCTACTATCAGACTGATCCTAAAAACCCTGCATTGGAACGATTTGATGAGATTGAACTGACTGATTTTCTCTCCAATCATTGTGACATTTATCTGGAACAACTCAAGCCAATTCCATCATCTGTTTCAGTGGGAAACTCCAAGAAGAATAATCCAAGAGCAGAGTTTGAAGCCAATGATACCAATTGGTTGTCTGAATATTTCGAAGATATCTCATTTGCAAGTTTTGATTCACTTCCTACCAAATACACAAATTGTGTTCTCACTGTAAATAACCCAATTTTAAAGAGAATGGTTTGTTATGGAGATGATGAAGCCGTGTATTGTTTTGAATTACAACTCTAATACTAAAATTGTATTCTTTTTTAGAAGTGTGAATTGATTCTTTTGGTGGTGTCAGCTGTCTGTTTTAGACATTAAAAAAAATACAACAATGCCTGTTTCTCAAGATTTGGAGGAAAAAGTGAAAAGTATGTTTGGTTTCATACCAAACAGTTTAGCAGAAATGTGCAAAGATCCTTTCACCATACAAGTTTACCTTCAAGGAATTAATTTAAAGAAGGAGCATGCCACTCTCACATTTATCCAACGTCACATTGTTGAATATATTGCTTCATCAATGAATGGTGATGAATACTGTACACAAATGCACGCCAAATTCCTGAAAACTAAAGCAGGATTTACCAATGAAGAATTATTGGAAATGAAATATGGAGGATTACCTTCAGCTAGTTCTCATCCCGATGTTATTCCCATCATCAAACTTGTCCGTACCATCATCAATAAGAAAGGGAAATTATCACAGGAAGATATTAGTACATTTGAAAATATGAAAATTACAAGGGATCAAATGTATGAAATTATAACATCAATTCATCTAAAATCCATACAAAATTATGTAAATAATTTGTCGAATCCAATCTTGGATGAACGTTTCTGTGATAATGTTTCTCAAACAACAACAACACGAAAATAAATCATCACTTTTAAATTAGTATCTAAATATGATCAGGAAAATTGGATATTAATTTAAATAATAACAGATAGAATATAATATTTAATAATTATTTACAGATCCGATCATTGCAAGTTTAATTTTCTGACCAGATCAAAAGCTCATTCAATGTTCGCTTTTTATTTATCGCGCCATCTGAATTTGGCGCCTCAAATGTACAAGTAAATTTGAAAAACGGTAAGGTTAAAAAAATGAATCAACAACAACAATTGAGGTTGCCGCCTCCTCAATCACCAGGAATCATGATGCAAGAACAACAACAACAACAGCAGGCGAGAGGAAGACCAAACCTAACTTCGTATTATAATAGTAGCATTAATAATCAATATCCAGTTCCATCAATGCCTCCCTCTCCGAGTAATTTTGGAGGAACACCAAATGGGAGATTAATGTTTGGAAAACCAACATCATCAACACCAAATTCTTCAAATAATAATGGAAGACCATCTTCTGCTCAACCAATGAGAACTGTTTCCAGACAAGAAATTAACAATAACATGAATAGAATGAATAATAGACAGCAACGTCCAACGAGTGCATCACCAGCTGCCGTAAAGAGTGCTCACTTTACGATGGGAGGAACAGAGCCACTTAAACCAAGTGAGAGAAAAATTGGAAGAAAGCACTTTGTCAATGCTCCAACAATTATTACAACCACAACTTCATCTTCTGATAAACTTGATGTAGCAGAGACATTGACAATGACATCTTCAGGTCTAAGGACATCAAAAAGTGATTTGGATAAACCATTCCACTCTCTTTACCAAGCTTATTGTCGAAGAATAAGAATAGAACCTTTGGAATTTATTGTAGCAAACAGTTTAACAAAAGGTCTGTTTGAAATTGATCTCGACTTGATCCCACAAGAACATTGGAAGAGATGTTTGGCTGCTCTCAAAAACTCTCGTCAATCCTTCAATTCCATTAGAATTGCTTGGGGTGAATCAAATTATGTCAGAGATTTCTCAACCATCACCAACAACAAACCTAAGACTACATCATCCTCTCCATCTCTCCTCTCCATCAAAGAATCCATGCTGATCCATCAAATGAGAAGCACCAATCAGTTAGAAAGAAAGACAAGCTCGAGGTCTATTAACCTTGTCGATCCAATTACATATGCTGACTCGCTAAAGTTTGTCAGAATTCTTGCTCCCTGCTTTAGTGCATTTTTGTCAAAATTGGAAATTATAGGAATACCCATCTCAAAACAATGTACATCTTTCATGCAAAAAGGTCTGTTAGAAGCAAAGAGTTCACTGAGATGTCTTTCATTAAAAAACACAGGTCTTGGAGATGAGGCTTTCAGAGATATTGGATGCCTGCTTACTCAATTCATCAAATTAAGCAAGTTAACAGTGAGTGGTTGTTGCCTTTCTGATGACAGCTCCCAATACATTCTCAATTTAATGAGGGAAAGAATTAATCAAAAGAGCCATGAAGCATGGTTAGTAAGTTTAAGAGGAAACCAGGAAGCCTATGATAGTATTGAAGATTTGACATCGTTGGATCTTTCTGATAACTATTTCTCTGATTCTACAGCTAAAGCCATGTCTCATATCTTGTATGATGATCAAACGTTGAAAAGTAAGTTATTTGTTTTAGCTCTATCTTACAATATTCCTTTTTAGAATTGAATTTAAGTAAGAATATTATTGGTGTAACTGGTATTTCATTATTCTTTGATGTGGTAGTTCACAATGAAGTAATTGACTATATTGACTTGAGCGCCAACTTTGGTGTAACAGAATTTTCAGAAAAGTTTGATTCTCACACTCTGTTCACCAATTTCTTCGATTCACACGACTTTATATTCCAAAGAATTTCTAAAAGGAAAAAGAAAAAGACCTCTGAAGGTGAAGAAAAAACAAAAACCTCAAAGAATGGGAAAAAGAAGGATTCCAAGATTGTTAAACTCAAAGTACCATCCAAGTCTGATAGAGATGCTCATCAAGAACTCGAATCCCTTGCGTCTGATTCACTCTCGCCAAGGTCAGACGAAACAGATGAAAGTGGTTATGAAAGTTGTACAGGTAGAATTGAAGGAAATGACAAGAAATCAAAAGAGGAAGAAGAAAAGGAGAAGAAGAAGGCTGAAGAGAGAGAAGAAAAAACTCTCAGGTTGAAGCGTGAGTCTGAGCTCATTAACATGCAAATTGAATTCAAAAACATGGATGATCTGTTGGTGAAACTCAAAAAGAACAAGTTTGAAAATGAGAATAGAATTCAAAGCCAAGAGAGAAGTCTAACAGATCTCCAACAAGCACTTGTACAACTCACTCAACTTGTGAATGAACTTCAAGAAGAAAAACAAACCTTAAACAAGCAACTAATTGATACCAATGAGAAACTGGAAAAGTCGCAAACCAATGTACAGTCGCTAACTTCTATAGTGGAAGCAAATTCCAACTCTTCGAAAAGGAAGGATTTCATTCAACCTGACATTCATATTGATCCATCCCTGAAACCATCTCAAGTTGCAAATGAAGATATTGCATTCAGAATTACAGAATTATTTAATAAGAAAAAATAATATGCAACAGTCACGGGAGTATATTATGAAAATCTAAGCAATTAAATCTAGGAAGTGTAAATAAATATTTAAAGTAATAATTATTTGTAAATTTCAATTAAATACATAACAAAAAAATGAGTGAACAATTACCTGAAGTCACCTACCGATTTTATGAAGGTGAAAAAGATTTGGACTTGATTAAACAAATTATGGATATTCATCTGAGTGAACCATACTCTGTTTATACATATAGATTTTTTGTGAATGAATGCCCAAAGCAAACTGTTCTTGCTTTTATTGATGGAAATTTCGTCGGAGCTTGTGTTGGAAAAAGTGAAATGCACTTGGGAAAAACAATGCGTGGATATATTGCCATGTTGGCTGTTGAAAAGGAACACAGAAAGAGAGGTATTGCCACAGAATTGGTAAAACGAGTGATTGAAGAAATGAGATTAGCAGGATGTGATGAAGTTGTTTTGGAAACGGAATTAACCAATGCATCAGCTTTAACATTTTACGAAAGATTAGGATTTGTCAGGGATAAGAGATTACACAAATATTATTTGAACCAGGGATGTGCTTTCCGATTGAAATTATATCTGAAAAACACAGTCCAACAACAACAAGAAGAAACCAATTAAAATTTAAATGATAATTTATACAAGTTCAACATCGTCACCATCATCATCGCTGTCGGCAGCAAATTGATTTAAAACAGCATCATCTTCTTCATCATCAGAATCTTGTTGTTTAACATTCTTTTTCGATGTCACAGACTTGGATGGAGCTGATTTTCTTGTAATTTCTTCTTCGACATCATCTTGCATGGTTTCTTCTGTTTCTCCTTCCTCAATTGAAGCACCTTCTTTGTCTAATTTCATCCTTCGTTGTAATAATTGTCTATTGTAAGCATTCTTTCCTCTTTGGAGCTTCTTAATGTATTCATAAAGCTTACGCTTCTTTCTTGAGGCCATAAGCTTACGCATTTCAATTTGCTCTTGTTCCTTTTCTTCCTTCTTGTTCTTTGGTTTGTTGGACAACTTTTGAAGTTGAACTTCGTCCTTTGACTTTTGCTTGGACTTCTCCAATTCTTGTTGAACATCTGTAAACTTTTTACCTTCCATTTCAGCCATGAATTCAATTTGGTGTCTATCTTCTTCTTCATCACTGTCATCATCAAGATCTTCCAAAACTTCAGCTTCTTCCTGATCATCTTCCACATCTTGTTGGTATTGTCTCTTGATTAATTTCAATTCCTTTTCAACCATAGATCTGATTTCTTCGGCATACTTTGGCATGTATGTATCCTTCTTATATTCAACAAATGGAGAGAGATGAGGTGGGAGTTTCTTACCAGGAGCATAAGGTTCAACTGGTAATTTAATCATTGCATTGACACTATCAAAAAGGTATTGAGGTTGAACATATTCACGATCCTTGATCATCTTTTCTGCAGGAACCTTTCTATCTACAACCATATGTGTAATTTTATCATAGGTTTCATCAAATGGAGAATCTTCCGAAGCCCATCCACATTCTCCTCCAAATGATTTAACAATAAATTCTAAAGAGGCCTTTGGACATTCTCTAGAGAAGTAAAAGACCATTCCTTTGAACATTCCTTTAAACTTCTTCATGAAAACTTCCTCTGGTGTGGATTTCTTATTTTCTTCTTCTCCTTCAACAGCAGGTCCAGAAACAGAGCTCAAATCAATCTTTTCCTTCATTTCTTCATCTTCTGGGAGATCAATCAAGTATGATTTATCATTCTTTGTAGTATAGTTTGGTGGATATTCCATATTATTGTCGAAATATAACTTGTAATTGATAAATGTCAAGAGGGTAATGTAGAATTGCATGAAACTTCTGAAAATGTTAAAATCAATATTTTCTGGAATTACTTGTGGGAAATCATAAGGAACAATCCAAGTGACATCAACACCTTGAACGTTAGCTTGATAGTAAATACCCTTAAATGAAAGGAAAACTTTTCTTAAACTGTTGGTTTGACAAACAAGTGAACAAAATTCATCACACAATCTCTTGGCGTTTTCTGACATTTCAGCAGTAACTTTACCCAAACCAGCTGGTAATTGAGTGAACATGAACAAAATGCACAAACAATCGTTCAAATCATTAAGAGCAGCTTGGAATGATGGATATCTTTCCTTTACAAGATGGTCATAAGTGAATTCTGGTTCCAATTCCTGTAAACGTTCAAAATGTTCAATATCACCTCTTCCTTTAGCTTTGGAAACTCTTCTCAAATATGTTTTATATTCTCTCAACTTATCAATCAGTGGATCGTGAGCAATAAAGTTAATATCCTTCTTGTAATAATAAGTTTTATCCTTTGCATATTTAGTAGCGTTTTTAGCCTTTACGTTTTTCTCTGGGACTTTAGGGTGAATACCTTTCAGAATGAGCATGTGTCTAAAGTTTGCTCTAGATAATTGAAGTCTTTCTTGAGCAGTATTCTTTGCCAAATACTTGACCTTGGTCAAATCCTTGGTGGCAAAAAAGTTCTTTTGTGGTGCTTTACCCATTTTTATATACTATCGTGTTATTAACAAAATATTGTTGAGTTGTGGTTGTTATAGAAAATAGGCTTTGTCCGTGATGATAAAAAAATAACTCGGTAGTTTAAACGACAAAAGAAATTGTTGCTAGCTTGTTGTTGTTACGTTATTTTTTTTGAAGCAAGAATGAATATTTTTTCATCAATTTTTCATCAAATTGTTTGAACGGAGAGATTCAGCATCATAAAGTGCAACAAATAGAGCTGCAGTTGTTGATGAATTAAAAGCTTTTTCAGTTCAATACATGTTACCTTACTAGTTGAATGCATGGTTTGGTTAGAAGTGTTTTGAAAGATATTGAAAAGAATGATTTTTTTTATTGTTCAGATGACGATTCTTCTGTCTTGTTTTCTCTAGATTGTTTCAGTTTCTTATTGAGGGATTCCAAAGTAGTGCATTCACGAGCTAGTTTGAAAATTAAGTGATTGGTTTTAGTGGATTTTTCAATGAGTTTGTCCAATTCGTATTTCAAGTCATATTGTTCTCGTTTTCGTTTCTTGTTGATATTTTCAATTTCTTGTAAAACTTGAGTCTTTTCTCTTTCCAATAATTTAATTTGTTTTTGAAGATATTCATTGGCTTTTCTTAGTGATTCCTCTCCATAATTCTTAGCTAATTCAGTATGTATACAATTATGATAATAATACAATGGTTCATTCTTTTTGATAGTTTCCAAATATTCTTCCTTTTCCTTCTCTGAAAAGAATGGAACAAATTCTTGTTTTTCGATCATTTGTTTATAATGTTCCGATAAGCCAGTTGTAGAATTAGAAAATTGAGGTTCATAACTTGATGTTGTATTCGGATGATATTCCTCCATCTCACAATTCTTCATTTCCTCCTTGATCATGTTATCAATTTGTCTTTTTAATATTTCAACTTGAAATTGATGATATTCTCCCTTTGATAATGATGAATCGGATACACCTTCCTCCTCTTCAGAACCTTGAAAATAGGACGACAATGGATGCTTTACGCAACACTCCAATCGATCCACATAACTCAACGCATCCAAAATATTCTCCTTCAACGATGATGACATTTTTTAATATTTATTAATTTAAATAAAATTCCCTCTTGATGCTTGTTCAATAAGAGGGAATTGGCTAACAACTAATAATGTACTTTCATCATCAACCTATCGGAATGATCAATAATATGACCATCATAATGATGATTATCCATTGATACCTTCAAACTTGTTCATTAGTTTTTCCGAAGGGAATATTCAATCATCGAGGTAGAATGGACTCCACTGAACGGGCGTTCAAATACAAAAAAAAAATATGTCTACATCAACAACAGACGATCAAGTATTGATTAAAATTGCATCGGAAGAGGAATTTTCTCAATCGGTTGTTAGTTTGATTACATCGTCATCATCAAGTGCTGTGAATGGCGTTGTTGTACACTTTTGGGCTGAATGGTGTGCACCATGTTTTGAAATGGATAAGATTTGTGTAAATCTTGCTCAAAGGTTTACCAATATTAAATTCTATAAGGTATGGTGTAGTTAATTATGTGATAAATATATTTAAAATAATAATTAATAATTTAATTGTAAAATAGGTTGAAGCCGAACAATTACCAAATCTTACTGAACGATTCGGAGTTCACTCAGTGCCAGCTTTTGTCTTTTTACCATCAAATCAAAATGCATCTAAATTATCTTTCACAGTTTTGGAAGGTGCTAATCCACCTGAACTTTCAAAGAGAACAAAGGCTCTCTCTGAAAGTGTCAACTTGCCACAAACTCAACAACAACCAGCAGGAGGAGGTACTGATTTAACTAGTAGAATTAAGAATTTGATCAATCAAACTCCTGTTGTGCTTTTTATGAAGGGTAATCCATCAACTCCAAAATGTGGATTCAGTAATCAAATTGTGGAAATTTTGCGTAAGGAAAACATTACTTTCTCTACATTCGATATTTTGAGTGATGAAAGCGTTAGACAAGGATTAAAGTCCTATTCAAATTGGCCAACTTATCCACAATTGTACGTTAAGGGAGAACTTATTGGAGGACTTGATATTGTAAAGGAAATGGCTCAAGAAGGAAGTCTCTGTGAACAACTTGGTCTTGAACCTGAGGAAGATTTAAATACCAAATTGAAACGTCTCGTTAATCAAGCTCCTGTCATGCTCTTCATGAAAGGATCTCCAGAGGCTCCAAAATGTGGATTCAGCTCCAAGATTGTTGCCATTCTCAATAATAATAATGTCAAATTCTCTTCATTTGACATTTTGAGTGATGAAAGTGTTAGACAAGGATTGAAGACTTATTCAAATTGGCCAACTTTTCCTCAACTTTATTCTAAAGGAGAACTAATTGGAGGACTTGATATCGTTAAAGAATTGGCTGATAATGGAGAATTGTTGGAAAATCTCGAATAAATTATTTATTGTTATTTTAATCAGTCTTTTCCTTATCGACCTTCTTTAACAATGTCAGTAACATAATAAGAATGGAACAAACAGCGGAGCAAATCAATGCATAACCATAAAGTGTAAATCTGAAATGCATGGTGCTGTATGCTGCAGCAAGTTCGCAAGCAACCATGATGAGATAGTGTCTAAAGTTGAATTCCTTTGTTAGAGTTGTTTGATTAATGAAAATCAAAACAAAGGTAACCAGACATGGTAATAAGGAAACAGGATTGATCATGTTTGCAAAACGAGCTGGAGGAATAGTTTGAGTGAATAACTCAATACCCTTGAGGGCTGTCTTGGAAATATGAATCATTTCCTTCCATTCCTTAATCCAAACAATACATGAAGGTAGAAGAATAATTGTTGAGATAGAGTGAAGCATCAAAAAGGCGCTCTTCAACGACTCATGTTGAGCATCTTCACTAGATACAGCCATATTCAATAACATCAAAACGAGAGTGAATAAAAATCCTAATCCAATATGCATATACTTATGAACTCCATATGCAATCAAGAGAGAGCAGGCAATGATGAAAATACTTGATGTGAAAACAAACTTCAACAATCTGGCAGGTAAATAGAGAATTATCATTACAACTCTCAACAAAAAGTAAAGAATGTGCAAAATGGAGAAGGCAGTAATTAAGGAAAGAACTATATAAATTGGCTCACTTTCGTGATAGGTCATTGTGTCAGCTTGTGGCAAGTCAAGGTGAATATTCACCAATTCAATGAGTACAATAACGAATCCTCTGGTAAATAAGGAAACATTGAGGGCTTTGTGGAAAGAAACAGTAAAATTGTTCCAGGCCATAAAGGAGATTGCGAATAAAATAAGTGAGAATGCATTGGATGCAATTGTTGTTGAGTAGTGATATCTGAAAAACATAATCAAAGTTGTGAAAATGTCAATATTCAGAGTAGCTTCAGCATTGCTTACATCTCCATTCGATAATTCACATCCAGAAATGAATTCAATTTGGAACTTTGAATGATTTCTATTACTTTCAAAGAATTTGAGTTTGTAATTTGCCAAGTTGGAGGAAAAAGGTTCAATACGTTCCTCCTTTCCGTCGTGTGATTTGATCTTGATAATACCATCTACCAAATTATTTTTACAAAAATGTTGAACTCTTAATGAATAGGCAAATTGTGGTCTAACTCCTGCAAAGTTGACTTTCAAATGATTTGAAATTCTGCTCAATAAAAATGGATAAGGGTGGAAACCAACATGTGTAGACACAGTCACTTTAACATCATGAACCACCAATTGACTAGCTCTTTGACTATCTACAATAATGTAGTCATAGTCAGAAACGTGTTTTTTCTTTAAAGTGACAAAGGATTTGACTTTCTTTGGAGAAATTCTGCTCTCATCAATATCGTTATCAGATCCAACAACATCAAAGAATGGAAGTGAATCAATGTGATCGTGAATGAGAACTTGTGTGGAATTTGTCTTTACGAAAACCAACTTGACCTCTGACTTTAAGCCAGTAAATAAGAGTGAAAATTCATCGACTTTTTTGAGGATATTCTTCACATGAATCACTGGATTTGATGAAGTGAGTGGTGAAGATACGGAGACAGCCTTTGCAAGATTATACTTGCTAATGTCATACTTCTTTGGTGGGTTATTGTAGAATGAGAGCTCGGAATTCTTATTAGTGAAATATTTTTCAAATATCTTGACCTTCTTCTTGGTTGACAAATCCATACCACCTTCATAGGCATAATGAACTAAAAATTTGGCAATAGGAAGAATAATTTGTTTACACCATGTGATAGCTTGATGATCAGTTGAGCAATGAGTATTTGGAACTGAGGTTGTAGACATGATATGGTAGAAATTTGAATTGTTTTTTCCAAGCAAAGGATTTCCAGTGAGATCACTTCTAATTAGCTCATCATGCCAACCACCTCCAATCGAGAAAATATCAACCTTTGGATGTGGCAAACGAACCAATTGTTGATAGAATAAATCACTATCCCTGTCCAATAAGACTGGATGTCTCTTGAATGGAGTACTCAAAGTAATTAGTGTTCTAATTGGGAGAATATCCTTTACAGTTAAAGCACTTGCTGCCTTTAAAACAATACCTCCCATACTGTGTCCAACTGCAATAATTTCCTTTGGTTTGTTTTCCTCAGAAGTATAAAGTGATGTAATATATTTCATAACTCCCCTGACATATTTAGCTTGTCTCACAAGCACATCTCCACTCAAAGCACTCAATTGTTCATTGAAATCCACAAGAAAAACATCAAAATCTTGAGGCAATTTGGCCTTTTCCACATTCTCTCTCAAAAAACTTCCTTGAAACATGTCCAAATAAACTCTATCTTGTAATTGATACTTTTCCAATCTAGAAATAAATTCAAGTGGTGAAACCCCAAGAGCACGTCCCTGTTTCATCGATCCAGAATTTCCATGCACAAACAAAATCGGAATTCCCCTATAATACTTTGATTTTGGATCCAACTTTTGTTTTCTCTGCTGATCAATATCATCAACAAATCGATACAAAGTATAGGGAGGTGATTTATCATATTTAGATAAAGTACTCGCATTAGAATCATCTTCGCCAATATAATTAAAAGGCAGAGGAATATAATTCGGTCTCATCCACGACATGATACACTTGTAGGGTTCATCCTCCGATTGGTGAGAATAATTTTCAATCCAATAGTAGTACAATACCCGACCAGCTAGGAGAAAAATCAGCGCGAAGAGTAGGCTGCCTAGAACGTGTAAAAGTTGTGAAGCTTTGGACATTTTTTTTTAAAGTTTAATATTTAATATTATTTAATAATATTTAATAGTATTACAAAGATTACAAAGATGCATGCTATTAAAATTGAATTAATTATGAAAATTGAACTGTACATCATAGAGAGGTCGTTTCTCATTGATTCTAAATTTCATGGGTGCTTTATATCTCTTTAAACAAATCAAATTCCACATCTTGATTTTGCTCTCTGTTTCATCCATGCTCATTGTAATGGTTTTTGATATTTTCTTAATTTCAATTCCTTCCTCTTTGTAATTAATTTCACATTCCATCATGTCAATAATTTTGTAAATTGAATAGTTGGAATAAACAACTTTTCCTTTACCTCCAAATTCAACTAGATAGTGAAGGGGAGAATAAGGAGCAATTTCACCTTTTACTTTTAACAAGATGAGTTGATTGCTATTTCTGGGAAAGTAAATCATTCCATGCACAAGTTTCCTCTTCTTGTAAAGGAATTTTCCATACATAAACTTTTTAATATTTAGAGTCACATCCACAATCACCAATTCATTCTCAAGATTTTCAATTTGAAAAAACTTTTCATCCCTCATATTCATAACTGAAATAATGGCAAAGTTTGAATTGAGTAAGGTACAAATTTCATTTAATTTTGCCAAAATTGGATTAATAATTCTGTCCTTAATATCCTCATCCGATTCCCTGCTCAAAATATCTTGATATAACAAACTATATCTGGGCATTCGTCCACAAAACAAATGTGCCAATTGCCTTCTCAATTCAGGTTGACAAAGAGCAATGTAAGTGGAGAGAAAACCATCGATATTTAGCATTTTAATTAAATTTGATGTAAATTCTTCTAATAAAAATTGATAATTATCGGGATTAATGGTTTTAGAATAGTTTGAAACTAATTGAGAGTTTGGCGAGATGAAATTTTGAAACTTTTGTAAATGTGATTTGTAGAATTCAAACTGGGGTGATTTATCTGTCAGTAAGAGAGCAAATTGTATATGTTGAATGAAGGAAACTTCCGTTTCGAATAATTCACTCAATATATCAATCTTGGTTCTTGGCATTTTTTAATTATTTTTATTGATAGGGTGACAGGAGATCAAGAATACTTCTATTTGAATGAGAGTAAAGATCCAGTACAAAATTTAACTGGAATGGAACTAGGTCAACAATTTTCAGTCTTTAAAACCTTGAAAATGAATGGGCAATAGATTTGTGTATCAAGATCACAAAATAAAACAGGTAAGGGGACCAGTGGGAATCGAACCCACGGCCTCTCGCACCCAAAGCGAGAATCATACCACTAGACCATGGTCCCTTCACGATTACTATCACAAAAATAGTCATTTTGACACATCAAATTTCAAGAAACCTTCAGCTTTTAACAATTCCAAAATTGGAAATTGGAAATTTTTGACTTTGGCTGGATTATTCACTTTCACTTTTATTTGTCAACACCAAAAGCGTCATTTGGAATATGCTTGTAGAATTGTAGTGTAGAATACTAAACAGCTAATGGATGTATTAATTTTTAATGATGACATGAATTTGTATAAGTAGCCGTTGTCTTCGTAACAAAACGTCATCAAGATTTTAAAAAAAAATAACACCATAACGTACTGTGTCGTTTCCTATCGAGACGAGAAAAAAAGCGATCATCACAAATAATTAATTGATCATCATATCTTTAAAAATCCGTGGATATTGCATTATCATTATTTGAAAATAGAGAATGCCATTTTTGGATAGAACAAGCGAGATTCAATCTATTATACAGAATCAACAACAAAAGAAACAATATGAACAATCGGAAACTGTAAAAAAGACAAAGAAGAAATCGGATAAGGATGTCACTGTGGCCGAATTTAATGGTAAGGCTAGACAAGTATCAAAAGAATTACAGGAAACTGCTGATTTATTACAAAAATTGACCAAGTGTATGTAATTCTATTAATCATATAGTAGTTTAGATTTATTATTAATAATTATAATAATAACAATGAATAACAGTGGTTAAGAAAAAGACACCCTTTGATGATAATTCCGAATTGATAAAATCTTTAACGTTAAAAGTTAAAGAACAATTGTCAAATCAAGATTATTCCCTAAGAAGTCTTCAGGAAATTGTTGATAAAAAGCAGGAAAAGGAAAAGAAGAGTAATCAACAAACTCAACATTCTACCCAAATAATTACAGGACTTAATTCTAAACTGCTTTATGCCACTGAACAATTTCAAAATGTCTTGAAAACAAGAACAACACAAATGAAAACTGACAAAAAAAGAAGAAATATGTATACATTCGAGTCTGGTGTCAAATCGATATCATCACTAACAGTAGCTGCATCACCAAATAACCACAGTCAATCAGGCAACAATATGATGGCAGCTGGATCGAGCGACGAGCCATCTATTCAAAATGAAAAAATTGATGAACTCATTTCTGAAGGAAGTCAATTACAACAAGCCAACGCTTCATCAATTAATAGAAATATATTAGCCAGTAGAACAGATGATATTCTGAGTATTGAACGTGAGGTTGAAAAATTGGGAGGAATGTTCAACCATTTAGCCATGATGATCAAATCTCATGGTGAATTAACTCAGAGAATAGATCAAAACCTTACTACAGCAGCACACGATTTAGAACAAGGTAAAGAGGAATTGTGGAATGTTTGGGAAAATACCAGAGGAAATACTGGCTTGATTCTCAAAGTTTTTGGAGTGCTCGTCATATTTATTATCATTGTTGGCTTACTTGTTGTGAGATAAATAAATCATCAACAAACAAATTTTTGATTTAAGTTGAAAGTTTCTCCAGTTTAATCTTCGTATCACAAAACAACTTTACTCGCTTTTTACAAAACTCAAGAATCATAAAATATGAAACGCCCACCGTGGGGGTCGAACCCACGACCACAAGGTTAAGAGCCTTGCGCTCTACCGACTGAGCTAGACGGGCTACATTCACAATGAAACTTATTCCTTGATATTCATTCCCGCCTTTGAAATAATTTTAGTTCCCAAGTGTTTGAGGAACTTATTGAAAAAAATGTCTCAAAATCTTTGTAATCTTCCCTCTCGAACAGGGCATTCTTGTGTGTTGTACAATAGCCATCATCACAAGAACAATTGTGTATACATGTTCGGAGGAACTCTTTCCGATCAAAAAACATTTCCTTCCAATGATTTGATTGAAATTAATGTTGAAAATCAGGAATGGAAGGAATTTGAAAATTCAAAAGCTTCACCAGGTCCTCTCTTTCATCATTGTGCTTGTTTGCATAAATTGGAAAATCATGATGATAATGAGATGATCATTTTCGGAGGGAAATCAAAAAAGAAACATTTGCAGAACAAGGTTTGGAGCTTTAATTTCTATAGGAAGGAGTGGAAGTGCTTGAGCGAAGGAGACAAGATGGTATCGCCACGATTTGGTCATTCGGGTGTAGTTTTTGGAAATACTTTATTTGTTTTTGGTGGATTGGATGAGAAGAAGAAATTATGTAGGAATGAATTGATTGCTTTCAATTTGAAGAGCAAGCAGTGGAAATTAATTGAAATGAGTGTTTCTATTAGTGGGAGATGTCACCATGCAAGTGTTTTGGATCCAGAGAGTGGTGATTGGTATTTATTTGGTGGGCAATCTGGAAAGAATGTGTTGAATGATTTTGTGAGAATTAAGTTATCGACCTATGATGAAGGAGCTGCAAAATGTGAATCAGAAACTTTAATTTCCGATTTGAGTGAAGAATTTTCAAGATTTGGACATTCTATGGTGTTGGAGAAATTCGAAAGTGGATTGAAATTCTACTCAATTGGTGGTTATAATATGAAGAAGGATTTTTTGGATTGTGTTTCTCTCGATTTGAATAATATTTCAAAAGGATGGCAGATTGAAACTGAACATACTCTTTCAAAAACCTTTGAAAATGTCTCTCAAGATGTTGGACCTGTATTTCATGTCACTACCCCAATTATTATTACAAAAGAAAACGAAACAATTTTAACATACTTTGTATTTGGTGGACTTTATGAAAATACTAAACCTCCAAAGACAAAGGAAAAAATCAAGAAAGAAGACATTAAGAAAAAGTCAAAACTGCCCGAGTTTGATATTATCAAATTTGAAAATGAACTCAATGATGATATTTTCAGATCTATTCTATCATTTTTGAGTATTCCAGATTTACTGAAATTGGAATTGGTTTGTAAGAGATTGAGAATTTGTAATCTCACTACAGAAGATGAATTCTGGAAGGCGTACTATCACGACAGAATTAACTGGCTAAAAGAGGCAAGCAACACCACTAAATTGGAATTCAACAGTCAAACAGGAACCTATGACACTATCATTGTTCCTTCTACTTTTTATGATACCTATCTTGATTCCAATAGTGATTATAAGAGGCACTTTGTTGAACTAATTGGAGATTTAATGAAAGAAGCTGATAAGAATACAAACGAAAGATTAAACCTGATTAATAGGCTCCCAGACATTCCAAAGTATACTTTTAGAACTAGAGAAGAGGTTATGCAACATGAATTACAACCTACTGTCAAGAGTGATATTAAGGTAGTTCTGATAGGTATGTAACTTCTAATAATTTCAATTTAATATTTGGTGATAGGAAATGCAGCTATAGGAAAGACATGTTTTTATCAAGCATTGAGGGGTATTCCTTTGGAACTTGATTACATTCCAACAGTTTTTGATAATTACTCAGTACAATGTCACAGTGAGGATGTTACTTTCAATATTGCTCTTTGGGATACAGCTGGACAAGTATGTTATAATGTTTGAATTTCTCTAACAACTACAATTAATTTTGGAATAGGCTGACTATGATAGACTTCGACCCCTTTCGTATCCACAGACGGATATATTTCTTGTTGGTTTCTGTTGTCTTTCTGAATTATCAATGAAAGAAACCATCTATAAATGGAAAAAGGAAATAGAAACCTATATGCCAGATATAAAATTGCCAATCATTCTCATGAGCACAAAGATTGATTTAAGAGACGATCCAGTGCAGAGTAGAAAACTTTTAGTGACAGAAATGAAAAAGCCAATATCCTACCAAGAAGGTGAATTGTTGGCTAGAAAGCTTGGATGTGCAACATATGTGGAAACTAGTGCTTTGACAAATGCTGGAATGGATCGTATTTGTGAATTGATAATCAAAACGGTAGACCTTCACCGTTGTGGTGGAATCACAAAGAATGGAAAGAAGTGTCTAGTTCAATAATTATTAATTGTATCACAAGGTTTGAGTAGTAAATTGGAAGAAATTCTTTGAATCCAAATCATCTTTTCAATCACCCATTCATCAAAAGTGGTAAATTATTGCATTGAGTCCTTTATTCATTCTTTAGAAAGCCCAGTAACGCACATAGGAAAAGTTCTCGATTATGAAGCATCAAAATGTTGTATCAAGTATACTTTATTGTTAAACGTAAGGGGATGTAGCTCACATGGTAGAGCGCTTCTTTAGCATGGAAGAGGTACGGGGATCGATACCCCGCATCTCCACTTATCCTTTTTCATCAAGGAATTAAGTATATTTTACTACATTTTATTACATCAAGCCACAATTTGATAATATTGAAGTATTTTGCTTATTAATAACCTCCTTAATGTAGTATCCATTTTTGCTTTTAGGAAAGCAAGCTGATTGAAAAAGAGCAAACCAAAAAGGAACATAACAATGTTCTACCTTCATGTCACCTTCCACAAATATTGACTTTTCAAATTGTAATGCCTTTTTCACAGCCTCTCGGTCAATAACTGGTTTTCCATTCCAAATTGGATTCAAATTCACAATTATTCCCAAATTCTGCAAATTCTTATTGTCTCTCAAATAAGAAAACCATTCGTCCAATTCATCAAATGAATGATGACCCATTGAAAAACATGTGATAATATTGATGGATGAAATACACTCTGTTTGATCGGATATATTATCTGAGAATTCATTTTTCTGAATGAACTCTAAATGACCATGGTAGTATTGAACTGGACCATCATAAATATTTCTATAATCACGGAAACGAATAATTGAACCCAACCTTGAAGGACCAAATATTGGCATTCCAACTTTTACAAAGTTTAAGCTTTCAGTACATTCCAAATTTGGAAAATTGGAATTTTCATAAAGTATTGATCGGTAGAAATTCAATAAAGTGAATTTTGAATGATCCAAAATTTTCAACAAATTTGTTTTGGATTTTTCCAATTCTTTTTTCAAACAACATTCATACGACAATTCCAATAAATAAAATCGCATAAAATATTTCACATTTCCAATCAATCGAATCCTATTTTCAATATTTTTGCTCTTACTATTAGTATTCGATTCGAATATAAATGAAATTCTAAAATTACATTTAAAATTATTGTAAAATTTCATAATTTCATCGAAAGAAACAAAACACCTCCCGATCAATTGATAAATATTCCTATCAAGTGTCAGCAGTGAAGCCAAAACATCAATCGGAAGCATAAACTCCACCACAAGACCCCAAACATCTTGATTCATTTTTTTTTAAAGTTATTGTAAACTGATTTGAGTTAAATAACTTCTATTTTACAAAACATCTTGTACAATTACACTTGTATTCATTCGAATAAAATAATAAGTTTCGTCCATTCTAATTTCTTTCCAGAAATATCTCAAACTCTCACGTGCATTTTCATGTATCATTCCTGAATCTCACTTTCTCTAATATATGCAAATAGATATCATGTCAGTTAACCTTCAACTTTGTTACTTGATGCACTGTATAACAACCCTTTCATCTATTTTGAATCCGTGTCCAATAACGTGTCCATATCTAGTGGACATATTTGGACATGTCTCAAATTGTGCAGGATAACGAGTGTAGAATGAGGTAAATTGAATCGATGGATAGGGCCAAAATTCGACCTGAATCCAAAATGTGACCATAATCTCAATTCCAAATTTGGAAATATTAAAATGAGTATTTATTTGCCTCTCAACAATTTGAGCTTTGGCTAATTTTTGGTAGAATGGTAAATTGTTTGTCCTCGTTTCCTCTATCATTTAAAGAGCACACAACAGTTGAGTTTATATTTCATGCAAAACACAAAAAAAAACATGATTGACAATCTAATACAGTTTCTTCTGACAATTCTATTGCTACTGTTTAGTACTTTCTCGTTCTTTGAGTTGGACGAACTTGATGTGCAGGATAGAGCTCTTGTTCACATGATCAAAAGAATTGATTCATTTGATCTGATGAGTTATTAAGTTTTTTTTCTCTTTCGAATAGTTATTGTGATAGAAAACAGCAACTGTGGTTGTTGAGAACCTTCTGTGTAGAAGGTCGTTTCTCTTTACACTAACATTGCAACTAGAGAATACTACACTCTTTAGTCCTCTTTCTAATAAATCCTGAAATTATTCTAATCAGAATAATGTTTGAAAAGCAACTTTACAATCTTTTACAGTTCTTCCAGGAATCTTTTCAATTGTAGAGCACCCTGGCTTTAAATTTTATTTAATATTGAATTAATTGAAACTCTTCAACATTCGAATAATTAAATTCAATTTGTTTACCACAAATAATTGTTAATCCTCCAAACTTGGAACTTCAATCAATCATTGTAATGGGCTTCAACAAAACCCGTCAAGGCAATGCTCCTTCACGTGTCAACGCTCAGAATTTTGTCACTGCAGTCTTTGAAATAAATTTAATTGACAAGTTGAAGCTGTCAAAATTTAAATCAAAAAAAACACAACTAAACACACTCACAAATATGTCCACTTATAAAGACGCCTCTGAAGCTGTTCTCTATGATAAGAATGGTTTGCCAATCTATGGTATGGATTTGGAATTGGTATGTAATGATTATTCGAAACTGTTAAACTAAACAATTTTTCTTTTCCTCATTATTATTAATAATAATACAACAAATATTTTCCATTGCCAAATCATTAACCTCATCCATTGTATCAAACATTCCATCCACTCCACACTATTCTTTTATACGAAACCTTTCATAAATTTAAACAACTATAGTACAAGAAACAAGCCGGTAAATACGATTCTGACAAGGAAAGAGAAGTTCAACAATGGATCGAATCTGTTGTTGGTGAAAAATTTGCTTCCAACGATTTCCAAGAATCACTCAAGGACGGACACTTGTTGTGTAAATTGATCAACAAGATTAAACCAGGTTCCATTCCAAAAATCAACCAATCTAAATTACCATTCATGCAAATGGAAAATATTGGTTACTTTTTGAAAGCTGCTGCTGATTTGGGTCTCCAAAAGCATGATGCTTTCATGACTGTTGACTTGTACGAATCAAAGAATATTCCACAAGTTATTCAATCACTTTTCATTTTCGGTTCAGTTGTCCAAAAATTGCCAGGTTACAATTTGCCACGTTTAGGATTAAAGTTGGCCGATAAGAGAGAAATTGAATTCACTGAAGAACAATTGAGAAAGGCCAATGCTGAAGTTGGTCAACAATATATGGCAAGTATTAAGCACGATACTGGTCGTTCAATTTCCAGAGAAGTTGTCAAGACTCGTGATACTGGTGATGCTTCAGTTACTTCTCAATTGAGTACTGCTTCCATTAAACATGACACTGGTCGTTCAATTTCTAGAGAAGTTGTCAAGACTAGCTCTACAGGTGACAAGCGTTTCACTTCTCAACAAAATGAAAAGTCAATCTCACACGGTCAAGATAGATCTATCAGTAATGAAGTTGTCAAGATTCAACCATCTTCATCCAAGAGTCCAACAACCTCCTCTGGATCAATGGATGGTTTGGAAGAATTGGAAAAATTGGCCTCATTGAGAGATAAGGGAATTTTGACTGAAGAAGAATTCCAACAAAAGAAGAGACAAATTCTCGGATTGTAAATCTCATATAATCAAAGTACAAGTGAATAGAAGATTATATTCTTTTCTCAAATATATTAAATATTATAAAATAGTTAATTCAATATTAAATTTGGTTTCTTTTTGATGTAAATTATTATCGTCAATTCTGGAAATGCATTTCTTCTTTCTTCCATTTACATATCATCAATTATTAATAAATAATAATTTATTTCCGCATATTGTTGTTATTGTTTTGTAGTACAAACAAATTCATAGAGTTTAAACTACAAATCAAATTGTAAATTCATTAATCAAAAAGCAAGAATTGGGAAGTGAATATTTGTTCTTCTTGTTGATAATCTATTCTTGACCAACATTTGGGAAGGCTTCCTTCAAAGTCTTCTTGTGTTTGTTTTCAGCGTGTTCAGCCAAGACTTCAACCTTTGTTGTACACAAGAAGGTTTGCTTGCAGACATCACATTGATAAGTGAGAGCCTTTTCGTTAACCTTGGTTTGAGAGGTGTCCTTCTTGTTGAGTTGGGCCATCTTCTTCATATTTCTTTCTCCTATTAATTGTTGTTATTGTTGTTGAATATTCATCATTAAATATATATTATAATTCGTTTTTGGTTGTTGTTATTATTGTTCAAAAGCAATTCAATGAATATGATAAAACGTTTTTTCATAATTTCATCATCATTCCATTGTTTTTAAATTTGTTAAACGCATCGGATGGTAATATAAATGCATGAAATGCAAATTAATAATAGAGAGTTGAGAGAGAACGTACTCTTTTGCTGAGATTGGGCAGAATTTCCTTTGGCCATTGTTGTTGTTATTGATCTAAAAGAACGTTAAAATATTTTTTTAATAAAATTTTTTGTTGGAGAAATTTTCATAGTTTTTTTCTTTCTTTTCAAAATTTCCTTTTTTAAAACCTTAACGTTCATTTACCTCAATGAATGGTTGAGTATTTTGAACAGAATGGGATGTAATTGAAATGATACATATCATTTGAAGTAATTAATTGGTTCTATTGAATAATTTTCATTTTGAAATTTTGAATATTTCAGTGATATTTATTTACTGAAATATTGAGCTATGGTTTTGACTATATCTTGAGATTCCTTTTCTGAGTTTACTTGATATAAATGTTCGTAAGGGCCTTCATATTGTTGAGGTGGTTTAAATCCTTTAGCAAATTCATCCACTACCTCATCAGCCTTATCAGCTTGAAGTGTTGGATGGTTCTTTCTCGATTTTACATTTAATTTACATTGTTCAGGTGTTGTTGCAAACCAAACCAAGTCAATATGTTTCACTCCCAATTTCTTAGCTTCAGTAATCCACATTTTTCTATATCAATTTCAATATCAAAATGTCATCGTTATTGTAAATTATTCAATAAATATACTAACCTATCCTTCGGATGAATATTACATCTATCTAATATTACTGACTTGTTATGTTTAAACGATTTTTCCATCACCTTTTTGCATTCCGAAGCATCTCCCAAAGTATCCTGATTGACTCGCACAAAATTTGTTGATTTCTTTTCTAATTGTTCCGAAAAGGTTGATTTTCCAGATCCTGGAAATCCACAACAAATAATTAAATAAGTTTCTGGTGTTACTTTTGCTGTGCTACTACTCGATGATGATTTTTTGGTCATTTTCAATGAAGTGTAATAATTATTGGATGAATTTTTATGTTTTGTTATTTTTTTGAGTTTGAATTTTATTTTTAGTTTTATCGTGAACTTTTTGAAACCACATTCAAGTTCAGAGTTGAAAAATAGTCAAAACTGAGTTTGAATGAATTGTAATTATTATTTAATGGTATTTTGTTAAAGCTTTAAATATTATTACACATGGTGGATTGTTCTAGTGTGAAAATAGTACACGTGTCGTAGAACTCTGAGTTCTGCTGTTGTTACAATTTCCAGATTTCTTCCTCTTTCTGTGAAGGCGCCAAAATTAAATGAATTAAAAAACAAATAATTAAAAAAAATAGGATGATGTTTACAAGACAAACTGCCAGAAAATCAACTGGTGGAAAGGCACCTCGCAAACAAGTTGGTTCAAAATCAGCTTTAGGATTAAATTCTTCTAATGCGAGAAAATATCAAATTAATATTAGCGAGTTGAAGGCTAAACATCAACAGCAACTTTCTGATCAGAATAATTATAATTTGAATGATGACGCTGATTTGAAGAAATTTATTGATGATCAATATGAAAATTGTGATGATTTGGTTAAAAAGTGGATTCACGATGATTTGGTCAATCAAAAAGAGGAGATTCAACAATCGGATAGTGATGTAGAGCTTGATACAAGATTGTTGAAAGAATTGGATGAAAATACCAAGTTTGAAATTTTGCAATTCATTCCAACATTTTCACCAAATGTTGCCAATCAGTCCTTGACTGAAGAAAGAAATATTGAAATGAATCTCGATACTGAATTGATTAGATTTCACAAAATGAGATTAATTAACAAGAGTTTCAACAAGATTATGATGAAGAAAATTCTCACTCTCAAACATATTACCTTGAAAACTGCTACCAACACTTTAAATTATATTAGTTTGCTCTCTATTGCTCAGAAGGCATACAAACAAGCAATGATGATGAACTCGAACCATGATCTAAATATTGATAATGTTTTATTATATAACCCTTATTCATCAGTAGAAATAGTTGACAACAACCAAAGTTTTGGTTTCAATAACTTTGGTGGTTTTTCAACAGGTCTCAATAGCTTTGGTGGTTTCTCAACAGGATTTGGTACTTTCGGTACTACAGCAAGCAGTATACTTCAAAACACCAATGAAATCCCATCCGATTCGAGAGAACTAATTTCTGAAGATTCTGAGGATGAGCTTATTGCAAAATTGTATTTAAAGAGAGAGGACAAGAAAAATCCCCAAAAAGTAGATATTGATTACATGCGTGAAGAGGTTTATTTATACACACATGCATCACATACCACTTCTCAAAATCAAAGTAGTTCATATCCACCTGTTATTATGACAGTCAATGAAACTATTGAAACTTTAACTTTGGTAATGGAAGATCAATATCTAGCCAAAGATATTGTAGGGTTTTTTTCTAAATTGAAAAGACTTAATATTTTCATGAATAATGCAACTTTTTATTACGGAGAAGTATTCAACTTGGCTTCAGAATCTCTAGAGGAAGTTTTAGTTTGTGGTGCTGGTTTGTTAGAACTTCTTATCAACCAACCATATTTGCTAAGCTCTTTTTCTGGGGCTTCTTGTCCAAAGATGACATCAGTTACATTTTCTCCTCTACTTCCAAATATTTATGCACCAGAAAATATTCTTGATACCTACTTTTCTCAACTACAAGTCACTAATCCAACCATCCACAAGCTTAATATTTATGATAAGATTGGTAGAAATGAATCCGCATTTATCAAATCTGAAGTATTTACCACTACCAATCCTGTTCAAAGAGAGCTAAATGTTTACTGTGTTCAATACAAGTCACTTGTAAACATTGATATCTTGGAGGAACTCTATGATATATTTGGAGACCGTTTCGTGAAAACCGTAATGCCATTCATGATACTCGGATATAATTGCCCTGTAACATTGGAACATGACCAATCACTTTGGAAATCTCATTTTGTGGAACACATGAAAAAGTTCAAAGATACTGCAAATTACTTGTTCAAGAAGAGGAAATTTCCTGTTTCAAACGTGTTGCTTTCATTTGACATTATGACAAATAATGTTTTAGAACAGAACATCAAGGACAGCAAATTACAATACCTCATATACCTATGTAACCAGTATCAAAATTCTAAACTTTTAAGCTATCTACCTGAAAACAAACAAACTCTATCAACAATTATTGCCTCAATTTATAGAGGATGGAATTTCACAAAATATACAAATGATCTCTTGGAATTCTTTGTTAGAGCCTTTTTTCACAGAGGAGTTTCTGCCATGTTACATAACTTTAAGTATGATGAAAAATTTATTGTATCTCAAATTGAGTATTTGGCTACTAGTTACACGATTAGTTCTACGATTAGTTCTAGGGCCGTTATTACTGAGATAATTATCCACCTCTTCAGAAATAACTCAAAGGTTCTCTACTCTCTTCTTGCAAAACAGGTGGAAGTTTCTGATAATAACACTACATTTACAATTCCATTTATTGCCTTCCTCTTCGGAAAGGCAGATTGCTATTTAATTGCTAAACTATTTAATGAAATGGACATGGAAACATTCAATTCTTTAGGTCAAAACAATAGAGGCGACAACATTCTCCACATTTATGTTTACTTTCAACAAGAATTTAATTACCTCATCTTTTATTCCATACTAAACAAGAATCCAAACTTGATTAACATGGTCAATCACAAATTGCAAACTCCGCTTCATTACTTGATGACACTAAATGACAAGAGATCACCTCTTTTACTTCCAGAAATCAATCAACTTCTTAAACGTAATAATATTTTGTTAGATATGAATGTTACCGATTATATGGAACAAACTCCTATGAGTATTCTTAAATCAGAAGAATATGAACATGAAGATATCATGTTTGAATAATTGAAACTTAATGATAGCAAGCATTTCTTCCAAGCTAATAAAATTTTTACAGTAAGGATTTCATGTATTTAATTGTTTGTTGGGCAACCAGAATTAATCGATTAATTTTACACTTAAAGGAATCCGCAAACCAATAATGAACCAAAATGAAGTGCATTAGCCGGGAGTCGAACCCGGGTCACCAGCTTGGAAGGCTGGTATGATACCGTTACACTACTAATGCTTTCTTGGTTAATTCATTCCTTAATGTTCACGATTAAGCACGATATCCCATTCTGTTTATTCCTTTTTAATCAATTTCTGGAACTTTCATTCTTAATTCGAATTGAACATAACGGTACTATAGCATTAGGCCTACTATTCTTGAATTCTCCTGGAGGGAATTTACATCCCATTTAAAAACAATGAAAGCAAAAAAATTTCAAATCAGTAAAAAAAAAATGGAGCTATTGGAAGAATCATGCTTGCTCTCAGTGATTAATCTTCCAAAAGAGATTTGGCTCTATCAAATATGTGAATATTTAGATATTCTTGATATGATTTTTTCGCTGGGGAGAGTTTGCAAAGCATTTCGATATGAATTGGCAAACGAATATCTTAAAAAATTCCCAAAAACAAAAAAGAAGGATTCGAATGATCAAGTCAGTTCGATAGATAGCTTTTCAATGAGAAGAGTGAAATATATTATCAGAGATGAATTACTGAAATTTATTGTAAAGTTTGAAAAATCTCTGACGAATGAAGGAATTTTCGAAAAGAAGGACACGAGCCATGTATCAGAACAGTCCAATGCTCAACAAAATGATCCAAAATCAACAAATGGTGGTCCCACAATAGAAAAAGAACGTTTAATGGAATTATTCCAATCAAGAATGGAAATATTCGACTTTTACTTTTCACATTTCTATAAGAAATTACCAAGTGACGCTAGTGAATCAGCTATCAAGCAAACTTCCATTGCTTCTTCCCTATTTAAATCTGAAAATCAATTAGTTGAATCCTCATCAGCAAGAAACACTGAAATGAAAAAGATTTTGATTATCGGCAATGGTGGAGGTAAGTTTTCATTGTTAAATATTTCTCTAAATATTTAAAGTTGGAAAAACAACATTTTGCAGATCAATGCAGGATTTACCACTAAACGATAACCGAAATCTACCAACTATTGGTTGTGAAATCAACTCTTACCGATTGAAAATTGCCGGTTTGGAAGCAAATATTAATTTATGGGATACAGGTATGTTCCACACTTTTTAATTGAGATTTTTATTAAAATCAAACAGTTGGTCAGGAAAAGTTTGGTTTTCTTAGAGATACCCTTTATGTGAATACTTCAGTGTGCATCATTTGTTTTGATCTTACCAGTAGATATTCCTACAAATCTATTCTGAATTGGTTCAGGGATATCAAAAGAGTGGAACCTGAATGTGAAGTGATATTTGTCGGAACGAAACTAGATCTAACCGACAATCTGAAAGTAACACCCAAGCAAATTACTTTTCCAATTAACAAGTATTGTCCATATATTGGATTGAGTAGTCTTCAACAGATTAATAATAGAGCAGTGTTGTGGTATGTTGCTTTTATGAATCTGTTTGTTTCCCATTTGAAAGGTATTCATGAAACTCTCATTTGTGATAAAGAAACAATAAATTGATTTAGACTTACCTTAGTGTGGAACATTAAGGTTTTATAATAAATAGAATGAGATATTGTGCTTAACCGTGAATATTAAGGAATGAAATAAGCAAGAAAGCATTAGTAGTGTAACGGTATCATACCAGCCTTCCAAGCTGGTGACCCGGGTTCGACTCCCGGCTAATGCATTTCCTTTTGATTCTTGGTTTGCAGATTCCCTTATTATTGTTACTGTGGTACTTAAGCAAATGAAAATTTTCTCGCGAAAAAATATATATTAAAATACTTCAATACTCTTCTTTGACTCCTTTTGCATATTGGATTATGAACTTTGATTACCATTATTGGTGTTGATGTCTAATGGTGAGCTAGTTGAGGGATTGTCTCTTTCAAAATGTGATATTGAGCATATTCATCCTTAATAGAGAGATACCAAGCCGAATCAATTGGCCGTTCACACACTTGTAAGCATTATTAGACCGTTAGTAGTACATGTACTTGATAAACATGGTAACTAATCGATTGGATTGTTAGTTAAACGAAACTGCTCACAACCCATCAAAATATTCGAAAGGTGAAACAAACATCATTTCTGAAATATAGCACGTTTCTTTCGGCGATTTCACATGCATTATTTTGTGAGAACTTTCTATTTAAGTGCAACATCTTTTTAAATGGAAAGTGATGCCCGAGATGAAATCTCTGAAAAAATAGGTTACTTTCCAATAATTGAAATTTGTAAACGAAAGCACGAACAATAACTTTCCACCTGAACCACACAAGAATCTCTTAAAAAAAACAATAACACCCAATCATGAACTATCCTAAAGCTTTAGTTGTATTTCTGATATCTTTCGCTATCCTCAACGTTGGTATCTTTGCCATCACTGTTTCTCAAGATTTTACCAATGCATTTGATGCAGCTGTCCAAGCAATGATTACTGACAGCGAATGGAATAAATTCTATTCTGACACGATGTATTTTACAGTGCCAACATGTACAAGTGCAACTGTCAAATGGCCAACTAAGAATCCATTCATTGGTAGAAGTGGTTTAAACATGTGTTTCGAAACTGGAACTTTATCTCCGTGGTTAGAAACCAAGACGAAAATTGCTCAAATGGTTGTTCAAAAGATTAATTCACACTATGGAACAAGTTATAATGCAAATATTTTGAGATTTAATACAAGTGCATTGGGATTCTTTGATACGATGAAAAATGCTGTGAATAATGGAGATTGTAAGTTTCGAATATATTTTTTAAGTTTCGAATATTTTGAAATAATTAATGTTTGATAATTTCGAATAGGTGATATGATAACTGCTAATATTCTTGTTACTGCCGAAAGAAGTTCATCCATTCATTATCAATGTCCATTCGGATCTGGTTCAAATGGTTGGATCAGAACTAAAAGAGATCCACAACTTTCCATTACTGATATTTCTCAATTGAACAAGACTGGAATCATGGTTGGAGGTAAGTTATTGATCATTCATGAAATTTCTCATTCATTATTCAACAAATCTATTCGAAACACAGCTTATGAAGGAACTGCTTTTGCAACTTATGTGAAAACTAATCTTCCAGCTGCAACTTTTGTGCCATATTCTGGTATTAACTTGCAATATGACGCTGTTTTGGATGGATCAGTTCATGCAATTATTGGAGATGGTAAGTTTAATTTAGTTTATTATTGGTATTCGAAACCTTTCAGCTATTCAATATTACAATTGGGCCAATGTTCAAATGTCAGGAAAATGTAATTGCACTGTTAAAACTTATGGAAATACATTCGGTATGGCCACTTTCACCAATGTGAATATTACAACAAGCGGAGTTGACCAAATCGGCGGAGGAAATGTTTGGACCTCCTTTTTGGTATTAATAATAGTTTCCATTTTAGTCATGTTTTAAATAATAATATACTAATAATTTTTGTCAAGCAACAGTATTGTTGACTTCAATAAATCCTAAATATTAAATTAAAAAGAGAAATCTTTAAAAATCTCAAATTTTGGCGCCAAAAGTCAAAAAAAAATGTGGAATGCGAATTCTCCTGCGCCATGCTCATCAGGATCATCGGTTGATCAGCAGCAATACAGTCCACTTCCCATCGCCTCTATTCAACAATTTACATCAACAGTAACTCATCACGAATTTGTAATGCACTCATCAGAATTATTTGTCGAATTATTTTGAATTCCTGATCGTAAAAAGAAGAATAATTCTGATTATTTGGATGCATATTTCAAGTCTACAAAGTCTTTTGATGCAAACAAGTATCAATCACAGATTAATCCACAAATTGTACGTCAAGTCCAAATATCAAGTAATGGTATCTCAGATCATTGTACAAATGTGCGTTCGTGGTTTATTGAAACCATCATGATGAGAATGGGTATTTTCCTACCTGAGAACATTTCGTTGGTGAAGAGAATTGGAGAGGGAGCTTATGGCAGCGTGTATAGAATTGGTAAAGATAAAGTGTTGAAGATTGCTAAAGATGGTGAAGCCATCAAGAAGTTTGATCATCCATTATTGTTGAGTATTGAGAGGCTTTTTTGGTATGAAGCTGAGAAACTCTTGTTGATTGTTTCTCCATACTATGAATTGGGACATTTGAGAGGTCAATTCACATTAGGTCAATATTGGTCAATTCTTTGTAATTTGACAAATGCTCTCAAGTATTTACATTCCCAACAAGTTGTTCATAGAGATATCAAGCCAGCAAACATACTTGTAGAAAAAAAGGACAAATTTGAAGTGAAAGTTGTTTTAGCTGATTTTGGATTGGCGAAATCGTTCGATTCTTGCAGTGCAGGAAGTGTAGGAACGACCTACTTTGTAGCTCCAGAATTAATGAAAGGTTATGATGGAGAACATAGTGCTAGAAGAAGAGTTGCCAATGAGAAGAGTGACATTTTTTCTCTTGGAAAGACTATTAGCGTTCTAATTTTGAATGACAAACCTGAAGATTTGGAATTTAAGAAGGGGAATTCACTCACCGAATTGCTTAATCGTATGATGAAGTACAAGCCAGAGAATAGACCTTCGACTGATGAAATTATTTCAATATGTGAAATGGAGATTTCAAAGCTTTCAGAGACTGATTACAATGCAATTTTCAAATTATCCGACAATGATATTGAAATATTTGATGAAATGAGCTTTTACACTGAAAGTAGTTTGAGTGATGGTTTGTTGAAAATGTTAATAAGCGGAGAAAGTTCTCAAAGTCAATCTGCTGTTAAACATTCATACACGTTTGATCTTCACGATGACGGTGTTGTAAATGCCAAGAAAATAATTCACATCAAGTGCACACCAGAGGCAAGATTGGCCATCGAATCAATCTATCTCAGAATTTACAACACCAAATTCAATACAGGACTCATTGATGTAACCAATTGCTTGTCCAAATCAGTTAGAGAAATATCCAATGATAATGAAAAGAAATATGCCATCTCTGGTTCACAAAAACAATATCTCATTCCTGCCAAGTCGAAATATCAAAATGAAAAAGGAAAGGACACTATTGAATTGTATATTAATAATAGGGATGAACATGTGGCTTCAGCCAATTATGTCGCCAAGAATAATAAAAATAATTAATCGAATCCTAAGCTAATAAGAATCAAAAGGAAGTGCATTAGCCGGGAGTCGAACCCGGGTCACCAGCTTGGAAGGCTGGTATGATACCGTTACACTACTAATGCTTTCTTGCTTATTTATTTTCAACCGTAATGTTCCGGATTAAGGGATGCAATATTTTCAATAATTATTTATTTCAATAATCTATTATTCAATTAAAAGTGGAATGACATGTCAGAGAACTTATTTATGAACATGAATAATAATTCAATATTATTAATTATTACTAAAAAAAATGAGCAAACGAAATAGACACAATTTTCCATTAATTCCGGAGAAGGAAATATTCAATAATAACACTCAAGCAAAAAAGAAAAAACTTGTACTCCATGAACAACGAGAAGAAATATTTTCAGATGATATTTGTTTTGAAATAATTTCCATGATTGATGATTCGTGGTTTATTTTAAATAATTGTACTTTAATTTCAAAACAATTCTTTAATGTGATCCGAGAACGTTCTAAACTTGTTATTCAATTTAAAAAAAAATTTACAGAGAAAAGAATTGAATTATTCATGAAAAGTCAATTCATGAATAGTATTGCTAATGTTAAATTTTCCGTTTACTCCTTAGACAATGCCAAATTCATAAGTGAAATGAAACAATTGACATCACTTGGTATTGCTGAAAATCGAATTGGTGATGAAGGAGTTAAATTCATAAGTGAAATGAAACAATTAACTTTACTTGATATATGTTGCAATGAAATTGGTGTTGAAGGAGCCACGTCAATAAGTGAAATGAAGCAATTAACATCACTTAATATTTCTGGCAATCGAATTGGTGATGAAGGAGCTAAACTCATCAGTGAAATGAAGCAATTAACATTACTTAATATTGCTGACAACCGAATTTGTGTAGAAGGTGCAAAATCAATAAGTGAAATGAAACAGTTAACATCACTTAGTATTTCTGACAACGAAATTGGTGTAGTAGGAGCAAAATTAATAAGTGAAATGAATCAATTAACATTACTTAATATTTCTAACAACGAAATTGGTGATGAAGGAGCCAAATTCATCAGTGAAATGAAACAATTGATATCGCTTGATATTTCTAACAATCTAATTGATATAGAAGGTGCAAAATCAATAAGTGAAATGAAACAGTTAACATCACTTGAGATTTATTACAATGAAATTGGTGATGAAGGAGTCAAATTCATAAGTAAAATGGAACAGTTAACATCGCTTGATATTTCTGGAAATCAAATTGGTGTAGGAGGAGCTAAATCAATAAGTGAGATGAAACAATTGACATTTCTTCAAATATTTTCCAATCGAATTGGTGATGAGGGAGCAAATTCAATAAGTGAAATGAAGCAATTAACATCACTTAATATTTATTACAATCAAATTGGTGATGAAGGAGTCAAATTCATAAGTGAAATGGAACAATTAACATCACTTGATATTGGTGGAAATCAAATTGGTGTAGGAGGAGCTAAATCAATAAGTGAGATGAAACAATTGACATTTCTTCAAATATTTTCCAATCGAATTGGTGATGAGGGAGTCAAATTCATAAGTGAAATGAAGCAATTAACATCACTTAATATTTCTGGCAATCGAATTGGTGATGAAGGAGCCAAGTCAATAAGTGAAATGAAGCAATTAACATTACTTTACATTTCTAGCAACGAAATTGGTGATGAAGGAGTCAAATTCATAAGTGAAATGAAACAATTAACTTTACTTCAAATATATTCCAATCGAATTGGTGATGAGGGAGTCAAATCAATAAGTGAAATGAAGCAATTAACATCACTTAATATTTCTGGCAATCGAATTGGTGATGAAGGAGTCAAGTCAATAAGTGAAATGAAGCAATTAACATCACTTAATATTTCTAACAATCGAATTGGTGATGAAGGAGTCAAATTATTAACATCACTTAATATTGTCTTATTTTAATTGGGTGTTTATTGAAACGCCTTAATCAATGATATTAATGAAGAAGGAGTTAAATATTAGAGAGACATGAAACAATTAATTGCTCTTGTTTAGTTCGTGTGATGGATCTTGACATGAACTTGATTGTTGACTTAATTTGTCTCTCATGGAATCAATGAAGTTACTAACTTTTTGTCATATATAGACGATAGGGATGAACATGTGGCTTCAGCCAATTATGTCGCCAAGAATAATAAAAATAATTAATCGAATCCTAAGCTAATAAGAATCAAAAGGAAGTGCATTAGCCGGGAGTCGAACCCGGGTCACCAGCTTGGAAGGCTGGTATGATACCGTTACACTACTAATGCTTTCTTGCTTATTTATTTTCAACCTTAATGTTCCGGATTAAGGGATGCAATATTTTTCTTAAAATAATTATTTATTTCAATAATCTCAATTAAAAGTGGAATGACATGTCAGAGAACTTGTGTAAATTATCATCTACAGATTGATTCAATAATTTTTGTTTGAAATTGTCTGCTGAGCCACGGAATTCTGCTATCAGAAGCATATTTACATCACATCCAGATTGCACATCCAAAATATCGTATTTTTCTTTGAATAATAACTCGGCCAATTTTCTATCCAACATCTTATTGGTTGCAGAAAGAGAAGATGGTGAAATAACAGAGACGTATGGAGATTGAAATGGCAGAATTTCCTTTGAAACACCCGAATATTTACCACCTTGTGTGAATAGAGTCTTCTTATTGATTGTACCAAAAGAGCAATAGTATCCGCCAAAGAGTTTAATGTCCATCGAGCCCAAATCGCAATAGCTACTGAATAAATCCTGTTGTTTTTTTTCATTACTTGTAATGACTGGTTTTTCAAGAGGAGATGAGCTATTGATCCAGTGAGAGCTGTTTGACATGTGACCACCAGCAAATGCTCTTACGTTTCTTTCAATCAAATCAAATTCATTTCGTTCCTTTCCAATGAAATGGAGAGAATTGTCTTCCAATTGAGCATAGACTCCATTATCAGTTTGTCCAATTTTTACAATAGGATATTTCAATGCATCTAGATTTGGAACTCGGTGTGTAGTTCCAGCAGTTACTTTCCATGCAGTTTCACCACAACTATAAATCAAAAATCTGTTAAAGACCAATGCACTTGAAAATGTACCACAAGTCAAGTCTGTCACTCTATAGGTTTCGTATGGATTTTCATCATGATTACCCGATTTAAAAATGTCAAAAGAATCATTCAAAACTTGATATTGAGGATTGAAATCTGCTCCAAACAATTGTTTGAAATAAGAGTGACCAGCTCCCAAAATAATATTCCTATTCACAACAATAATGGTATGGAACCAACCACAGGCAACAAAATCAACAGTTTGAATATTACTAAAATGTTGTCTGATAAAACTTTCTTGCTTTTCACTCCAATTACGAGTTCTAATGATAGAAGGCAATGCATTAGACATGGCAGATGTTAAATAATCATTCAATGGTGAAAATAGCTCTACATATTCAGAGGGTTCAGTTTGTAACTGATTATAATTATTCTTTCCACAGCCAAATACTTTAGCATCACTCGCTATATTTGATTAACACAACAACAGTCAATAATATTAGCTACTTACTAGCAATCAATGAGTGAGATCTTCCGCAAGCAATAATATTCACTCGACTAAGAATTTCTTCACTTTCATTATCAGAAAGTCCTTTAATTTGTGTAACTTCCTTCCATTCTTCCATTGAACTAACATCATTCCTATCAAAACCTAATTGTGCACTATCATTAGATCCTATTTAAATATATTTGTAACGTTAAACTTCATCATGCAAACGTTTCGAAACTTACCTGAAGTAAATATCTTGGCTCTCTTGATAGAATTGCCTGACGAGGCTGATGGTAATTGTCTCTTGGTTGCTGGATTTCTTTCCTTTTGCTTCTTTCTATTATTATTTGATAAAGTTGAATTATTCAGTGATGGTGAGGATATTATCGATGTTTCTGATGATGAAGGAGAAGACTGATCACTAACCACCTGATTCAAATCTTCATTCTGGTCCGATCGGTTGTTATTACTACCAAATAGCGATCCAAAAAATTGCTTCATTCTTTCAATGAGTTTTTTCAAGTGTTTTTTCAAGTACGCGTAAAAAACTTTTGCGAATTTTTTTTAAATTTGATTTTGCTGTTGAAAGATGCATAAATGTTTGAAATGATGAGTTCGCAATAGTTGCCTTTTTTGGGGACATTTGAGAGGGAAGTTGCTTTAGTGAGTTGTTTGGAATGTGAGTGTAAAAAACATGGTTCTAATCAGTTGAGAAACTAGTATTGATATTGAGGGAAAATATCTCTAGGAATGACGTTTTGGCGGTTGGCAGTTGGTGTGGAATTTTAGAGAGCTTTCCAGAATTGTCTGATACCGAGAAGGAGCATAGTAAGGGAGAAGGTATGCTTTAAAACTTGTTCGTCCATGTTGCTGGCAAGGAAACCTCCACTGTAAGCTCCTACTGCACTTCCTGTCATTAAAATTGGAGCTAGTTTGAGAATGACATTTCCAACTCTCCAATGTGAATAGAGAGCTACTGAAGAAGGGATGGTCATGGCAGCAAGTGAAGTACCAATGACTAGTTTTGTTGATGTGTGTTCCTTTTTGATTGGTGACTTGTCACTCCATAAAAAACTCAACGCTGGAACAATTAGAATTCCACCACCAACTCCAAGTAAGCCACTCATCACACCAATGATTGAACCCAAAACAAAGAGAGCTCCTGCTTCTTGAATGGATGGTAATTTCAATTTCTGATTTGTTTCAGATTGTTCCTTTGTGCTATCACTCACTGGTTTCTCCTTCTCATCGTCAGAATGAAGCAATGAAACAAGTGGAGCCACAAACAACATGAAACAGGCAAGAATTAATTTTAAAGTCCTATCCTGAATCGAGCTCGATAATTTGACTCCAAATCTTGCAGTAAAGGCAGCAAAAGTTGCAATCAAAATTGATGTTACAATATCTACAGAATTATCACCAACAAAATACAATGTACCAGCTCCCACAAAGCCAGCAGTCACAACAGTCACTAGACAGGTGGCTACAATCTGCTTGGCGCTCAATAAATGTGGAAATAATTGAGTAATTAATGGAATTAAAATGATATTTCCACCCAAACCAACCATTCCACCAAAAGTTCCTCCCACAATAGAAACTCCAAATAATTTTACAAAATCCCAAGTATTAAACACTGGATTTGGTTTTGTAATTTGTTCATCCTTTTTCATATTTGAATTTTCCTTATTGTCTGATGAAGAACAAGTCGAATCGGAATTGGTTTGCAAAGATGAAGCTTCCTTTTCCCTCATCAACACTCCCCTACTCCATTCTCTCTTAATAACCCTTCCAAAATTCATCAATAACCCTTCCGAAGATCCTCTATAATTAATATTCCCATGTTTCTTTTCAAATTCATCATCATGATTATTTACAATTTTAAAATTTCTAAAATCTGGCAAAGATTTCTTCATCAACAAATTATTGTTGTTATTATGCAAAGATAATTTTGCTAATCCCGAACCCACAACAACAGTAGAAATTTTCGGTGGCATCTTACAAGAAGATGTGGAGATGAAAATGGTCGCAGATCGTTTGAGCATTTTTTTTTATGAATTTTCTTGTTTTTGAAAATGTTTTTTGTAATTTTAAAGATTTTGTTTGGTGGGTGGATAATAAATTTCTCCGATTTCATTGGATTCTTGAGTGTCCTTTACAATAACTTGAAATGCTATAATCTTCCATTTTAGTCTTTGATGTATAAAGCTCTGATGTTCAGAAATATTAAACTTCAAGTCAAGAGTAGACATACCTTGCCCACATTCTTCAAAACGAAATCCCGCGCTCAATTCCTCTTATTAAAGCTTTGGAAAACAACAAAGGAGAAAATTCAACAAGAAATTGATTCTCTCTTGGCCTTGAAATCGTGGAAGGCTTCCAAAAGCTATTATAATCTGATGACTCCAAATTCTTGGAGAATATATTTAAAAAACAAAAAAAATGAATAAGGCAAAGAACAAAGCCAAGAAAACTCAAGCAAGCACTTCCTTTGCCAAAGATGTTTCCCAAGAAGGCTCTTCCTCGCCAGCTAAAAAAGTATCACAAGTAAGCGCTTCCTATCCATCAAAACAGGTTTCCCAAGAAGGGTCTTCCCCTCAAAACAAAGAGGTATCACCTACTTTCAAATGTGAATGCAACACTTCTATATACAATCAAATACGCAACGCAGATACAACCACAGGTATCCAATTACTTGTAAACACTTTAGTTCAGTTCATAGATGATATTAACCAAGATATTGCATGTATTAAACAAGATATTGCATGTATTAAGCAAGATATTGCAAGTATTAAGAAGGATTTGAACAATCCTAACACAAATGTTGGATGTTTGTATGAGTTACAAGTTAAGAATGAATTTGAAAAGGAATACAGTCATGTCGAGTGGCCAATGATATTGCAAAGAAAACAATTTCCTAAGCAATTTTTCGAAGTAGATGCGAACAGCAGTCACTATACTAACCTGTGCAATGAATTAGTGGAGTCCAAAGTGATGTCATTGGAGAATGCTACAGTATTGGACTTATTTATTGGCAGTGTGGAAATTAACGTTGTTAGGAAAGAAACACAATCCAAAAATGATACTCATATCATTGAAGTAACAATGTCCTCCTTTACCAATGACTGCCAGTTGATTTGTAAACTTTTACAATTGGAACGACAAGCTCTTTATTACAGAGCTTGCTATCCAAATGACAAAATTACAACAATTGGATTGGTTTCTCCTTCCAGTTTGACTATAGACAGAATTAAGGGGGTAGTAGAGAAATATTCAAACTTTGTTATTGTTAGATCATTTCTTGAGAGTGGAAATTTCAAGGTTCAGAGACATAGCAATAAGCCAATTTAATAACCATGATAAACATTCCCATAGCTCATAAAACTCTGTAATTTCTCAATTCAGTTGCAGCATGTTTCCATCACGTTATTAATTATACCATTCCTCAACTTGATTTGCAAATGAAAATAACGATCTGTGGCAAAGCGCAATGGGTCCCAGATTTAGATAAAAAATCGAAAAAAAATGATGAAAGGATATCTAACCACCCTTGTTATCTTTCTCTATTGTTGCTACTGTTTTCTCTCTTCAATAGCGTTGGTACAGGTGGGAAATTGTGCATCAATTTCACAGCAAACATTTTCATCTCTACTCAACTCGACTGAAACTCCGATTCTCTCCTTGACAATGTATCTCGGCGGAGCTAAATCTCCAACCAGTGATTCTACCAGTTGGGGTAATTTATGTGGAGTTGCAATGGAAAACCCTTGCAAAAGTTTTGGTCAATTGATGATCAGTTTTAATTCGACTTTGTTTAATTTGCATGAAAATTTCACAAATTTACAAGTTGAAAGAAATGTTTATTTGAAGATTTATTTGTTATCTAGTGATGGATCGGTTGTGTGCTCGAATAATCAGGTGGATTTGGGGATGGTTTCATCGATGAAATATTTTGTGGAAATTACAAAAATAGACGAAACTAAACCCTTGTTGATTTGTTCGAATACAGTTAATACTTACCTGAGTATTCCAATTCCACCTCAGATCAACGTCATTTACTTTCATTCTTTGAAATTTCAATCACTCTTGATCAAATATGACAATTCCAAATCAAGACCACTTGACATTTTGATTGAGGATTGTGAAATGGTGAATGTTTCAATTGAAGAATATAGAAAATCAATTCGAGATGATTGGGCAAAATATTTTATCATGGAGAATTCAAAATTTATTTCCAATATCTTTCCTCTCAAAATTCTCTATACGAATCAAGTCATTATCGTAAAATCTCAATTTAATTACATGCTTGGAGTTCAATTTGGACACTCAGTAACTATACAAGAATCGGTAATTCTTGGACACCCTTCAATTATCTCGAATTTACAGACCTTTCGGATAACTAATTCATCCCTAGAGTCAGTTGGCATTCAAAGTGTGGAAAATGTGGATTTCATTGGTGTGTTTTTCTTTGAATCCAAATTGTATCAGACATCAATTTCAATTTCTCAGATAACTGGTTTCTCTGGCAACAAGTGGACTTTCACGGATTGCATTTCAAAACGAGTGGAAAATTTTGCATCTATTCGCTCAGTGGAAAGTGTTCTAATTGAGAATATTTTATTGGAAAGTTCAGGTTCGATTAGTAATGGAATGGTGCCTTTTATTTATTTAGATAGTTGCAATACAGTGACCATGCTTAGGAATATCATTAAGAAAGGGGTTTCCTTCATTCAGATTAATTATTATTATACTGTGCAAATAGTTTCGTCTCAATTTTATAATAATGCTCCGTTGCTTATTGATAGATCTTCACCAATTGAAACATCCCAAAGTAGAATTTCAATCATTAATTCAAAATTTTCTGGATCTGTTTCTAGATATGGACCAGTCCAAATTAATTATTGCACTAATTTAAATATTTATGGTTGTGTATTTAATGATAATATAGCAACAGTGTCTGGAGGTGCTTTGTTCATTGGAAATTTAGTACATTCTTCACAAATAGCTGAAAGTTATTTTATTAATAATCAAGTGGCATGTGAAGGAATTCCAAATATGGAAAAATGTTCTGGTGGAGCAATTTCATATACCAATAGTGAAAACTCGAATGGAATTTTAATTGAAAAATGTAATTTTAGAAATAATGTTGCATCTAGAGGTGGAATTTTATATTTTGGAAAGAATAATGCCTATATTAGGGTTACTAATTCGACTATGGAAAACAATCAAGCCAAGTTGACTGGAAGCATTGCTTATTTTAATTACAAGGAAGAAAGGTATTTCCAAATGATTGATGTTAATAGGAAGAATAATTTTTCACCAACAAGCATTGATTTGGCTGAGAAGATTTCGTATAATTCAGCTTCAATTATGGGAATTTCCAATGAGAATGATGTATATGAATTGTCCATTGGGAAAAAGTATTCACTTAACCTTACTGGTACGGATGGATATGGAAATCAAACTAATCAAGTTATTGATCAATTATCAATAGAATCATCTGATTCTCGTTTGACAATGACATTAGATCAGCAACTAGATTCGATTACTTTCCAACTATTCTTCCTTGATTCGGCTCAGAATTTCTCATTGCTGGGTTTCAAAAATACTTTTAAAATTACAACACCTAACAACCCTGTCAATCTTTCCATTATAATCAAATCATGTGATACAGGTTTTGAAATAACAAGTACAGTTACCGAAAAAACTGGAATTTACTTGTACGATTGTCGACCTATTCCTGTATTCCCTATTGGAATATTATTGGGTTTAGTAATTGGATGTTCATTATTTGTTTTTATTTTAGGAGTTTCTATTGGATTGGCAAGTTATTGTTTGTGGAATGTTGTTAAAAAGTTGAGAAAACTCAGACAAAAGGAAATTGCAGAGAAACAAATGGAAGACGCTTTATTGAATAAGAGAATAATATTCAACATGACAGAGGATGAGGAGGAATACTATGAGAAACGACCAGAAGCCGAATCTGGTAGTAAGAATTCAAAAGCTTCCTATCAGAAACTTCCTGATTCTGAACTAAGTTCTTCCTTAATGAATCAAAACAAGACTAAACATAGATACAGCATGTCCTCTTCATTCATCATCCCAATAGAAGATATCACAATTATCAAAAAGATTGGTGAAGGAGGTGCTGCAAATGTTTATTACGGAACTTGGACGAATATTAAGGTTGCAATTAAATCTCTCAAATCTGAAATTAACGAAGATTTCGAACAAAATTTCGAAAGAGAAGCTTCCATTTTGAGTAATATTAGACATCCAAATGTTTTAACGTTTTATGGTGTTTGCTTAACAGATAAAAGTCGATACATTGTAACTGAATATATGGAGAAGGGAACATTGGAAAAATTTATATACGAAAGTAGAAATAGAGGAATGAATATTGAGCTTCTCAAGACTATTCTGACATTATTGTGTGGAATTTCTAATGGAATGCAATATCTTCATGCACTTAAACCTGCTGTCATTCACAGAGATTTGAAATCGAGTAATATTTTACTTGATGAGAGGAATAATCCAAAAGTTTCGGATTTTGGATTGGTGAAAGTTTTAGGAACGAACACAATGCAAACTCAAATGACGAAAGCCATTGGAACCATCTTTTTCATGGTAAGTATTGTAAAATTTAATTCGAATCTCACTAATTTTCTCAAAGGCACCAGTAAGTATTTCTATATTTCGATTGACTTGAATCAAAATTTATTGAAATTTGACAGGAATCTTTCATGACTGATCATCCAATTGATAATAAGGAAGCAGCAACCAAACTAGATGTCTACAGCTTTTCAATCTTAATGTGGGAATTATTCTTTAGGAAAAGTCCCTACCATCACGTCAAGAATACTTTCAAAATTCCACAACTAGTTTGCGATGGTGAAAGACCTCAAATACCCTTCTCTGTTGGAAATCAAGAAGAAATTAGGGAATGGTTATTGGAAAGTAATGGAGAATCTAATTCTGATGTGGTGATACAGTGTATTGATCGATATTTTTCACTTGTTGTAAAGTGTTGGAATCACAATCCATTGGAAAGACCTTTATTTTCGAATATTAGACAAGAATTGGAAGAAATATTGTCAAGCATTAACCATTAATTGAACTATTTTGGAAAATGTTATTTTCATTGTAAACATGTGTTTACAATTCCAAAACGCAATTATCATAAATTAATCTTTTCAATTCCAAAGATCTTTTTGGATATTCCTCAACTAGTTGCAAGTCTAAAATAGTTAATAATGGCTTGTACTTTAAAAAACTTTGAAGCTCACTGAAATTCTTCTCAAAATTTTCCTTAAATTGTAAAATATTTCCAAGTCACTAATCATTTTGACTCGTTGTTTCAATTCATTCAAGTAGACAATCTGAGTCTTCTTTTGAGCTTCCATTTCATCCATAAACTTTTCACTATTCTTATTAACTCTAAAATAAGAATCATTCTTATATTTGGTAATAACATTTTGTTGCACTTTTGTGGAATTATTAATTTTTTGAATAATTTTAGTGAAATCAAGTTTAGTTTCCAATGAGTAGAATTCCATTTTAAGATCATTTAAGGATGACGATGATTGAACTTGAGAATTACTCGAAACAAGTTGATCAATTTCCATAACTGAATATTTCACTTTCGGTTGAGATGATGCTTGACTTTTGACTTGTTGTTGACCACTCGTGGATACACGAACAAGATCATCATGTGAATACTACTATTTGAATTATTACTTTTATAAAAACCTTTAGGAGCTTCCGATATCATATTGGGAAGTTGTCATAATTACATCCTATGTTTTTTGATACCCTAACCGGCTCTGTAGGAATCGTCACTTCAATTCCTACATCCTACACTCAACTTTTTAAACCCCTCCGCACTCTTTTGACCAAATTTTCAAGAAAGACTATTTCCATTATCACCAACCCCCTATCAAACCGTAGAGATTTTTTGACCAAATTTTCGACCTCCCTCCCCAATACCGTAATTATGACAAGCTCCCATTAATTATTACATGATCTGTTTTAACATTAGCCGTCCCTTCCTCTTCCCACAAATAATTACTCGTCTTATTTTCATTCACACTATTGGTCATTAGATTACGAATATTTCTAATGAAGAACATTTTTTTTATAAAGCAAGTTTATTAAGCACATTGTGAAAATGGGCATTAAACTAGATTCAAGGTCGGTGATTGGTTCTATTCATACTAGGGCATATGTTTTGGAACTGGCAAACAATACGGCTGATTTTGTGAGCATATCTTACATTAGAATACAGAATTCTTAATACAGCCAATAAAATAAGGACAATGACATTCCTAAATAAAAACGCAAAGGAGATTCGAGGACCAAGACACTTACAGCAATATCCGCCTTTTACTGCCATCTTCCATTTTGTTGCGTGTAACACTCAATCTCTCAATAGATTGGTCTTACATGTTCTTATTTCCTCAAACACAATTTTCACAACTGATTCCTGTTGATCAATTCATTGCTCATCAGTAATAAAGTTGTGAAAAAATGCAAAACAGTACAGAACAAGAACTTACCCAAACCAAGATCAAATTCACGCGATGGCTTTCTGAAATGCAATTGGGAAGTGATGTTTTACCAGGCATTGATAGCATGTTCTCCAATTCGATTGGCAATATTTTGAAAAAGTGTAGAGGAATTAGATACATGTGTGAAAAGGACATTGAGGATTGTGCGGATCAGTTAAAATTGGCTCTCAAACTTGAAGAAGGAAGACAATTGGAAATTGTTGACGAAATTAAAAAGAGAATTCACAAAATTAAGGAATTATTAAGGGATGAAGGAGTAAATTCTGTGGAGATTGTGAAAACAATTGAACAATTAAAGACTATTATTAATAATGTTCCGTTAGAAAGTTTGGGAAATTTCCAATTGAATCCAAAGGAAAACTATCAAGAAAAAATTGCAGAACTTTCTTCCAATTTCTTCAAATTGAAAAGCAATGAAAGTAGTGAATCACAAGTACAAGAAACTGTTTCAGTTCAAGAGATTGTGCCAGAAGAAACTACTCAATTAATTTTAAATACTCCACTCCCATGTAAACCATTCAGTTTTAAAGAATGTTTGGTGAAGAGAATTGAAAAGGATGCGAATAGCAATCCAATAAGAAAAGGAGTTGGATTTGCCTTCTCGTATAAACATAGGCTGTCCATATGTGGTAATGGTAACAAACTCCTCATTTATCATTTAGACACACTGTAAGTTTATCAAATTCCATTATACTAAACTGAACGAAAGTGAATTTATATGTTATGCACCATTTCCCACTTCCCCAACTGATTTGGAAATCATAAACAACTATGATGGTTTAGGAAATGATGGTTTACTGTTATCCTTTCCAAGTAAATTAACTAAATTCCAATTAGAACTCTACAATCTCCCTAATTTGGTTAAAATCAAAAAAGTGGTTCCTGACAATGAGGTCAAACCAGTTTGGGGCTATTCCACCCCCAATGAACACAGTGATATATATGGAGTATGTGTAAAACACGGCACCACACAAAATAACAATAACAATGGAAGAGGACATTTAATTTACTTTACAAAAAAAACAGGATTTGAAAAGGGAAAGCATAGTATTGTAATAATTGACTTGAAAGGAAGTGTTATTTGTGAATTTAAACATGGAGCAGCTCATGGACTTGCTTTGGTTGATGATTGTTTGATTGCAACAGATTCAGATTATAGAATAATTACAGTTTTCCAAAATCAAGGAAATGGTCAATTAGAAAATTATGTCAATGTGAGCTCAATGAAAAGATCTGTTTCAAGCCCCATATGTTTCGATCCAATAAGCAAGTCTATCTTTATTTCAGATATTTTGAAATCGAATACTGAAAGTGTTGTCTCTGTATTCAAGTTGGAGAAGGGAAATTTAGTTTTTTCCAAACAATTGAAAACACCCGATGAATCAGGAAGTTATCGTAAAAACGAAAAAGAGTTTACAATTCACAGATTTTTTGGAATGGATTTTGATTCTAGTAATGGAAGGTTATGGATGTTTGAAACTGCTCATTTCCATAATAATCAGGGAAGTATTATCATTTTGAGTTGATTGTAAAATTGATAAAAATGTCTTCAATGTTTAATTTCTGAAATGTTTAGTATAGAATCTCAATTGAATGTTGTTATTCTAATGGAAAGATTGGTAATAGAAAGATAACAGCTTTTGAAGAAACACCGATGACATAAAAAGTGTTTCGTATGAGATTCTTCTAAACATTCGAACAGATCAAAAAAAAAAATTCACACTGGGAAATGCAAACTCCAACAAAGGTCATCCTCTCCCATAGCATTCAACTTTCTGGTGTGAAATGCAGAACAACCAACAAGGACGAAATGAATCCTTCCACAGCAAGAATTGGTCAACTTTGGGGTCAATTCTTCCAACAATCTACTCAACCAATTCAATCCAAAATTTACAGTGTCTATACCAACTATGAATCAGACCATAATGGAGCATATGATATCTACGTAGCCACTCCATCATCAGAAAGCAATCGAAACTTGACCGAAACTATTCAAATTCCTCAAGAAAATGATGAAGAATTTCTCGTCTTTTCAGGCAGTGGAAAGATGCCAGAGACATGCATTAACTTATGGCAGTCCATTTGGCAATATTTTGACAAGCACCACGTAGAATATTCACGTGCCTTCTCTCTCGATTTTGAAGAGTACGACGACAAGGAAAATGTTAAGATTTACATTGCATTGAAAAAGTAAGCAAATAATTTATTGATGTGTTCGTTTGTTTGCGTTATGATGAGGATATTGGTATATATAATAATAAATAGTAAGCATGTAAATTTATGGCCTTGCTCCGTTAGCCGTTATCTTCACACAAACCTCTTGGTAAATGAAATCATTGTGATGATGATGAAAATAAGGACAAATTGATACTTCTTGCATCGGACAGAAGAATATAGAGCACAAAAAAACGAACAACAATTCGTTCGAGTTAAAAGGCTTTTCATCATCATCTTTTGTTAACAACAGTACGGTAGTTTTGTGTGTGTGGATATTAGCTCGAACGTCAAGGAGTGTCATTTTGCAAAGATTAATCTTCTTATCCGTTACATTTATCATCACAGAATCTTTTTTCAAAGCCTATTAATATTCATCATCATATTTAACAAATTAACAACAATAACTAATATATTTACAACTAATAACAACAATATGGCCATCGACACAAAATCAGAACTCAGAAAGAGAACACAACAATCCATAAAAACAGAGGATATTGCCACTACGAGTACTTCTCCCGAACAACTTAAGGATCATCAACATCAACACAATCATCATCAACATCATCATGAAGAGAATATGCATGCTCACGAACTTTTTCAATCGATGAAGGCTGAATCTAAACGTCTCATATTCGATCCAAAGAATTATCCAAAGGAAAAGGTATTTTGTTCTCAAGCCGATAAACACAAAATTCCAGTCTAGTAAGTAAGAGTTTCATCTTCACTTTTTAGATGTTAATAATTTTACTATTATGCATAATACTTGTTGTGAATATTGCATATTTAATTATTAATCCATATCACATATATTCATCATTAACAAAATAATTGTGTGGTTGGAATATCATGAAAATCATGATCATATATTACTGTTATCAATATTACTACTTTTAAATCCTATAATTATTATTATTATTATTTGAATTAATTAGTATGTATGAAAAATACGTTTGGGGAGGATATCGTATGAACCTAAGTTTCAAGGAAGCATTCTTATCAATATTCCAGATCAATAATGAAACTGTTAACAATTGGACTGCAATACTGTCGGCTTTGGTATTCTTCTACTTTACTATAGACGTCATCTTCTTCTGGGAACCAACTTTGATTGGAGAAACAAAGAATGGTTATTCTTCATACTTTAATCATGTTGTGAGTGAAAACTTTTTGGAAAAGTCCATGTTTGTGGTTTATTGTGTATCATCAATTATAACATTTGGTGCATCTTTATTTTACCATTGGTTCAGTTGCATGTCTGAGAGTGCTTTCCATACCTTGTTGAGAATTGACATTAGTTCCATTGCATTATTGATTGGTGGTAGTTGTAAGTTTCAATAATTCTTATTATGGAATATCTCTAACATTATTTTGTAGACTATCCTCCATTATATTATGCATTCTATTGTACACAATCTGTTGGAGTTTTCTACATTTCCACAATTACAATCTTGTGTTTGAGTTGTGTTGCAATGTTCATCATTCCAAGATTTTCCAGAGAAGATTATAGACAATTTAGAGTTCGAGTTTTTGGATTTACTGCACTTTATGGTTTATGTCCACTAGTTCATATCATTTATCTTTATGGATTTGATAATGACGCCCTTAATAATAGACTGTTAGGTATCATGTACATGTATTTGTGCTATGCTGCTGGTGTCTTTTTCTATAGTACCAAATTGCCAGAAAGATTATGGCCTGGCAAGTTTGACATTTTCTGTCATAGCCATCAATTTTGGCACATTTTTGTCTTTTCGGTATGTAGTAGTTCTATATTTTTCTTCTTATTAACAATTAATAGGCCACATTGCTTCACTTTTACAATTGTGTCTACATGAAGACAGAGTCTGGAGTTTGTTTTGCTCCTCTTCCAAATACTTAATTTATGTAAACTATAAATATTTATTATTCACTTTAATAGAGATTGTTCATCTCCTTTTCGAAATGGTTACGCAATGGACTAACAAGAGAAAAGTTTTTGCATCATTGGTAGATTGTTGTGTCAATACACATACAGACGTTGCTATTATATTGACCAAGACACTCCAGTCAATTGTGAATAAGAGAGATACAGAGACAAGCAAAAAAAACAAACGCAACACATCATCACATGACATGGTCAGTTTTCTCTCCAAGAGGGAACAAATCAACAAGTAAGAAGAACACCGAAGAAATGATTGATAGACTAATATCAACAACACCTCAAGATGACAATAAGCTCACTCTTCCCAGTATTTCGAGAAAGCCAATGAAAATGGATTTTCGAGTAACTGAGAGAATTCAATCAAATGATGTCAATTGCCCACCCCTCAGAGGATCACCAACAAGTAGTCGAAAGAAAAATTCTATGCTAAACGATATTCAAAAGAGGGATTTGGATGCAACCATTCATAGGAGGCAAATGCTCAAGTCAACCAATTCGAAACGTCTCCTCGATACATTCCAGAAAACTAAGAGCAGTAGAGAAGTTCTCAAACAAGATCCCTCATTTCAGGAAAAGATTTTGGAATACGAAACTATTCAACCCATCGATGAAATTCAAGAAGCCAAACAAAAGATCTTTTCTCAACTGGATGACATAAGGAAGAAATCGAGAAATAATTCACCAGAAAATTCTCATAATGATCGTACTGGCGGACAGGAAGTTCCAAATCTCAAAATTTCAACAATTATCCCAACAAATTCTATTGGAAATGAAACTATTTCCACTCCAAAATCATCTTCCTTAACTGTTGCTCCAGACAACATGACACCAGTGAGTAAGAAAACCAAAAAGAAGAAGCCCAGAAGATTCGAGTCGATGAGTATTGAGGAATTGACTATTTCTGATACGGACGAAGGTAAAATGTATGCCTCTGATATTGGAAAGGAGAGTTTCAAAGTGATTTGTCAAGCAAGAAGAACACTCATCAAACAGAATAGTTACTTGCAAGAAATGGATGGATATCAATCAAGTATTAAGGAAAAATTAGAAAGGAACCGAAACTTGCTGAAACCCTATTCAAATCAGAATCCTTCAGAGTAAGATTCTATACACTTTATTGTTGTATTCTTCTTCTTCATTGTAAATATTTAAAAGATAATTCAGGATAATCATACTTTTCCAGAATATCGACACCATCTGATGTATTATACAAAGTATTGAATGGGAATTCACCGAATCTAAAACTTCCACTAAGAATTTTCAGTCTGAACAATAGAACCTAAATATTCCATTTGAAGCTATTTGATTGGATTTTACAATTCCAAACAAACATCAAATGGATTAATCGATTTTCCCGCCTCAATCGGAATTATTTACAACTATTAATGGCCATTGAGAGGATTCAATACTACACTTTAAACTTTCAGTTGAGTAAGAACTTGTTGTATTATGAAGAGTGACTTGCTTTCTCTCTTCACTGACCCAATCTCACTACAACTTCTGACACCAGACAGCTGACATCTACGGCTATAAAAACCTGGCAATGCGCGAATCATATCCAAACATCAACAAGAAAAAAAATGAACAAAATCTTCTCACTCTGCTTACTCGCATTGTTCTGTGCAGTTCTTTTCTGCGCTTCCACTTCTGAAGCCTTGAGCGTCATCAAAACCGTTCAAGCAAAGGCTGTCCCTGCCAATAAACCAAAACAACAAAAAGGAAAGAAATTTGGTAAACTCTTGAAGAAGGGTGCTTCCAAGAAGCAAATTAAGAAGGCTGCTAAGAAAGCTATCAAGAAATCAAAGAAGGAATTGAAGAAGGCTACCAAGAAGGTTAAGAAGGCTGCTAAGAAGAATCTTGCCAAGTGGAGAGCTTTGTGGGCTAAGTATAAGAGAATTGCTCAACGTGCTTTGAGAAAGTTTAGAAGAACTCAAAGGTAAGTGTCATGTCATTCGTGTTGACAATTAACGAATAATTTTATTTGTTATCCTCTCTCTCGCTTGATGACTAAATTACGGAAAATATTCGAATGTTTATTATCATCATCATTTTGATTAACATACAACAACAATTTGTGGACAATTTGTGTGATCATCATGTTGGAATGTCATGACTTTACAATATATTCTAAACGTATGATTAGAAAGTTGAAGAGAGCTCGTAGATCTGCTTCCAGAAAGACTGTTAGAAAGTTGAAGAAACAAGCCAAGAAGGCCAAGAAGACTGCCAAGAAGGCCCAAAAGAAGGTCAAGAAGGCTTCCAGAAAGGTTAAGAAGGCTAAGAAGCAAGTCAAGAAGGCTGCTAAGAAAGCTGCTAGAAAGCTCCAAAAGAAGGCTGCTAGAAAACTCAAGTTGAGCAAGACTTCTATCAAGAAACTCAATGCTACTGTTAAGAAGTTGTTAAAGTTGAAGAAGAAGTTGGGTAAGAAGTTCTCCAGAAAGTCAATTCCTGCCAAGATTAAATTGTTAGCTGCCAAGTTGAGAATTATTAAGAAGTGTAAGATTTCAAAGAAGTCTGCTGCTAAGAAGGCAAAGAAGGTTGCTGGTAAGAAGACTGCCAAGAAGGCCAAGAAGCAAGTTAAGAAGGCAAAGAAGGCTGAAAAGAAGGCTAAGAAGCTCGTCAAGCAAGCTAAGAAGGCTGCTAAGAGTGGAAACAAGAAGGCTGCCAAGAAGATTGCCAAGAAGGCTATTGTCAATGCTAAGAAGTCAATTGAAGTTGCCAAGAAGTCAGTTACTGTTGCTAAGGTTGCTGTTGAAAAGGCCAAGCAAGTTTTCACTACTATTGTCAACAAGCTTAAGGAATTAGTCAAGAAGGCTCAAATCACCGTTCAAACTGGTAAGACTACTGAAATCAAGAAGATTCAAAAGAAGGTTGAAGTTGTTAAGAAGACTGTCAAGAAGGCCAAGAAGAATGTCAAGAAGGCTCAAAAGAAGGCTAGAAAGGTTGTTAAGAAGGCTAAGAAGGTCATCAAGAAGGCCAAGAAGGTTCAAAAGCAAGCCAAGAGAGTTCTCAAGAATAAGGTCACTAAGAAGGGTATCAATAGACTTGTTAACAAGTTGATTAGACTCCAAAAGTGTTCCAAGAAGAACTAAATTGATGACTAGTTTTTGTATATAAATCACCTCCATATGCTACAGATGTATATTAATGTGGTATAACCAAATAATATTGAGTTATACTTTATCAACTGTGCAATAATTGTGTATAGTTCCAATAATAATAAATCAACCTATTTGTAAATCTTGTTTTGTTTTTCCCGCCAAATTTTTTATAAAATTATAAAAAAATGCCATTACTTGCATCCCACAACAACATTGTGTTCAATTTGAAAAGCATCGGAAGAGAATGAAAAACATGCTGCTTATCTATCGGCAAACGGCAAGTCGTCGTTGGGTGGATTGGAATGAATTCAGTCTCCCTCTAGGCTTCCTGTGATAACAAAATACCCCATGGTCTTGCATTTAGCCGCAGCGGCCCTCCCGACTCACGTCATGGTCGCCTCCTGAGAGATCAACATTATCTTTTTATTATGTACTGGATTTTACTGTGGAATGCATGTTTACAAGAGGGAGAAATTCGAATAAGAGTACCAGTTGCAATTATTTCTTTGAGTTTTTAAACAGTTTCTGATTCTATTCCTTCAGAAACTATTGAACTAACATTGGTTGGTTGATTGATGGATGAAGGTGTCGATTCATCCCTAAGATCACCATAACAGATGAAATTCTCACAGGATTAGTTGATGAAGATGGAAGAACACTCTCCTTTCTCTTCATGACATTGGATCCAACAATTTCATCCTTCTTTTCCAAAATAACTTTTGTTGAGTATTTGAGTTCTTGCATAACAAATTGAACTGGATGACTCAAAACTGGTAATCTGTAAGGCCAGAAAATCAAAATAACACACAATGCAAAGGAAACATCAGGAATAGCCTTAACCAGTGGATAAATCACATAGCTCGGTAAATCAATTGCATAAATAGCAACAGCAACCAATCTAACAATAACACCAATACCCAAAATAACTACAGCAACTGTCAATTTAACAATGGTTTGTTTCTGGAGAATGTACAATTCACCATCTTCAGGTTGACTCTTTGAAGTGGCTTTAATCATGTGAATGATAATGGCAACACAAGCAATACTCATAGCAAGAACTGCCAACACAGCCAATCCACCCAATGGAGCAGCCATTCCATACATTAAATAACGTCTTGTCTTTTCATAATCAATGGTTGGATGAGCCAAAGCCAAAATTGCCATCACTACCAATGGTGCCAATCCAACAAATGCTGCAATATTACACAAAATCAAAATAACATAAATTGTAATGGTGATGGCCTTCTTTTTGGTGGTCTGACCCATCCAAGACATACAGACCTTCAACCAAATCGGCAAAATCAGTGTGTAATTAAACAGGTACCAATAAATTGAAATGTAATCGAAAATTCTTCTCACTTGTTTTGTTGTTTCAAAATCACTCTCAATTCTCTGCAATTCAAATACGTGTTGAATAATAGTCACAATTTCATGTCCAATTCTCATCAGGTAAAACACCAACAAGGAGTGTAACAATAAAAAGAAGAAACCTTTCGACTGTGTCTTTTGATTATTCTTCTTTTCATCAACTTTCACAAATCGTTTCAATAACCTCACTGGCCATGTACTATCCTGTAAATCTCCCTTCTTTCCACAAAGTCTAGAATTAATAATCAACCAGCCCAATAACCATGATTCTCTCTTGATGTAAACAATCAGAGTTGGAATGTAGAGTAGAATAAATGCAAGTAACGAGATGGAATCAATGACTAGATTGGCTGTTGATTCGCCCACTGAAACCCATTTAACTGTTGAATTTGTTGCTGTTGTTTGAGTTGTTGCAAATAGAGAGATTCCTTCAAAATTATTCGAATCTGGATACATGTTGTTAGTGGATGGGATTGTTGAGGAGAGAATAGAATGAGTTAGTTGAGCGGTAAAATACAATGCATTTGAAAAGTCCATCTTTATGTTTAGTTTCGAATAGAATGATAAATCAACTAAATCCTTTCTTCTAACACAAAATGAAAGAGTCTATAGTTTAACAAGTTGTTTGTTTTTTTTAAAGTGTGTTTGGCTTCCTTATCAGAAACCATACGAAAAGCTATGAATCGAATAGCGAGAGATATCTTTCCACAGTATTACTTGCGATCTTAGAAGAGAAAACTCGGTCATTGTATTCACCTCTCAATTATTCATCATTCACAAATGTCATCCAATTAAAATAAAGTTTGCATTTTTGGTTTGAATAAAAAATCAAACCTTTCCAATAAATTTTTTTAGCAATACGAAAGAGGCAACCCAAACTGTGACCATGTTTGGACTATGGAGAAATGTTGTTTGTATACGAATCATTGTATGAAGGCTCTTTGTGCATTACAACAAATTATTCGAAACTTGTCAATACATTGTGAAACTTCTTAATTATCAAAATTGGTCTTTAATTGAAACTTATTTCACAATTTAAATATTGAATGTTACCTATACAGTTTCAAGCCTTTCCAAAATTCGAATAGCAAACCAGTTTAGTCTGAAAACGCAAAGGCTCATGTAACATGTTACTTGACCAAATATGAATACCAAAACAAAAGGTCACATCACTTGAATGTTCTCTAACCAAATATCAATCCTGTAAATTTTTTCAATAAATACATTCTATCGGATTTTGAGAAACTACGGTTTTTAACATTATTGAATTACACTCATAAATTTCCTTAATAAACATTTCCACTTATCCTAAATGAAATTTGTTCATGTATTCAAACTCTTGAAAAGTGCCAAAACCCTGGTATTATTTCAGTTTCTGCAATAATTCACAAAATTTTGAAAAGACTAAATCCATCATTCGTATCATTGTTCGAAGGTCATCAAAGGCCATCAAAGACTGTGCCTGATCTAAAAAAGGAAACCGTAGTGTGTTTCCTTCCTTTTTAATTCTTGGAGAGGTACATCATCTATCTGTTTTTCAATGCAAAATAATCTGTTTTACATAGCTGGACTTTATGTTCTATCGAACAAAAGAACAAAACAATTTTAATAAAAAGGCAAGACAAGCAACAACACGCACAATGATCAAGACCAATTTTCGTTCCGAATATGCTAAGCATGAGTCCACCACGATTGATTCCGAACATAATTAATCTTGATGATGATGATGATGAAGATTTGATGCAATTTTCATCATCGTCTCCTTTGCAAGACGATACTAACATCATCATCGCAAAATATTTGGAAAATACATCAGATAAGGAAAATACTTCTGATAATGAATCGACTCGCACCACTCGTACAAGTGAAACGTTGCACTCTTCTTGGGAGAATGACACACTATCCGAGTTATCGATGAATTCAATCTTAACAAAGCAAACAGAAGCATCCGATAATGAAGATGAAGACCTTGAGGAAGATGAAATGGAGACTAATGGATCGGAAGAAGAAACTGAAGAAGAAGAAGTAATTCAGAAAAAGAGAAGGCATGGGGAAGTTGTGAGTAAATCTAAAAGGATCAAGACAGAAGGAGAAACTAATGAACACCACATTCCTTCACACCTACTTCTCACCTTAGGCCAAACACTTTTCATTCCATATGCAGGCGATTCTGTTTTGATTGGAAACTTATTAGACTCAATGGTTGGCTTATCTGTTGAAGAAATGCTCGAACAAGATATGGTAAAGATGGTTCTCTCTGTAATGCAACCAAAGGAAGCTGCTGAGGAAGAATGGAATCAAAGATTGAATGAGGATAAATCAACGCAATGGACAGCTTTATTAGATACCTATCCAAAGTAAGTATTGGAATATCTCTCTCTATTAATTAACACGAATCAGATTGAAAGAATACAGCATGTTCAATTTAAAGTATGTTCATGTGAAGGAATGCCTTGAGAACGATTTTGAATTAAGGAACAAATTTGGATATGTATACACTATTGAAGATGAAGATGACAATATTATTTTGTGGATTGAATGTGAAAATGGAGACAAGTATGTGGATAAAGTCAGTCTTAGATCACATTTAAAGAAAAAGCGTTTGAGATCTGACAAACCACATTACAAAACAAACTGTTCTACATTTACCCAGCTACTTCTTAAGAGTTTACCATATCAAGCTGAAAAGATAATAGCAAATGGTTACAATGAGGTGGCATTCATAAATGTTGAGGAGGCCACTAAAAGATATGGTGCATTCATTCTTCAAGACAAATACAAGTTGGATTTCAGTAAATTGGGATTAAAGGAATACCAGGTAAAAAAGAATAGAAGTAAGAAAGCAAGTAAGGAAAAGGAAGAAAAGAAATCAGTTAGCAAAAAACCATAATTTCCATTGAATCGCCATCACTTGTTGTAACATAGCAAAACCCTGTATAATTATCAATGAAAATATTTTGAATATTTGTAAATGAATCAATTTCAAATAGTTTTTTTCCTTGATCAGAAAAAACGTGCATTACATTAGTTGTACACAAATAAATGCTCTGAGAAATACAATCATAATCCATACAGAGTCCCTCATATTCATATGAAAATGTTTTTGGTTGTTTCCATTCTTGTCTAGAATCAAAAGTGTGAAATCCAATTTCATTATTGTGGTTACCAAGCTCTGTGCAAACTAGACTAAGAGTGTAGGGATTGTATGAAATTCCAAAAAGAAAAAGGAATGTTCCAAATTTTGGAACACCATGATAAATTTCGTATAATAATTCACCATTAAGAGAATTTAGAAATTTGAAACCCTCCCTTGATCCAACTATAATTGCACTCGATCCATTCAATGAATTCATTTCCTTAATTTTCCCCAACATGGGATGTCCTCTCTCCATCAAACTCAATGAAAAACCCTTTCCTATCTCAGAAATCCACACACATTCCTCAAGTCGAAGTGTAGTTTCCTTTCCAGAATAATCTCCAATAAATCGAGTTAAATCAAACAAAGCAACTCCCTTATTAGTTGATAATATTGCAACCAATGAATCATTTCTCTCCTCCAAAATTAAAGTAAATGCAAAACTATCAAACCGCACTGTATTCATCACTTTCAATTCCTCTCTCCTATATTCTCCCTTATTTTCCGTATTCAAATTATTATTATTATGTTCAATACTATTATTAATCATTGATGAAGATGAACAGAATGTAACTCGATTTCCACATTCAATAAAACAAATCACTTGTTCCTCCTTATACATTTTACCATGCAACACATGTAACGTAAAATCTTCCATGGTTTGTTGATTGCATACTATCGTCTTTACATGCTTAAATTGATTAGAGAAGGCTTTCCGAATAGGTGAAGGCTTTCGGAATTGTTGGATAAGTCTCGGACAAGGCTGAAAATTAAAATCTACTAATTGTATAGTACATAATGATGTCGAAGAGGTTTCTTCATGTTTAAAATTGTTGAATTTTCTCTTCTTTGCTTGTTGCATTTTTTTTAATTATTAAATTAATATTAAAATCTTTACAAAATTATTAAATATTATTAAATAGTTTTTATAATTGTTCTTCTTGTTGTTTTTGTTCTTCAGTAGTGTATTCATAAACATAATCAGTAATAATTTCCTTAGCTTCATCAGATAAATATTTAGAAATTGCTTTCTGGTCAACTTTAGCGAGAGAATCCCACTCATTCGAATGTTCCTTCTTGAAATCTGCCAAAATATCCTGAACAAACAAAGCCAAACACTTATTTCTCAATTTAAATGAAGTGATAATATTACCAATTTTGGAAATGGCAGATTCCAATCGATTATCATTCAAATATTGAACTATTAAATCGAATACTGGAGTGGAAACAGATTCATTATCAAAGGTTGGCTTTTTGGTTTTTTTTCTAGGTCTTGGTGGCTTTTTTGGTTGCACAACTTCCTTAAATGCTTCATTCTTCTTCTTGATAATAAATCGTTCTCCCTTTTCCTTTGTGAACATATCTCTGATTGGCTTAATAACCACTCCTTCACAGATATTTGGACATGATTCAACGAGTGGGAGGTTGTAGAATAATTGTGGAATTTTGGTTGGATAATTGCAATCGTATTCTAAACATTCTTCCAAAGTTCCTCTCATCACTTCTTTGGCATATCGAGAAATTCCACATTCAGTGAGTAATTGAATCATCTTGTCATAGGCCAAATAGAATCCTTCTTCCTTCTTTGTTTCTACATTTAATCCAAATACATAGACATCGAACATATAGAAATCATAATCAGGAGTATAATACACATGTTTTTGAATTGGATATCTTCCTTTTACATTTTCTATTTGATCATGAGGATATTGACCTCCAAAACTATTTCAAGAATTCCAAAATAAATAAATTTTACACTTAAGGACACTTACATTTCTCCATAGAAATTAGCTCTTCTCACCTTAAAATTATCATTCGAATAGATATCACAAATACTCTTAAAAACCTTCTTTATCTGTTCCTCATATCTATTCCTCACAATCTCCACAGCCTCAGGAAAGAAATCGTCATCTTCATGAGGTGATTTTTTCTTCTTTTGTTTTTCCTCTTCATCCAATCCAACATATTGTCTTCGGGATGCAACCTGGCATTGAATATCTTCCACAAGACACGAATTGGCAGTCTGATAATTATCCCTCCACATTACAAAACTAAAATTACATCCATGAATCTTTTCAGAGACAACCCAAGGAATTGATGGATCATAATTCTCATCACGGATTAAATTCTTGGCAAATTCTTGATAGTGATTCTCGATGGAACTGTACGCTTTGAAATGATGTTGATTCTTCATGAGTTTATTGTTGGATGTTTTTTTCTTGTTGATTTACTTGAATTTTGTTGGCGCCAAATGTTGTGAAGTTCAAAGTGCAAACTCAGATTAGCACTTGAAGTATCACTTGGGATTTGCATTTAATAACTAAGCTCATTGAAATCTCACAAATTACTCACTTTATTTGAAGTTAATAGGAACAATTAAATGGCAGTTCCAGTTTCAGTCAATTGACCAAGACATTGTCTAGCTCCAACCTTTGAAATGGTTGGCCAAACTTGATTATCAATCTTATCAATCTTTGTCTTGTTCAAAACAATGACCTTCATATATTGTAAATAATAGTAAAGTTCCTTATCTGATTTTTCACATTCTCTCAATTTCTTATCCAAATCAGAGATGGAACGACCCAAACAATTCAACTTGACATTTCCTCCCCAAACATCTTTCAACCATCCACCAAATTTGTTCATGGTAATTCTGTCAGAATAAATTGGGACGAATTGATATTCGAATTTGGTGAATTCCTTTCTAGCAATAAGTTCTGAAACGAATTTTGCAACATCTTCATAATTGGAAATTTCAAATTCTTCATCACCAGTTCCATAGAAATTCAAAGCATGTTTCTTAGTATCGACAATGAAGGAAACTTGGAGCAACTTTTCAATAAAGATACCACACAAGATGGAAATCCATTTCAATTGAGTATTCTGATTCAAGAGTGCGTGAACCTTCTTTCTTACATCAATTCTAGGCAACATTTCTGTATTATCAAGTTTAGTAAAATCAATACTAAAGTCAGATGGAATGTAATACTTGACGTTGGCCTTGATACATGATTCAATGACACGAGTTTCAGCTTTCAATTCTTCTTCATGATCGAAAAAGTTCATACAATTCAACACCAAAGTGAAATCTTTGAGAATATTAACGAAATCTTCACATGAATCTTTCAAGACATCGAAACAGAAAATCTTTCCATTAAGCTTCTTCTCCCATACGTTCAATTTGTCACGACTTTCGGATGGAACTAACAAGGAGCATTTAACATCTTTTTGATGATTTTCGCACAAGTTTTTGACTATTTGGCAACCAAGATGACCGGAAGCACCAAGGATTAGGACATTCAAATCAGAGATTTTAGATTCCATTGGAAATGATTATGATGTAATTTTTTCTCAATGCAAATATGAGTTTCTTATATAATTGTTGTCTTTAAAGGAAATCAACTTTTTCATTTTTGGAAAATTAACAATTTTGGCAAGAGTATTGAATTGATAATTTCCATTTTCTAAATAATTGTTAATTGTTCCAACCCTTTTTTGAAGAAATTCTGGATTCAACAATTATTCATACGGTAAGCAAATGCATACTGAAGAGGAAATTGTAAATCTTGAATTGAATCTTCCTTTGAACTAATCTCAAAATAAACTAATTTTGCATTTGAGAATTTCATTGCATCATTATATGTGGGCACAAGTTCAGCAATATATTCAGAAATTACTTGTTGAGAGACTTGTCTTTTCAAATCCCTCTTCATTCCCAAAATAATAAACAGTATGCTATCTTTTCTGGTATCTTCTTTCATTTCTCTGAAAATGTAAAATTGCTGGTCCAAATCGACAACTTGTTTTTTCATATCCTCAAATGAGGCGGAATCACTCAAATCAAAGCAGAAGAAAACAACACGGGCTCCTCTATAGTAAGATAATGAGTTATGTGAAAATTGTGGATCACCACTTGTGTCCCAAATTAGAAATTTCATCATACATTGACTATCGTTAAAGTATTTCGGATAGAATTCCACGCCAATTGTTGGACGATATATACTGCTAAATTCTGATTGGTGTAACCTTTTCAAATATTCACTCTTTCCACATTTCATAGGTCCTAACAATGTCACATTATGGAGATAGTCAATTTTCTTCTCTGGACGAGATTGACTCTTTCGAATTTCACTCATAAATCTTTCATACAATAAAACATAATCCCGTGGATGCACCATCTGCATCTGACTCTTCTCGTATGCAACTGGTTTGAAATGTATCCAAGTTTCATTGGCAAGCTTATTCAATTCTTGTCGCCAAAAAATATCCAATCCCGACCAAACGTTGAAACTCTTTGAAACTCTTTCCATCATTATAACATCAAAGATTGTAAGATAATCCATAATGTGCATTTTCATCTCATCAGGTAATTTGATAATTAAAATTCCTAATTTTGTTGTTATTATTGAATTGTTAGTTTCATCATGTATACTATCAATTTGTTGTTGTTCATTGAAATTTTCATCATGATCACAATTAATTAATTGATTATTATTCCGATCATCTTGAGAAATTAAATTATTCTCTTCTTGCTGTTCCGATGTGTTGGGAAGACTTTGAACCAATGCTGAATATCTCGCTGATGAAACCAATTTCCAATGCGAAAATTGTTGATATCTTGAAAAATCGATTACCTTTCTAGTACTACTTGCTGGCGGCACTTGTTTTTGTCCCATTTTTTGTAATGCTTTCCTTTACTAGCATCACACATGGTAGAACAAACAAACTCGGCTTGTTACCTGCCTGGATGATCCTTCCACCCGTTAGTTACCTTAATATTTTTCAAATTGTCTTCTTGCAAGGCTTGTAAATTTTTTTGGCGAACAAGACTCTGCGGTAATTAAGCTTGAACTATTAAATGATTGGAAAGATATAAAAAATAATAAAACAATCATCATGATGATGAAGATGGAATGTCCACTCATGTTTCTTCAAGAGGAGGTGGGAGAATTCAGTACCACTGTATATTTCAGAGTAGCAGCATCTCAATCCGAACACCAACTCCCAACTAACTATTTTGAACCTATAAGGAGTGAGGTAATTATTGATAGTTACTTTGAAATTCCACCCTTTTGCTTACTAGAGGTGGATGGTGATTGGCCAATGGCAAGACTAATCTTTTCAGATTTGAATACATGTAAAGAGGACTTTATTTTGAAGAGTAAGAAACGAGAAGGCAACCAAATCACTGACGATTCACTAGTTCACTTTAATGTTAAACATTATGGCAGTAGCACAGATCTTGTGAATGCAATTTTGGAGAATAAGAAAGATAAGTTAGCATTTGTGAAATCTAGTGTTTGCCAACGATTCATTGCCACCACTCACATTCTGAGATATGTACTGCAACACAAAACAGACCCACAAGTTGAATTGCAACTGTGCAGTCTAAAGATTGGACTCGAGTATTATAATTTCGGTAAGATTAAGGTGGGAAGAAAGTGTGATGCAAATGAAATGGAAACCTTTTTCAGTCAATTGAATCCAATGGAATTGCAATACATTATTCCAGCAAATAGTCCTGTTATTAGAAAAATGCAAAGTGAAAAATCCCTCCTTCTCCAGACCATACCATCCTCTCAAATCTACCACTTTATAGACACATCATTATCTGAAAGTCCTCTTCACTTTAAACATGAAAAATTTAATGACATTCTATTAGAAACTCTAGAAGAAGTTTCTGAATACTGAGAATAAAGTAATACAACATGTGAAAGTAATATATTTAAAGTTTATATTCACTTCAAATATAGTATTATTTCCATAAAAAATTTAAGCATTGAAACCAGCAGCTCTAACAACTTGTGCAGAGGTGTATGATGAAACACTGAATCCAGAATCATTAACTTCGAAAACACCATTAGAGTAACTCTTAGCCAAAACCCAATGTCCACCATTTCTGACGTTCAAAATGACAACCTTTCCTTGACAGACCCAATTGATAATAGCTTGCTTATCAGTAGTTTGTCCAAGATAATTGAATCCAAGTCTAGAAACAGCTCCCCAAACAAACAAATTTCCATAATAACCTCCATTCTTCAACAAGTATTGGTTCAATTGACCTGGGTTCATTGAACTCTTTCCTCTACCATTCAAAGCAGAACAAACTGAATTCATCAAACAACCAACTTGACAAATAGTGGAAGAACTTCCAAGTCTATCACCACCCCATCTAGAATCACATTGTTTAAAGAGTGGATAATTGTAATTTTGTCTACAACCAGATGTAGAACCACCACCACCACCTCCATTTTGAACAACAGTTAAGAAATTAGAGGCAGCATAACCAGTTCCAAAACTACCAGAAACCTTATACCAAGTATAACCACATCCACTTTGGACTTCACCAGTGAATTTGACAACTTGACCATTTCCAAGAGTAGTAATAATTGATTTACCAGTGCATGGTCCACTTCTGACATTCAAAGCAGTGGTTGCTTTCAAGGAAGCTCCACTAGCAATTGATGAATCAGATTCGGCATCTGACATTTCGAAATCTTCTTCAGATTCGGATTGAACACTTTGAATGGCATTAATTGGAAGATCAATAGCGAAATTGGTGGCCAATGAAGGTTCTCCAACCAATTTGACACTTCTATTGTTTGGATAAGCACGTTGACAAGAGACAACGACAGCAAATGTCAAGAGCAATAAAATTCCCACGAAGATTTTGTTCATTTTTTTTGTGATGATTTTTTGGCAGTTGAAAGGTTGAATATTAAAATCAAATTGCTGCTCAGCCAATACGGATAATAAACATGAACGAGATGGTAATGAAAGAATAAAAATAGAATGTTAAATAATTGGGGCATTATGATATTGAGGGGGCATTGAAACGAATCGAATAGAAAATGTGCATTTATTCCAAACAAAATACTAAGTGATGCTTGAAAGGTAATCTTGCGCTGGAGTAACCGACAACATGATCTTGAAATGCATGCTTGTTGTTTGAAGAAGGTGGTTATTGTAATAGTTTGTGATTGTTCAAATGGATGTTAGATAGAGAAATTTCAATCTTTTTGCATCTACAGTTCTATCAAATAACTTCTTTCCAATATTCGAATAAGATTTTTACAAAATATACAATAGGATTTTATGCCTCCTTGTTTGGAATTGGAGATTCAGATGGATATGTTATCTGTTCGTTTGGAGCCTCAATTGAAAACATATCTTTACCATTATAAATAAATTTCTTACTCTTGTACATGTATTCATATTCATTCCTAAATGAATCTGCAATCTGACACCACAATGAGGCATTTTCCTCAATATCAAGTTCAGTTTTTCCATCCAACCATATCAGTGCAATTCGAATCTTGTCTCTTAATGATTCCATTGTGGCAATCTCTGAAAAGATAAACGTCCTGTTTGTAACTGTATCCTTCTGGCAATGTTCCTTTTCAAACTCTTGTTGATAAATCTTGGGTATCGACATTTTAGCCCACAAATGATACAGGTAATTCCTAGCTGATTTGTAATCATTCAATTCTCCATATTCATCTGTGAGTGAATCAATATCAAAAGAAAACCAATCGATTGGCATTTCTACTTGTTGTCTACTTCTCATTGAAGAAGACAATGGTTTGAAATTAAAAACTGGAAAATCTCCCAAATCCAATTCATCTAACATGTCTGCACTTTTCCAATACTCTTCTTCCTTTTCAAAGAAATTAGATGAAAATCCTAGAGGGCTCTTCTTATCATTACAAGGTGATCGAACATATTCATTTGGATTACTAAATGGAAATCTATTATCCCATTCCTTCTTTACAGATCTGACACTATTCGATCTCTCAATAGGTTCACAAGCCCACCTCGAAAGTAACGACGAATTCATCGTCATTGTTGATGAAGAAGGTACTGAAGATTTAGATCTTTGAGAGGAGTAGGATCTCGTCGATGGAGAGGTAGAATACATAGTCCTAGTGGTACTTGGGTTGGATCGGGATTGAGTCTTATTCATACTATTAGATTCATACCCGATGGGATTATCAAATTTACTCCTAAATTTAGCTAGTTTTAGTCTCTTCTTTTGTTGGTAGGTGAGTTGTTGTTGTTGTGCTTGTTGTTTATCCATGCTGTTCATTCCCTTAAAGGTTTGTAGGGGTGGCGGTTGTAAATGTACAAGATGTTGATGATCCGACCTCTTTGATGACATTGTAGTGGTCATGCTGATTCGTTATATTATTATTATATGATAGTGGGTGTAACGGTCGTTTTAAAAATGATGATTGAGGGTGAGAGGTAAGGTGGTGTCCTTTTTTTTTCGTTGAAAAAATCGTTACACGATGTTGCTGTAGTTCAAGCATGAACTATGTGACATTACCGTAACGAATGGTTGCAAATCAAGAATGGTTTGAATTCGCGAATAAGAGTAAAAAGGAATAATGGTAAGGAAAATTTATTCAACCTTAGATGATTGCTCTGATTGTTCTAGAGAGAGGGATCTGAAAATAGGGAAGAAGGAAGTAACATCATCATTGTCTTCACATCGATCGTAAATGTATTGTTCTGTACCTGTGAATTCAGTCACTGATTTTTGGTAGAGGTAAATTAAAAAGTAGACATAATTCCACAAGTAGTGTTCCTCCTTGACATGCTTTTCAAAGGTGATACCTTCATTGGCTCTTGTATCGAATTTAGTTCGTTCCAATCCACAAATAAAACACTTATCTCGAATGTCCTTCTTTCTGTCTTCTCTTTCATTTCTCAGTACTTCAAACGAATCGAGAATGACACCAAACACAACGTTAACAAGTAACACAATAACTATCACTAAAAAGGAAAGGTCAAGTATGGCTCTCTGAACTGAAACATTTGGATCATAAATATCCTCCCAAAAAGATTCTCCTCTAAAGCCATAATCCAACATGGTCACATAGCAAGCTAACATATCTTCACATGTCTTGTCGCCTGTCTTGGAGATTTTAAAATCTGAAGAAAAGAAGGTAAAATAGAGTGTACCAAAGAAGAATAAGGCAATACACAACAACATTCCTGTAAAGAACAAACGTTTCACATTCGAAGTAACTGATTTCAACACATCGGTCAATGACTTGAAGATGTAAACCATTTCAAAAAGCTGTATCGAGTAAATAATTGGAGTTATCAACAATCCAATCACAGAGACTACAATGTAAATAATAAAATACCAAATTTGAGAATCTTGTATGGTATATAAAAAGCATTTGGTCATAAAATCAAAATCTCTTGGAATTGAGTCCCACGTTTCGTTTTTCTTTAGCTTGAATCGTTTCTTCACTTCCAACGTCAAGAAGAGTGATACATAAATGACAAATAGAATTACCAGGAAAATCAATTGTGTCACACCAACAATAATAAGAATTATATCACTTGCAAGATTTCTAGGTGCTGTAGTTTTGGTGAGAGCATATACATCAAAGTCACTGCCAGGTAAAGGTATTTGAGAATACTCTGTTGTTGCATAAATTCTCTTAAATGTTCCCAAAACAATAATATTAATAATAACAGAGAGGAAGAATGAAGACAATCTCAAGTAATCCCACCAATTGGCAATATATTCCCATGATGCTGTTTTAACCTCTTGTTTCTTCTTTTTCTTTCGTTTTGCTAGCAAATTGCTGGTTGTGGCAACGAGAGACATTGAAGGCAAAAGATTTTCCATTTCCTCCTCTGGTTCCTCTTCTTCTTTCTTGTTGAGATTCGGAATAGTAAAAGTCTTTTTCATATTTTCATAGTGACACATTTCCACATAGAATGTACTGAATGTGTCATTGTACAATTTCCTAACTTTTTCTTGTGGAGTCATTACGTGCAACGAATTGGCATAGTTGCTTCTTGCCTTATCGATAATATTGTTACATATTGTTGGTTTGGGAAAGTAGATCTTTTCAAGTACGTTATTTCTCAATACTTCAATGCTACCAGTTCTTTGTTTGAAATAAGAGAGCTCCTTTGAATTGGTTTGGAAAAAGTTGGCTACTCTTGATTCCTCTTCCAAAGCTTGAGTACCCTTTCTGAATTCAGTCTCACTGTCCCTGATCATGGAGAGAAGGAAAAAGATGTGAGTTCCCAAGTCATCGTATTGCAATCTAATCTTCTCGAGATTGTCCTCCATATAGTCGTCGACACGGATTGGCTTCTTTGAACTCTTCTCAGATTGATACAAAACATGGAATCCAAAGTCTTTACGCATTCTCTTTTTGAGTCTTTCAAGATCATCACAATCATCATGGTTATTACCCGATAGAGTTTCGAACAATCTCAAAATGTACAATAATTTTTGTTCAAAATCATCCAAATTCAAAGAATTTTTCATGAATTCTAATGTGACTGTGTTTCTTCCTTCCAATAGAGATATTAAGAAGAGTGTAATTTCCTTCTTGAGGTCAAGCTCTTGTTCCTTCAACAACTTGCTGTCATCGTAGGTCTTACTCATGATTTCATTGATAAGTCTTGGATAAATCTTATTGGATGTACCAATTAAATTTTGGTTAAAGACAGCAGGTCCTTGGACAAATTCGGTCAGGGTCTTAAAACCTTGGATGGCTACTTGAACATTGTCTGCATCCAATTTCTTTTCCAAAGCAATCAAATATTCAATAATTTCCGTAATTAAATCAAAGCTGAAAATATTTCTTGGTTGATGTTTCAATAGGGCTTGATTTTTGGTATTATGGCCTTCACACAATAATCTCAAAAATTCCATAGTGTTAAAAATGAATCCCTTTTCTACAAATTCCACACCAACTTCATCTTCTTCGTTATCATGGTCAGCATTGAGGTTAGTTGTAGACTTTTTCTGGTTAGCTAGTGCCAACTCCTTGTCTCTCTTTTTCTTCAAGTGATTCTTCATTTGTTTGATTTCAATCTTTGAGAGACGGATTCTGTCTCTAAGAGACATGAAAAATTCGGTAGAGTCTTGATCTGTAAGAAGCGAATAAATATGATTCTGAACGTCAAGATCTCCGTCATTCAATATTAAAATACCAAGCTCCAAAGCTGATTTTGCAATTTGATGGTGGTTAGAGTTGAGGAATTCAATAACTACCTCAGGAATTTTCTTTTCCACCAAATCTAATTTAAGAGTTGATTCTTCGGTTTGTTGGTTTTGCCTTTCAACAATACTCTTCAAAATATCCATACCAAAGAGTCCTACCTTCATGTTCTGAAGAAGTAAACCAGAACTATTCAAGTCACGTAATACATTGACGAGTGTTTTGATAAATCCATCATATTTGATAAATATGGCAGCAAGCTCTGAAAAGTTGGAAAAGTTTCTATTAATCTTGGAAATTATTCTGTCTTTCAAGTACTTTTTGTATGTGTTGTGGATAAGTTCGTCCTTCTCGGTACTGGTTGATGTTTGTATTCTTGATCTATGTACCTTGGCTTTAGTGGCCTTATTTGAAATGAAATTAGAAATTGCTTTCTGACTAGTTGAAGACATACTTCTCTTCAACATGGCCTGAATACATTTGAGAACTTTATCCCTATTCTCTGGATTTGGTGTATGTTTGTGAAGTTCTATGAGTTTTATCAACAAATCTTCTGCAATATCCAACTGTTCTTTTGTCAGATTTGGAGGTGGGAAGTGGAGATGGAAATAATCTCTCACACAAGGAATCATAATATCAAACAAATAGGTATTATCAACTTGATAGGTTTCTTGATCTTCCTCACTAGGTCCAACGACTTTTGGAAGTGCTACAGAGTATGTTTTCGAAGATCGTTTGGAAGCAGTTGTTGACAATCCACGGTTTTTGGTTGGAGTAGCAAACAGTGAAGTGTTTGAGAGGGTTTTGCTTGGTGTTGTTGGGGTTCGAGTATGGGCATGCATAATACTTTGTCTTTCACCTTTTTGTGTGGATAAAATCAAGTCGTTACCATCTGATTCATTTGAATAGGTCATTTCTAACACTTCCAATTCAGTAACCATTTTAGAGAATAACTTGAAAAGCATTGGATGATGAACATTTACCATCTTGCTCTCAGATTCTGTAGAGTCATCTGATGCCTTTTCAACATTCAAGTAAATTTCATCAATAACTTTAACCAATGGATTTCTCAATACAGGTAGAGTACAACAAATAACTTGTTCTAAAAGTTCTTCATAGCTGTAGAGGGTTTGTAATTTAAGCTCACTCTCTCTGTTTTTACCATCAGCAAGAGAGGCCAACAAGTATAAAAGGGCAATGTGATAATTTAAAATACCATCTGGTTCAGTTTTGTGTTCACCTTTGATAATTCTTTGATTACGTTCTCTGAGACCTTCTTCGTCTTTGAAAAGAATCATAATGTCCTTCTTTCTTTCGAGCAGATATTTGGTAATGAGTGATTGGTTTCGTTTGATTGGATTGCCATTATTTGTTCCCAGAATGACATGCAAGAACAACAACATGAAAGAGCAAGGTTGCTCAGCAATTTGGTCAATGTAGTGTTCGATTAATTTTTCTTCAATAGTACTGCACAGACCTCTATTGTCTCTTACCATTTCACAAAGGAGAATGACAATCTTCTTATCTAGACTTCTATTCTCACCAATAGTGTGAATAAAGAATTCCAATTGTTTGAACATAATCTTTTGATTGTCTTGATTTCCTCTAACAAAAGCAATTAAAATATCAATACCAATCTCTTCAATTTCCTTGCTCACAATATAATCCTTCTTGAGGAATGTGAGAATAATATCATAAATGAAGAGATTTCTCACTATTCTTTGTGATCTTTGACCATTCTTCTTGATATCTGATAGGATTTCATTGAGAGCTTTTAGGACTTTTTTCTCTTCCTGTTCTGTGAGTCTTCTAGTACCAAAATAATTGCTTTGACCATAACCAAAAACAGATCGCAACTCAACTACCTGTGAAAGTAGCAAATCGTAGGATTTAGCCATTTCTCTCGAAACGATAAGTTCAATCTTTGGAAGAACTTCACATAATTCTTGAGCAGATCTGTACTTTCTAATTAGTAAATCAAGGCAGGTTGTAGCGAGTTCCTTATTTTCATATTTGGTCAGCGAAAGAATTTTAACATCGAATCGATCCATCTTGTTGAAAATAACATCCTTTTCGAGAATATCTTTGATTACAGCATATTCATTAGAGTCAATTTCGGCAAGTCTTTTCTGTTGTAAAGCTCTATTGTCCATTGGTATCACCTCTTGTTCTCTAAGTACAGTCTCAATCTCTTCCTCTCTGTATTTCTTCCAAAAGAATTGCAAGAATTTTGTCACTCTCTTGTCTAAAATAATGTCTAGAATCATGTGGAAGATGGAAGCAATTTCAATTTTGATCTTCATGAGGGTTAAATTTTCTTCTACGTTTTTGTGTCTTTCTTCCTCACTAAGAATTCTACCATCCTTCTTGTCATTATCTCCTCTGAGCATATCAAAGAGAGAATTCAACAAATCACCCTCCTCAAAGTCTATCAATGTAAGAACTCCAAATTCCAACATTCTCTTACACATAATTACAACGTATAATGTAAAGTTGTTGTGATCCTTCTTTTCTAAAGACACATCCAAGCTAACATTCTCTCTAAGGAATTTCCCTAAAAAATCTTTGATTTCTGCCAAATCCTTTGAGTTGCCGTCTTCTTTTGATCTTTGATTGAGAGTACTGGTTTTTCTGGTGTAGTCAATCAGTGGTTTCTTTTCTCTCTTCTCCGTATCAATGAAAGTTTGGATCAAAAGCTTTACAAATGATGTTCTGACGGCTGGTGTTAAATTCTTATCAGAGACACATTTGTGGACAACTTCGTAGGTGAACAGAGAAACAACAGATCTTCTCGCATCCTCAATTTCTTCATTTCTTCCTGTACAGAGGGCAGCAAAAAGACGAATTTCCTCTTGGAAGAAGATGAGTTGTTCATAATTTGGTCTTGTGTATCCATTGTATGTATCATCTGTTGCAGACTGAGAGAAACTAATCAAGTCTATTTCATCATGATTGACTTCTACCACAACCTTGTCTTCATTGTTAAGCTTTGGAATGATAAAAACTCTTCTCAATTGGTCCTTATATTTTGAAAAAAGCAAATTACCAATATATACCTGATTTTTCACCACAGTTTTACCTTCACAAATGATCAAGCTAGTCAAAAAGGATAAATAGACAGCCTTCTTCAAGCTCTTGGAACTTTGTCGCATACCAATCTTTGATGTGTTTTCAAAGAGAAGCTTGACGAAAAAGTCAATTTGTGACTCGGTAATCTTGTTCAAAAGTGGATAATTGTTGGATAAGATTTCCAACAGAGCTTCACTTGCAGCAATGCTATGTTCAATCAGAGTTTGGATAAAGTTGATATATTGTGCCATGTAGAGACCGTTAGATTCGTTTGAAAGGACAAACTGTCTAATGAGTCTGAAGGAGTACTGAACCACATCAAAATAAAGTGCCTTCTCTGGCTTTTCATAAATTAAAGATAAATCCTCAATTGATAAATATTTCTTCAATAATAGAGTGATATTTTCCATTACAAGACCAATGACTCCCATATCTCTGATGATATTTTGTCTAAGTTTAACAGGAATACCACCTCTTGTTAGAGGGTCTGTCTCTTCACTAATAGTACAAAATCTAATGCAATTTGCCAATGCACCAATGTAGAGTTTGATATCTGACTTGTCAATGAGCGAGTCGTCCAACTTGGATTTGAAATACCTAATAATTGGCATGTAACCAGCTACGGTGAGTGCATCATTCAAATCCTCATGTGAAACAGCTGAAAAATTGAAAACATCCTGTTCAAACATTTTCAAAGATGAAGTTACTCTCTGATAGGTTGAGTCAGCAAGTGGTCTAGATATGTGTACCCAAGAATTAGTGGCTTCATGCCTCAATCTAAAGTAATCGGTGGTTTGAACTTTCTCACCCTTCTTTTGTCCTCCAGTCGAGTCGGTGAAATGGAAGACACTGGTTGGTATTGGTTGTGTAATCAAGTCATCAAAGTTTTCAACATGAAGAGTCCACAATGAATCATTTTGTGTTACGCTGCCTGATCTATTTCCTCGTGGAGTGGCTACAATTGAACTTTTTCTAGGTGCATTAACTCCAAGTTGGCTCAAGTTATCACCAGATGTTGGTGTGTTTTCTCGTTCATATCTTTCTTCAATGGCATCATCCGCTTCAATGGTTATTCCTTTAATAGGACGAATCACCATGTATTTTCCACTTGCCAAGTGTCTTAGACGGAATTTCGAAGTCCACTTTACAGTACCAGAACAGCTAGAGTCTAAAAATTCCAATTGCCACAAAGTTTGAGGACTCACATAGTCAGAAGATTTAGATTCCATACCAGCCAAGCTTGTATCCTCAGAGTCGTTGATTTGTAGATTGCTTGATTTCTTGAAAAATTTAATTCTATCCGTTTTTTCATTCACTCCAATATATCCTTCCAATTCCTTGTGGTATATTCTCATAATGGTGGATCCTGCTTTGAGTTTTCTATTTGTTTCATCATTTTGTGGTGTGTATTTTTGGTAGAGTTTCATTCTCCACCTAGTGAATGCAGTACTATTCGCCATGTTAACTTCTCTTCTACTATCGTAGGAATATTTTCCTCTATTTCGTGATAATTTTACAGCTTGTTGAGCTAATTCTGTGTATGAAGAATTTTCATTCACTCTTTGATAGGTACCATCATTGTCTTCTCCAGTTGTGTATCTATAATAGGATAAGTGAATAAATTGGTTGGACTTTTTGTTGTAAAGTCTAATTTGATCAGTGAGTTTAACTTGATCTCCATCCTTTTGAAAACTGGAATATGGCATTATTTGAAAGTATGAATAGGTAGATCCTTCTTTATCGAGGGCCAATCTCATACAATCCTTTTGCATTTCTGCAGATTCTCTTGCTACTGTCAGATAGCACTGTGTTTGTACATGATACAATTGTACTGTTTGTCCATAGACAACTGGTTTTGAAAGGTTTCTTTGTGATTCCATCCTATTTTGTTCAAGTTCTCTTTCAGCTCGTTGTTCCAATTGTTGATATTCTGTTGAGAAGGAGGCTGTCGAAGGCATTACATTATTCTTGTTATCCTTTGTTTTTTTGTTGGCCTCTTTCAACTCTTGTTCTTCTTTGAAGGTTTTGAACTTTTTCAGTGCTGAATAACTCTTTGGATGACAAATCTTGAAAACACAATTAGAAAAGTTTGGTGTAAAGAAGGAAGAATCCTTTTCTGAAATGACAGATTCCACCAGACCACATCTAGCTTGTGGTTTGTTTCTAAAATATTGATGAAATAATAAAAGTAGTATTTAACAGAGAATAAAGAAGGTGAATAATTAGTTGAATATTTAAACAATATTTACCCTTTAACATTCTCGGAACAAGTCAAATTAATACCATCCACACTCAAGAACCCAATCATTGAATTACCAGTACTTTTTGATGACAAATCCGTATAGAAGGAAATTTCCTCTCCAATTCTCAAATAATCTCCCTTCTTTTTCATCATCATATTATTCATCCACAATTGTTGCTCATCCTCCTTCACATCACTCATCACATCTTCATCCTCATCATACAAATGATGATCAAAGCCTTGTTGTTGCTGTGCAGAAGAGGATGATGATGACGAATATTCGGAATGTTGTTCATGATGATGATTTGATGTGGCGCCATTATTTTTAACGGCAGAAGTGGCGCTTACCGATACGATGAGTTGTTCTTGTTGTTGATGAAATAAGAGTGCATAGTCAAAGAGGTGTTGTGATGATGGTTCGGAAGAGTTGCTATTGTTATGATTATTGGATAGTGTCATGTTGTGAAAAGTCTTCCAAAACTATTTCACTTATTTTTTTTTGTTAAATGTTGACAGATGAAGGATTGTCAGCTTATCAATATTTCAAGACGTGTGTTATACAATTTAATTGATAAATATTTCCTCAATCAATACAACTATTAGCCATTGTTAATCCTAATGTTGTATTATCTGAATTATTTAAATTTTGGCGCCAACTAGTTGAAAAAAAAGAACAAACATCTCATCAAGGTTTTGCTTTTGATTTACAGTTTTTTTGTATTCCTTCCGATCACTGACTCACCCTGGCTACAACTTCTGTAATATTGTTATTCTTGCTACAGTAATACTCCTCCTTTTTGTAAATATATTAAAAAGAATGAAATTAACAATTCGATCCGATAAACCAATTGTAAATTTGTATAATAATTTCCCAAAAGATTTAAGGGAACATTTGGAAAAGTGGGATTTAGGTACTGAGAGTACTTTCTATGAATCGTTCTATGTGGATTTGGATATGAATCAACATGATGAAGCATTAGTAAATACCGAATCTAAGGAACTGCTCCTCAAAAGGGCCCTTGCAAATTCTGATCAAATCAAGGAACTGGCTAATGAGTACTTGAATAGATTGAAAGAGAGATTTATTTGCTGTGGAGCTCTGCATCAATTAGATACTGTTCAAGATGTGTCACCTATGAACATCAAGTTGGCAGACATGACGTTAATTCAGAGAGAATTTCTAACCAATGAGTCGTTGTTATACTTGAAATCTCTCAACACCAGAAAATGCTTAGACGAACAAATTGACTCTGAAATGTATGTCTCTGATGAGTACAGAAAGGCTATGGCATACATGTTGTGGGCTGAAGGATGTACCTATTACAATGAAGATACTTTCATTGAGAATTGTAACTTCCAACAGTACGGACTAGTGGAGGACTCTTGGACTAATATTTGTGCTCGAGAGCTACTGTTGCATATACATGCAAGATTGGTTATAGGAGGAAAATTTGGCCAGTATGAAGATAATTTGATGCCATATTTTAATAATACCAAGTTACTATATAAGAACATTGTCTCCGTGCAGAAAGTGAGCAGTGTTGATTCAAATCAAAGTAGTCAAGGTTTTTCCATTGCATCCAAAGCGTACAAATGCCCAGTCACCAACGATCTGGTGGATAAGAGTTACTTCCTCCTAATTGTTCATCCAATAGATAAGAAGGTTACAATCATGTTGCATGCAGAGTGAACACAACATAAATTCTTTTGATTTTCCAACATGACATTTTTGCTAAAATATTGCCTTGCCTCTTTTGTAAGAAATCCAAGAATGGCACTATCGAAGGATTTTGCTGACATGAAGAAGGTCGAATAAAGATGCAGCTTGCCACACCAACAACGCGGCATTCACTGACACCAAAGTGATTAATCAATCGAATAATTCAATTGTCAAACTGGCACAATTAAAACAAATACCAAAACACTGCTGACTCTCCTTTTTCACAACAAGAAGAGATAACGTATTGGCCTCTCGATTATTATAATGAATGAAACTAGACATGTATCTTCCTCCACACCAAGAAAATTAAATACCTACTCCTCTTCTTCTTCAACAAGTCCTTCACAGCAACAACAATCAGAATGTTCAACATCATCCTCTACATCGGTTGAAGGAACAACCATACCAGCTGCCACATCAAACTTTGGAAGCACGAGAATAACAATTGTAAGTGACAATATTTGGTTCACACATGTGATAAAAATCCTGGTTCCTCACTATTTAATCATCTACATGTTACATTTCAATATTTCGTAATTATCGATAGACTAAAGAGGATATGGTAAGTAATTGTTTTATTGAATGATCTCATGAATTTTATGATGATGCATTTCAGAGTCGTTACTTTAATGCACCACAAGTCATGGCTGCTCGATTATTGAATGTCAGTGTGTCAACTCTCAAGAGAAGATTTTATGAAATGTATGAAGGGAGGTGGCCCTATCAAAAAGTAAGTTTTTCTGAATGCATGCATTTGCAACTTCAATACATCATTACATCTACAATACATGTCAAAATGTCATCATCTGTCTTGACATTTTGAAATACATAACATTCGTGGATCTACATCATCTTTGTTCCATCTCTTTCTAGATGCCAACACAAGAAAGAAAGAAAACCATCTGGTATTACATTAACGAGGAAGATGAACCTGAAAAGAACATTTCAGATCATAGTTTAAGAGTGTTAAATTTAGCATTTACAGACCCAACTCAGCCCAAAGTCATTTTCTTTCCTGAGGAAGCTAAAGTGGATAAACCTCGTAAAAAGGATATCACATTCCTGAGCTATGTTCCACAAAGTGGATCAGGTGAAGGAAATTTGGAAAATGTAACCAAAGACTTGGGTAAATTAAAAGGAGGTTCTCGTCAAAAGTACTCTCTTGTTGGTGTTACTGGTGTTAAAAAAACTAGAAAGATGACTTCTAAAAAAAAGTGAATTTACTGTTGACATGCTCTCCAGAAAAATAGGGCAGAAAATACCAAAAGATATAGGATGCAAAAAGCTATCAGACTGTACTTTTTTGGAGATTTCATTCCTGTTATCATAAGTGTTATCAATTAATTGGAAAAGAAGAACTGAACTTACCTGCAACTGTGAAAAGTATGGCAGTAAGGAATGCATACAAATAGTCATACCATTCTGGGGGAAGTAATGGTGCTTTGACAGTAGTAATTCCATCAAGTGATAATCTTGGACAAATGAAACAATACTGGAAAGTTAAACAAGGTGCAATCAAACTATTAAATGATTTCTCAATATTAAATTTTAAATATTGAATACATACCTGAAAACATGGTGGAATTTCGTATAAAATTGAACAGGTTTGATTACAAATAGAATTCCCAAAATTAATGATCCAACACTCAATACTACAAACAAATACCAATTGATATTTTCCATATTTTGTCCACCCATAGTAATTAATGAAACACTCCTCTCTGTTGGAGCATAACAAGGCATTAAACTGTACAATAGGGAAGATCCACCTCCATTACAAGGTGGACACAATAATCCCAAATGAATAATATAAATCAATGATCCAATCATGATGGCACTCATTCCTTGCAAGACTCCAAACAAGCAATCACTTGGATAATGCACACCTAGGTAAATTCTGGCACAACTCGAAGCTAAGGCACTCAACATGCAACATGGTAGACACCAACTCCAAAATGCAACATCAGACATTGATTCTCCATTTATAATACATCTCACAAAGTAACAAACCAAAAACGAATATACCACAGAGCAACTAGATTGAGTTATCTTCCACAATTCGGTTCATTTAATACTTACGTAACTGCTCGACTTGGAAATGAACTTGTTTTGTCTTTGGCTATTTTCAATGCTCTTCCAGCAAGGTATGGTCTTTTTCTGAAAAGAAATCTCTTTGGTAATTGACTTAACATAGCGAGTGTGAATATTACCCACATGACATAGCATGCAAATTGATCAATTCCCAATAAATAGAGAATGAACGGAGCAAGGATACCAATCTCAATTGTGGTAAAGGCAGTAACAATCAAACTCATTAGGAAGAAAACCTTATTAGGTTTCATTTGGATTATAGAAATAATCTTATCATCAAATGTTTCCCAATACTTTTCAAATTTCGGATTAATTTTGTAAACAACTAAAAAGAAATCATGTGAAAACATCAAAATATCAAAAACAATTAATCTTGAATAATGCTCAAATCCTTACATTTCTCGTAATCTCCCAATTTTTCATGAGCAATGGGTGATTGAACTTCGTTTGGAATATTTTCAACAGTGACTAACCTAGAATTTTCTGTATGTATCGAATGATCAGATTCATCCTCTGGTGTTTTTACATGTTGTTGATGATGCTGATGCTGATTATTGTGTTCCGATGATGATTCATCATTTGATGAAGAATTTTCAACAATATTTTCCTCATCCACAACAAGCCTTGATGTTGTTCCTTCTTCTGCTGATGATAATGTGTTGTTATTATTATTCGAATAGGAGCTTACTTCCTTTGAGTAGAAATCAGTAATTACATTAAAAACACCATCCAATGATGACGAACTTCTATGATGTGATAAATCACCACTCGAACTATGACTCAACATGATATCCCTACTATTTGCAAAATTATTATTAATATTACTACTACTATTATAATTATTATTATTAATTATTAAATTATTATCCAAGGTTAATCCCCTCGTAATTGTTTTTCTCTTCTTTTGAGGAGATTTATGATGATTAATATTTTCTTCTTGATGATGAATAAATAATTTTTCGCTTGCTTCTTCCTGTTGCTCACGATGAATCGTTGGAGTATTGTTGCTATTAATGATACTGCTATTATTATTATTAGTTGCTACTTGTTTTTGAATATTCGTGGTTACACTTCTCCTCGTAGACATGTTCCGAATATATGCTCAACTCCTTACAAACTCCTTCGTATAAATTTACAGCTTGTTGTTGAATCTAATCACTCTATTACTACTAACTCAATAGATGTCCAATAGAGAACAGCAGTTAAAAAGAAAAATCTTTTTGAAATTTGTAACGGTTATTGCAAAGCGCGCTTTTTTTTAATGTGGATGTCAAAACTATGGATGATTGGTTCAAAACAAATCCAAAACCTTTCAATCCAAATTCATTTCACTGATTCTCTCATCTCACCAACAATCTTTTCAATTCCTTATTCCTTAATCAAAAACAAAGAACATGGAAATTACTGCCAAGGAACTTCTCGCAAAAATGCGAGTGAACATTTAACTCGTCTTTTTGGCTTTGGTAATCAGATTGTCATGTTGTTCGTCATCCTTTCATCACTTAAGAAAAAGAACAAGAAATAAGATATGGGCAATAAATCATCGTCATCAACTCAACCACAGCAACAAGCACCTTCGGGATCAGGAGGAAATGGCTCAACACCACCGCCACAACAACAATCCTCTCGACCACCTGCTAAGAAGTAACAAAAGTATTACAATGAAAAATTGATAGATATTAATAATCAATTCTAGAGATGAATTCAATTTCATCATCTTGCTAATAATAAATTCAAGTTCAATCACAACATTATCTTCTCACGTTTTGAATCATCATCACTAATTAATTATTAAAAAAATGATCAATTCGGAACAGACAATGATTGATGATAATAATTTACTATCAACCACTCCACAATTTAAAATTATTTGGTTGGATGAGAATTTCATGCACTTGCAAAGTTCCATTCACAAAATTAAATGTGTTCTTTTCAATGCCAGTGTTGACCAAAGAGATTTTAATGAATCTTTCGATCTAATTGAGTTGGAGAAACATGTTAGAAATTTAATATCGAATAATAATCATGTGATGGTAATTACGAGTTATAGTAAAGGAAAGGGATGCCAGGTTTTGGAATTGTTGCAAAGATTGAAGAGAAGTAATGAGGAGCAAGTAATTTATTCATGTGTCTATAGTGGAAGTGCTTTACGAAATGTAATGCTTCAGAATTTGTGCATTTTGCAATATGGAGCTGATTTTGTTTCGTCTTTGAATAATGCGAATGCCTTGTTGGAATTGGAAAGTTTCATTGCTCAAATCTATCAGAAATCATACTATCCAAAATTAATGAAATATCTGAGCAGATTGGTATTCCAGAAAGATAATATGGAACATTTAATTTCGCCTACTAGCACTCTGGTACGATCTCACATGGTTCTTGAGGAAGAAATTGAAAGAGAAACACTCAGAGAACAAGGAAAGGAATATGATTGTAAATGGGAACACGTCCCTCTCAGAAAGATAGCTCACAATTTGCATTTGCAACAATCGGCCTGTCTTTCTCTCACTCACCGACCACTCGTTCAACAACCTCAATTCCTGGTCATGATTCAAACAGGAGCCATTAATCCACCTCACAAAATGCATCAACAGGGATTTGAAGTTGCTAAGGAATTTGTGGAAAATTATCAAACTCTAATGAAGGCAGTGGAGAGTAAACCAAAGCTGAATAGAGAACTCTTGCAAAAGATTCTGAGACCTATCAAGGTGGTTGGATGCTACATGTCGCCAAGTCATGATGGATATATCAAGAGTAAGGCCTCCAAATACAAGTATTCCAGTACTGTTCGATTGTATACTGCAACAGAGAGATTGACAATGTGTGCGTTACAAACACAAGATGATCCATTCACATGTGAATATCCTTGGGAGTCTTGCCAACCTAAATTTATATCCTTCTCTCAAGTGGGAAATACCTGTTCCACAATACTGAGAAGTGCCGAATGTCCAATTTCAATGCTCATGCCTAAAAATCCAAATACCAATCAATATCAAGATTCCTGCTCTTATTTGAGAGTTTGTTATACATGTGGAGCTGATTTGATTTTGAGAGCTGGCCTTAGAAGATTCGATTACTTTGAAGATATGTTATCACTTGTGGTTGGAAGACATGGAGTTAATGTTGAGGAGGTTATGAAGTCAATTAATGAAGCTCATAACAACATGCCAGTTTTCTATGTAGAGATAGAGAATATGCAGGAAAATGCATTAAGCTCAACTGAAGTTAGAACTTGTTTGGAGAATATTGCCAAGAATGAAGATGTTAAAAATTCTAGAATGAGATTGGAAAAAGTATTGGACCTTAGAGTTTTGGAATATATTATTAATGATTGCAAACTGTAATAATTTATGACTCAATAAAAAAACTGATTGATATTGAATTTCTCTCTGAGTTTTTGATAAATAATGAAAAATTAATTAAATATTGATAAAAAATGCAGAAATTCAAAAGCAGCTGCCTATTCACAGCCAATCCATTTAATAAATATTCCTCATCATTGGGAGGCTTATTTTTACAGCAGCATCATCATCAAAAGAATATCTTCCGAATCACCTCCTCTAACAATTTAAATAAGAATTATAGTCAGAATTTTAATCGGTTTGTTGGAGAGAACAAGCCTTTGGAAAAATCTCATCATGATGGTGCAGGAAAAGAATCATCAAATTTGGAGAAGAAATTAAATAATGGAAAGAATGTGCATATGAGAAGGGAAAATCATGCAATGTTTATGGAAAGGACAAGAGAATTGAATGAGAGGAGGGATGAAATTATACCACTGCTGGCAAGTCCATTGAAAACTGAGGAGACCATTGAGAGATTTATGAGTAATTCAAAGAGGAATTTTACATTTGTCAATGATCAGGCCAAGGTGAATGTGTTAAAGGCCAAACTCTTGGAAAAGAAGGATGAATTGATTGTTTTTGAGGGAACGTATCATAACATGTTGGAATTATATAATGGATTGAAGAGGAAAATTTCAGAATACTTGAATGAGAGAATTTCCAATGATTCGAGGCCTAAATCATTGAAGGAAAAGTATTTGGAGAATCACATTTCTAAACTCGAATTTACTGAAATAATGTCTAGATTTGGAGTATTGGGAAGAATGGTGAATGGCTCTTTGCAAGTTAATGTGAAGAAATTGCCAACTTTGGATTTGTTGGATAGACTTGGAAATTTCACAATAGAACAATCTAGGAAAATGAAACCAGAAGTGGTGAGGAGCGAAATATTCATACCAATTCATACATTGATATCTTCAATCAAGTCGATGGATCAATGGGAAAAGAAGGGAATTGAATTGGAAACTGTTGAAGATGAGAAAGTTACAATTTATCCACATTTTGGAGTTTACATGCCAACAAGGAAGGAATTATTCACATCATTAATCAAACAATCAGTCAATGAGCTTATTAATTCTAAATTGACAAATAGTAAGAAACCTAAATTGGAAATTTTGGATTTGGGCGCTGGATCTGGAGTGTTTTCAATCTATGTTTCCAAATTAATTTCAGAAAATGTTTCAGATTTGGAAATTAAATTTGTAGATATCAATCCATGGGCGTTGGAATGTTCAAAATTTAATTTTGAAAATAATTTTAAATCTTGCAATAACATTAGTGGAAAATATGTTCAAGTTGATTTGACAAGTGACAATAATCTGAATGAATCGAAAGATAGTAATTCTATTAATTTAATATTGTGCAATCCACCTTGGATATCCATAGAGAAGAAAGATTATGAACACATTCAGAATGAAAGGATGAAATTCGGTTCATTTAAAAATACAATTGATTTATCAATATTTGACACGGATTATGAATTTCTGGACCAATTTTTACATCTCCTCCAGAAATCACAAAACAAACAAACATTTGGAATGCTGTTAGTGAGTAATGTTGGACATTTGGTAGGAGTGGAACAAATTTCAATATTGCAAGCTTTGGAAAAAAAGATAATAGGAACAAACATCAAGATTGAGAAGGTGGTTACTTTGAGGAGAGAACAGGGGTTGAATCAAGAATTGTCAGTGAAAAAGTATTTGGTCAATAATCCACTTTCCTCCAAGAGGAAGAAATCTCCTCATCAAAATTTAATTCAAGATACAAAGGCCAGTGAAGAAGTTTATTGTGTAAATCTCAGGAGAATTGATTAATTTTCAAAATTAATACCTTTTTCAATAAATGATTGAACCGAGTCTCAAGTGTGAGGAATTCAATGTAAATACTCTTGTTCATCAAATTATTGCAAATTTTTGAACAAGCCTTTGAAAATCATTCTTCAATTCAAATTATCACCAAATCAGAAATATTAATTGGTTCTTTCACAAACTCTCCATTTTTGAGTGACTCATATTCATTTGGATAAGGATAGTTGATTTGTTTACATTTCACACAACAAACCTACTATTTGTGAACAGCATGAACGATTAAAATCGAATAAATAGTGGAAGCCTTCAACAGAGTTTACTCCACCCACATACAAAAAAAACAAACAATAACATGATTCACCTAAATGAATCTAACAATCATCAATACATTCATTGTATTGAATTTCATTTGAATGAACTTTTTCAAGGCTTTGAAATTTTGAAGGCTGGTACGTGGATAACTTCACCACTCTCAACTTGGATTTTTTTGAATATTACAATACCACAAGATCATTGCTTCATCATTTTCACTCAAGCATTTCATAATAAGGGTCCCTATTTATATACTCTCGAAAGAACAGCTCGAATTTGGATCTTTCCTCCAATTTTAACAGGAATTCAGTGTGAACAGCATTATAGATAATAAGCTCTTTTCTTCAGAAACTCTCTCTTCACTCCATTCTCCTTTAATCTTATCTCCCATCTCGTGTTGTGACAAAAGGCGTGTATCTTTTCAATGTCTAAAAGCTCTTTAGGAACAAGAGCTGCAAATTTTACCAACAGTGCATCCAAGGAAACATAACATCGACACTGATAAAATTTCTCCAATACTATAAAATTGTTTTTCTATCTTCTAACATCTTTACTTAAAGCTTTAAATTTCACAGAATGGTAGTGTGTTAGTGTTCAAAATGGATAAAAATTCGATGAAATTTTGAAATATTTAGATTTTCCAAATATAAATAAGATATAATTTCTTCCTTTTTTGCACTTCTAATTATTTGGACTTTCCATTTTATTGTTCCTTAATCTCCAAATAAATGTGTAAGGGTCACATTAAAAACGTGATCAGCATAATTAATAACAAAACATGTAATCAAAATTTTTAAATTTATTTGGAAGAAACAAGATTATACGAAATTCTAATAGTTTGACCTTGCTTTTTTGCCTTGCTCATTTGAAAATTTCCAATCTCTGAGAATTGATCTACATGGGTGCCAGAACAAGCACACTCCACATTTCCATACTTTACAAAACGAACATCCTGACCTGGTGGTAAATAGGTAGGAATTTCATGTTCAAACTTTTCAGAGAGTTGATTATTTACAATAAGATTATTCTCCTCTATATTCGAATAGTATGGAATGAATGATTTTACAACTGTTGAATTTTCACTTTCATCTTGCAACAGTTCAGTAATTTTTTGATTGACTTGTTCCACAAATTTTGGAATAGATTCAGGAATTTGATTACAATGGAAATATTCACAATATGGAGAATCAACAAAGTGATATCCTCTTCCAGGTTTCTATTTTTCTAAATTAGACTAATTTGAAAATCTTTCATACTCACCCATTTATATCCACACATGGCAATAGCCAAATCCAAAACATGTCCAGCACTGTGAATTTTTGTATAGATATTTCTCTTTTCCATATCAATACGACATTCAACAGATGCATTTCCATCATTCATTTGAATAATTTCACTTTCACTCAATTCAATCCCTTCAAACCATCCAAAATGATCCACCTGAATCAAATCTCCAGCCAACTTGACAAACTTTACACAAAACTTTACCATTTCTCTTCCACCCAACGAGTTAATCAGTAAAACTCCTTCATCACTTGGTTGTCCACCTCCCTGCGGATGAAAAATAGTCTTATCCAAATTAATCTTGTAAAAATCAACTCTTTCCGATGCTAAAGATTTGTTCTGTTGAATAGAAAAATTATTTTGCAAGGATTTGATGATTTTTTCATGATCGGAGTTTTGCTCGGAAGTCAATTTGGTGATGGAAAGTAGGCGAGCATTGGAGAGGCATGAAAGTTTGTGGTCTTTGAGGAAGAGCTTGTCACACATTTTTTTTTTAATTATTTTTATTATTGTGTATATTTAATAATTTTAAATAAATTTTGGCGGGAAGTTTACAATGAAAGTTCAATTTGGATAATTATATTAAGGATGAAATAGTTTAAAAAGAAAAACCAAAATATTGAATTGGAAGAATAGAAAGGAGCAATTGCAGTCGATTGAATGAGATACAACTTTAGCAATCTATTCAGCAAATCACTAATCACTTTATTCTTGAAGAAGGGTGACAGTTGTCAGGGAGATGGATTGTTGTGGTCAAATCAACCTGAGCCAACTGTCACTTTTTTCTTATTCTTTTGTCCTTTTTAGCTTTAGTCAATACGCCTATCTTAATATTTCACATAAGATATGTTTATGATATTGTTCATTAAATTCCCGTTGTGTATCATCCACAATGGTCTGCTTTAAGAAAAGTCAATTCAAATGTTGACTGAGAGTAGAGTAAATATTCGAAATTTGAAACTAAATATTGATATACTAATTTAATATCTAATTTCTATGGTACTCGCATCTGGTATACTTCTCGCTGTTGATTTAGTTTCTGAAAATCTAGGACTTTGCATGGATGATTTGGTATCTGATCCCTTTGGACTCTGAAGAACCTTCTCAATGTTGGTTTCTGCTGTACTCTCATCAATACTTTCCAATTGCTTTTCTAGCTCAAATTCAAATTTCATCTCACCAACATCCTTAAAGCTTGTTCTTCTCAAGACCATCTTATTTCGAACATTATTCATAAATTCTTCAATGTTGATGTGTTGCTCAAAGTCGAGCTCCTCATTAGGCTCAGCATGAACTCCAAATCTCAAGAGCTTATCTAGATTGTCCTTACACACTTGTTTGTACTCGAATATTTCCTTAACTCTTTTCAATGGGAGAGCTCCTTCTCTATCCTCCTTCTCACGAAGCCATTCCTCTACTTCAATATTATATTCCTCTACTTCCCTGATGAACTGTCTCTTGATAGTAGTGAGGAATCGTCCATCAAATCCTTCATTATCTTGTTGGAACAATCTCTCGTACTTGACCACAGCATCCCTTTGATCCTTGTGCATGTCAATCTTTATCTTTAAAATATCATCTGGAGCCTTTCCCTCAAAGAAGTATTCTAATTGCTTGTTGGCATTCTTCTTCTGTACAGTACCATCAGCAATACCAGACTCTGTTTCATCCAATTTGACAAACATCTTTCTCAATTGTTCAATCATGGAGAACAATTCGAAAAAGACCAACTCGGAGACATCTCCCTTGATGATCTTTGTGAATAAATAACAGTCTGTGTCCCATGTGAAATGTTCAGCTCCAAAAACAATATTATAAATCAATTCGGCCTTAATGCTTCCAATGTTACCCACTTTCATTGTTACAAAGCTTTCAAAAAAGTCGGATATAGTGTCCTTATATCTTTCTGGACCTTCTCTTTGTTTCATTCTGGCCTTCCACATATCATTAACAATACCCATGATATCCTTCTTTTTAAATCTCTTGTTTCTTATTCTTCCTCTGTGTCTTAGGTACTTTGGAACAGAAGGTCCAGTACCGAGCCCCATAAAATAATTGTTGTAAACCTTTTCTCGGACAACATCGTCTGATTTGAGGAATTCGAGTGCCTTGGCATTCTCCTGAAGTTCTTTTTGTTGCTTCTTGACAAGTATTTGTAATTTTGAAACTCTGTTAGCAAGTTGATTTACATTCTCAATGGTGTTAGAATCTAGTGGGAGTGATTCAATCCTCAAATCGTCACGGACCAAATCCCATTTTGGTCTAGGGGTTAAACTTCTCGATTGGTCCAGAATTCTCTCCTCCAAAACGGTGATATTCAGTTTGAGCTCGTTGAGTTTTTCATTCAACAGTTTGCTGATTCTCTGTTCTTGGGTAAGTTTAACTTTCGTATTTTTCAATTCTTCCTCTAGAAGGTCATTCCTCGAGAGGACTTCTTGATAATCCGCCTTTGGTACCATGTTATTTAACTTGTCCAATTCCTGCAGTGACTCGACATACAATTGCTCAATCTTGTTCTTTTCTTGAGCTACTCCTTGAAGCCCAGAGAGTTGCCTTTTAATTTCAGTCTCCTTAAGATCTCTGTATTGGATGGCATCGTTCAAAATCATACTTCTCTTAATGTCGTCATTTCTCCTCTTTTCGTACTTTCTAATGTCAACACCTAGTTTTTCAATGGTCTCCAATAAACCAGCTTCCTTTTCTCGCATTGCTAAAACCTCCTTTTCTAAATTTGAATTTTGTTGTTTTACCATTTCAATTTCTTTTGAGGTATCTCTGTAAACTTTGTGCATTTTGAGAGATTCCTCCTCCCTTTTGGTGTGATGTTGATTGAATTTATCATTTGGCATTGTTAACTTTAGTTTCAACTCTTCCACTGCAGTGGAAAATTCTTCCAAAATATGGGTCAAAATAGGTCCATAAGTTCTCGAATGGTCAATGAATATTCTAAAGCATTCCTTATAGACATTACTCTTTGCTGCAATATATTCGACCTCATTCATTATCACATTCTCCTTCTTCATTTCTCGGGTGACTAAATGCAATTCCTTTGCAATAAAATTTTCCATGGCCTCTAACAGAGGTGGTTTGAATTTCTTATTCTCGTAAGAGACCATTGAACCTAGATTGTATTTGAGACTTTTTAGCCCGTTGTCCTCCTTTGTGGTAGACATGAGCGAATGGACGTACGAGTCCTTTGCTGAAAACCCATTCCATGTCTTGAGCATGGGAGAGAGTTTTTTAGAGGATGTTCCAAAACTGCTAGCATTCAATTCTTGCCTTTCAATCCCAAATTCTTCAAATTCAGCTTCTGGTATTTCACCAAATAGTATTTTCGACAATTCCGAATCTTCTTTAACACTTTGATAATTTTCCTTAATAAGCCTCTCCTGGAATGCACTTCTCTGAGTCTTTGTCATGAAATTAGGAGAAGCTCTCTGAGAATTGTCAGCAGAATTTTGGTGTAGCGATTCATTTGGGCTAGAGCACATTTCCTCTCTTCCATAGATGTCCATTGTTTTAGCTTGGTGAGGAATTGAATTAACTCCAGGTTTTGGCAACTTTTCACAAGAGTGCCAACTTGGTTTCATCTTCCCTGAAATCGCTCCTGTTCTTTTTATACCTAGACCTTTCTTATTTAGGACTGAGGTAACTGAATTTTCAAGTACCATCTGAGGCGATTTGACTCTTCTCTCATTAACAATCTGTATCGGTTTTGAATTATCAACTTCATGATGATCCAACTTGAACCCATTCTTCTTTTTAATGTTAGGTAACTTGGAGGCAGCACCTGTATCGTGATTGAGACTAAAATCGGAATGTGAATGATGCTTACTACCCTGATGAGTTGCACTCAGTGTAGTAAGGCCACTAGTAGCGACGGTTTTCTTTTTCATCCCAGTTGGTGTTGAACTTCTTCCTGTTGATGGTTGACTTGTATTCTTGGGTGTATTCTGTGTTGATGGTGTTACAGACATCCTATCCATTGAAGCATATGGATTGGGAGGTGCAACAATTGATAGATTGCCTCTCTTTGGCCCGAGTGAAATGTTCGAGCATGATGAAGTGGGACGAGAACCACTCTCTTCCTCATTGGTATTATTGTTACCCTTATTTGTGCCTTCTTTGGGTGAAGTCACCATTGTGGAAGAGTTGTTACTGCTGGTGTGGAGGTTGTTCGGTTGTTGTGGGTTGCTTTCTTTTTGTTTGTTGTTATCGTTGTTTTCTTCTGAAGTAGATGAGATGGTCGAGAGGTTAACTTCCTCAATTGTACTATTCATATCAAAATTGCTCTTGCTATTTCTTGTTGATGAATAATTAGAGTCTTTGATTTCCTCAATAATTTCCTGAGGTTCTTCTTCAATTTCCTCCTCATCATCGTCATCATAGTCTGCATCATGTTGATCCTCTGATTCTTCGATAGTTTGTTGTAAATGTTGGTGTTCTAATTCATCCTCAGTATCTATATCCTGTTGAGATGAATATTCATCAATAGACATTGTATGATGATGTTGGTTTGGTTCCTCTCTAATTTCATTAAATCGAGGTGTTTCCTCAATCAATAAACTTCCATCCTCCGCATCCTCATCAATACTTCCAAAATCCTCCTTCAACCTCATCTTTTGATGTTCTATTGATTTCTTAAATATTAATAATGTATACTATGCAATATTGTTTGAAAAAACAGCCCAGTTACTAAGGTATTTTTCTATTTACTCTCGGATTCTTATTGTTGTGCCCGATTGATCAAAGCTCTTTGAAAGCAACAACAACAATGTGTTTGATCCTCAGCTGTGTTTTTTTTAATGCTTGAAATCGTAAATTATTTCAAACGTAACGGTTTTTTGTTTGAGTATTTTTTGAGTAAGGAGGCAAAATGTTGTTCATGTTCGGAGAACAAGTTTCCAAACAAATGGAAGAATTAGTAGAAATAGTTCTATTGAGATAATTTTCATTGTGTGGTTAATAATTGGTATGCTGTAAACAATTAATTTTGAGGAAGGTGACATTTTTCAATTCGTACCAATCTGAAAAAGTTCATTTTGTAATTGTTGCTGAAAAGACGTCAATGAATTGCAACAAGAAAATAAATTGTAGGTAATCTATTGGTATTCAATAATTATTGGATAACATTCATTATCTAGAGCTGCTTTAGACTTTCGTTGATTATTAACTCAACAAATGGCTTCAACACCAATAAAAATCTTGTAATTGAATCTCATCTATTTTTAGTCATGGTTAAAACCTTCCATTGGGAAATATTCTTCAATATTAAATATTAAATCCAATGAATATATTTAATTATCAACAAACGTAAAGTAGGGTACATACCTTCAATAGAGATAATATTTCTATTGAGGTGGTGGCTTATTTGGTTAGCAAAAAGGCTTGTTTATTGATGATGGCTTTTCGTTTTCGCGCGTCAAAAAATCCTCGCTCCCTGTACCTCAAACTTTATTTTGTAACGACTCACAACAATAAGAATCTAAAAAAAATTAGCTAACCGACAAAAAGCGTGACCATTTGATCAACTAGATCTATTCTACAAATCCGCAAAGACTTTGTCTCTTCCCCAAAACAAATAACCACATTCTTCCAATCTATTTAATTTAACTACCTATACTTCTAGTATCATTTGTAATATATTATAATATTCCAATACCTTCCCTAGTTCATTCTACAACAACAAAATCCTAACCGACAACAAAATGAAGTATATCGAATTCCAAGAATTGTGGCCTTATAACTGTCTTCTTGATGGTTATGATCTCGGCATCACCTATCTCTATGGCAAGATTGAAGTATTTTCTTGTAAGTAATTATTATTCATACAAAAAGTTTCTAATTATTTTGTGTTTCATAACAATTGTTATTCCAACTGCACACAATCAAATAATAATAACAATACATCTCTCATCACAATACAGGTAAACAAACATCTCAAGATAGAAAATTAACAAAGGAAATTGAAAGTAGAAGAAGAACTAGTAGTAATGCTTCCCTGAGTAGTTCCCTTCCAACATCAACGAACGGGACGAGATTGTCGACGTTGTCTCAATCCGTTCAAACACAACAAATGCAAATTCCAACCAAAGCCACTACAGTGGCACATCATCAAGTTGATGTTGTTTCTCCTCCAGCGTTGAGTCCTCCATGCTTTTATGACTTGACTTCACAATTCAATGATGATCCTTTTGGCAATGAAAAGAGACAAACCTACATTGACCTCATCTCTACTCTCAACAACTCGTATCCAGACTATGACTTCCGTCACGTAAAGCCTGAATTCTTTACTCAAGTCACCCTCCAAGATTCCATTCAAAATATTAACAATTCTCTCCATGAAGTATATGAGAATGAACAATTTAGCTCTCTCTGGACAAATGTTAACGAAATTATTGACCTCAACCATTGCGAAGTTTACAGTTACCTTCCTGACCAAAATTTAGATGATCCAATGGCTGATCCGTTGAGTCTTGGTGGTTCTAAACTTTGGAGTTGGAATTACTTTTTCGTGAATCGTCCATTGAAACGCTTGGTCTTCTTTACAGCCTATGGTAAGAGTAAAGCCTGTGCTTTAGAAGATGATGAAAGAGAAGGTATGATGGTTGGTGACCAATATGATGATGAAGACTATTTCTACTCCAACACTAAGAATGCCAATGTCCACTTTGACTATAACGAAAGTGACAGTGAGATGATGGATGAATTCGATGACTTGTAGACCTCTCAAGACTCGATATTTCTTGTGTGGCTGTTGGTTCAATTAACAACCTTTGGACTTGCAAGATAATGTGTGCTGTTGGTGGTGTATTTACGTTTTTGCGTGTCAGTGCTAGCGACAATTAGCATCAAATACGCCCGTTAGACAAAACCTACAAACACAGAGTCTAAAGCCATTGGATTTCCTTGTACCATATCCCCACAATGAACACACCAGTTGTACAACAATTTGGAGTGTGATGGATCCTTTTTGCAAGGGTTTTTTGCCACGTACCAAGTCCACTATCATGTAACAACAGTTAGAAGCAAAATCTCAGAGTTGTGGGTTTCGTTAAAATTGTATGTGCTGTAAGTGGGATAGGTACTATGGGAGTCTCTTGCGTCTGTCAATTATCCTCATTGATACTGGTATATATTTTACACAAATCTATTTCTACAACAATACAAATTCTGTTATCTTATATATACTCCTTGCACACTATCTTGTTTTGTTTCTGCTTGTTCTTGTAGGGTTCAATTAAAATTCTTTCCACAGTTTGCGAAAGCAAGTGGAAAGTTCGGATGTTGTGCCCTTGCAAAAAGTCCTTTTGTGATGCTCCTGTTGTTGATAAGTCAATAATTATCTTTGATGTTTGTTGTTGATAATTCAATAATTATTAATTCCAAATGATGATGAAGTAAAGTGACATCCCTTCAATAAAAAGATCGACAAACAACTGGTTGCCATGCCTCTATTGTCTCTCAGAGAAATCCTTCTCAGGACACCTATCTTTTGGTTTCTTTTCAAGTCTGTAGCTCCCAATCCTTGGGTTTGCCCTTCCTGAAAAACAATGAGGGACTTAGTTGACTACATCTTAAAAAGAAGGAACATTTGACAGGCAGTCTCCAACTGAAAAGGACGTACACATTGGTCGATACCGTGTACTCAAAAGAAGCATAGCAATTCATTGTTCAAGGGATGTAAAAAAGCAGTGATGGTGTTTGAAGAGAGTGGAAATTCTCTACAGGTACACCCCAACAGCTTAAAAACAGAATCGATGATAAAATCTTACTTGTTGTTGATACTATTATTGATGTTAATTATCAAAGTTATTATTTGAAAGATACTTACTCTTAAACTTTCTTGTGGTGGGTATTTATTAACTCTCGTACAACCCAGAGTGCTGCTGCTTTCTGATGTGCGCAGTGGTAGTAGTTTCATCTTGCCCCTAAACATCAAGATCCAGGTGTGAAACAACCCATCTTGAACAGATGGCAATAACAAGCTAGGCTCTTTAACACACAACCCTAAATATTATACTGGACATCAAGTATTCAAGTGGCTAGGAAGAAAGAGTTGCTGCTGTACAAGACCTTCTACTTGTTATTTTAAAGTCATTTCAACACTATGGAAGTGAGTTTATACGGAACAAGAACAAAACTCTCTCTCTACTATTGATAAGGAACAAAGTACCCATCTTCCTTCAAGGAGACAAAGTAGTACTATTGCTTCTTCATGATGAAAAAACCAAAATGTGCGTACATTGTCGGTTGGTTTCTAGCGAGTGCGGAGGTTGCACATTTTTTTTTTGCTTGATGTTTTTCTTCAGCATTGCCGTTGTAATGGTTGCTAAGAGTTTGTGCTTGCTGGTGCAACTTGGTTTTGGCACTTGGGGAAAAAGCACGTTTGCAATTCGATAGTGCACTTTGTTGAAACCCAATGAAAGAACAATTGGTACTAATAATAAGATTGGATGTCTGTTGAGAGTGAACTTGGTGTGTCAAACTGCAGTCATTGGTTGGGGAAATATTATTGAGATTCGAGGCAGAATTCAAAAGTGCTACCAACTACTCTGATTCCAAGCTTGTTGCATTGAACGTCAAAGTGATCGTAGCTGACCTTTGGGAAATACATTTTAGAGATTGAAAGAAATTCAATTCCATCCAATTTATCACAATCCAATCTGAATAAATTTCCATATTAAAATCAATTAAATACAAATAAATTCAATTTGAATAATTTCCTAGGAATTAAACTCACCTAAAAGAATGAGCCTTCTTTTCCTCCTTAATGGTCAAGACCCCTTCCTCCTTCTTTGACTCTAACTTGTAATGACAATATTCCAAATACAATTCATCCTTACTCCATTTTATCATTGTAAATATAAAGTAAGAGGTCAATCCAAAGTGTTGAACAGCATTCTCTGTCTCATCACTAGAAGCAGGCGACAAGGAAGCCCACTTATCTTGATCCATTCTCCTCGGAAAACGATACGTTCCATACTTATTCAACACCAAATGTTTCCTCTCATAGACACAATTCACCACTCCCTGATGACTCTCGAACGGAATCACCTCCTTGATGATCAACTTTAGAGGTGGTGATGAATGTCCCGAAACAAGTTGTCTTTGAAAAGTTTCCATTTTTTAATTTTAATTTTTCAAATTTTTGTAGTTTTTTTTGGCGCCAAAACGATAATCTTAATTGCTTTTATTTTGAGTTTCGAATGAGAAAAGTATCTTCAAATAATTGTTATCTTTTGACATATATTCCCTTACCGAATGAATTCCTTCCAATTATTAACATTATCAACCAAATCCTGATAACAACTCTTTTACTGACATATTTTATTCCTTATTCGAAAGTACCAGTAGGATCAACACTCCAATTACAATATATTTAACAATTGGATAGTTAGTAATAATAATTGTTGCATATCCTAAATAGGGCAGCATAAAGTTAACTCTTCCAATAATATGAGATCGATCTAACCATTGCAAATCAGTACCATATATTCCGTATCGATCATCGAATTGGTTGTGGTCTCCTTTTGTTAGAATTTTTACATCCTTATCCTGTATTCCACTAAAAAGATTTGTTTGAGCTTTAGTATTGTGAAGTCGAATCACTCTGTGAACGATTGGAATTTCTTTTGATTCCAATTTATAGACAATGATATCACCAATATGAATAGGTTCCGATGAAAGGGAAAGGAATAGAATATCACCCTTGTAAAATGCTGGTTCCATGCTGCCAGTCAACACAACAACAATTGGTGATTGACAATTGGAATAGATTGAAACAGATTTCCAAATTATCAAAGCACTGCAAAGAACTCCCAATAGAGAAAAGATTTGAGTGATATATTCTCTTGTGTGTTGTGATATTGTTAAGGCCATTTTTTTCAAATGAAAATCATAAAGTTTCACCACAGCTTCTATTTCTAAAAATGGAAGACACGTGTTGTCCCAAACTACCACGTCATTAGTAAAAAGGCATTTCAATTTTGAATGTAAGTAAGGTATTCATTGATAACAAGGAAAACATCAACTATGATATTGAAAATTATTTACTCTTCTTATTAATTCTTCGAAGGGATTCATCTGAATCAGATGAAGAAGGATAGGTTCTTTTAGTGTTACTTGTTGTACTGCTGATACTTGAGCTGGAAGAACTGGTAGCCATTGATGGGTTATTCAAATTCATAACAGTTGTGGAGAGTCGAGTCAAGTATTCGAAAGTTTCTTTCAAAGCTTGCGCCTTCTTCTTTTCTGCATCATTTGGTGTGGAGACCTTCTGAATGACAAGACAATAAGGACTTCTATCCTTGACAGTGTCAAATTTCAAGTATTTTTCTGCAGCTGCTTTAGCACTTAACATGACGTGATTTCTTTGTGCTTCTGCTTTTCTGTATTCGAATTTTGTTTTTACCTTGTCTCTTAAAAAGAATGCAAGAGAGTTGCAGACGTCACAATTACAGGCAAGAGATACATTCAGTGACCAATCCTGTTCTGATGATTGAGTATTTCCTATAGACATTCTCAACATGTTAATGCAATACTGAAGAATGGAATTGAACCCTGGATTTAAAAAGGCATGCTTGCCAAGCTCCTTATCTGTCCACTTGATGAGAGGAATTAGCAATTCATGAATAGAATTTTCAATCATGCCTGATTTGCCAATGATAATTGAAGTAATTGTGGAAATATCATCTTTGAAATTTGCCCTGTATAAAACTCCCAAAACTTTTTGGCATAAATTGAGAGTAATTTGAGAGATTTGCAAGCAATTAATCACACCCTTTCTGAAATATTTAGAAAGATAGAGTAGCTTGTCATCATTTTTCTGGACAGATACTTCTATAATTTGGAGGGCATGCATGATAGTGCTGGTGTTAATCATCTTGTTGCAAAATTCGACAATCTTCGACTTGATATTATCCACTCCGAGTAATGAGATGGAGGAAATAACTACAGGCATTATTACAGTAAATATTTGAGGCTGTGCGCGTCTTATTATCAGCTCAAATATTTGGTTACAGAGACCTATTTGATTTTGTGAGTGTAGGGCTTGTAAAACCTGGATTATCTGCTCAGTGCATGTTTCGATAGCGTTTGTCTGAATAATTTTCAATGAAATTCGACCAATCACTTCAGATTCAATTTTCAATTTGCTACAGGTTTCAATGAGGGAAACCAAAAAGTTAATTGACAGAATACCTGTATTAATATTATTGGTGATATTATCCAACTTTTCCAAAAACCTGCTCATAAAATCCAATGATAGTTGATCATCAGCAAGTCCTATCAAATAATTAAAAGTTTGATTGGCTCTCTTTTCTAAATCTTGCGTCTTATAGCAAACATACCCAACAAGACCAGACAAGAACTCGGTCTTTAAATTATCCAATCCAAAGTGATTGAGAATGGTATTCCATGTTGGTAAATCAAGAATTGGGATTGGAATGAGGAATTTTTTGAAAAGGTCAATATCACTCAAATTAAGAAGTATTGGAATCAATTCCAAAAGTTTTCCTTTGAAAAATTGAGATTGTGTTTGTGAAGATGCCAACTCGATACATAAATTTCTTTTTGTTGGATCTATCATGAATTCTTTGTATAGAGTTATAAATCCCTCATAGCACGTCTTGGCATCCATGTATTTGAGACTAAGGTAGTGATATTTCTTTGGAATAACAACCAGGCAATTTCTATTGGAGGAGATACTGGCAATATCGTATGGAATTGTATCAGATAATTCAATTTTGAACATTTGTGAAACTACCACACCAGTTTTAGGATTAGTCAATCTCTTCACCAGGTAGCTACTTTCATCATCGCTGTCATAAATTTCGTCATCATTTACTACCTTTCTAGTGGAGGAGGTTTTTGTTGTTCTCAATGTTGTTCTTTCAAACACTCCCAAATAAATATCAAAGAGAGAATACTGATCATTGAAAAGAGTGAAAAAATTATATAATACAAGGTCTTGTCCTTTCAATAAATCAACTCTGCAGTCTGCCTCCTTGACTGAATCAAGCAAATAGACTGCAAATGGAGACTCTTGTGGAGACCACAGAGCTTCAATCTTTTTCAAATTATCAGCCACTTTAAAAACTGTTTCCAATGATGGCTTGAATGAAGGCTTTCCATTGTAAATCAAGTTATAAACAAGGTAGAGTTTGTATCCTTCCTCAATTTTATCCTCATTTACTTGACACTCAGTAAAGTATGTAATATAGGATGGAAGATAAAATGATTGTTCCACTAAATCGTACTCTAATTGTTCATCTCTGTGAGAGAATTTGACTTTTCCTCCTGCGTAGCTGCAAGGTAATTGAACAATGAATTGAGCAAAAACATTGGAAGGAAGCTTGTTTTTCTTTGGTATATTTTCCCCTTCTTTGAAAAGTACTAGCTGATGGAGTTGGAATGAAACCTCCTTTTCAGGGCTGACTCCCAAATTACCTCTAGTGCAACTATTAACTAGTTCAGATACCATTTCATTCCATTTTGGATTGGTAATGACAAATTGATCAGCATTCAAATAATATTCATTAGAATGTTTGGCAGCTCTTTTGGCAAGTTTGATAATTTCTCTAGCCTGTTCTGGATTAGCGAGAGGGAATGTCACATGTTTTAGTGTTGGTTCCTGCTCGGGATCTTGATTAGGAATAATTAATTTGAGACCAGGCAGACCTGCTCTGGTAAGCAGTGGTCCTCCACAACAAAATGATCCAGTACAAATATCCTTTGTTATCATTCTGAATGCTGTTGCAATTCTCTTGACACTAAGGGAGGGTTTAAAGCGACCAGATGATGTGGAAACAGCATCTTGCTCCTCTAGTTCTTCATCATTTTCCTCTTCCGAAGATGTGGAAGAGTATTCGTCTTCCTCTTCGTCGTCATCTTCATCCTCATCATCTAGTTGTTCATCGTCATCTTCTGGAATTTCCTCCTCGTTTTCACTCTCCTCAATTACTAATTGTGATGGTAAAGATGAAGGTACAACCCTCACCTTTTCAACCATAACTTCATCTTCCGAATCCGAATCTATAGTGATTGCTTCTTCTAAGGTATTTGATAATCCTCGTTCCTGTTTGACCTTATATTGTGAGAGAGCAGAATCACCCAAAGTATTATTAATTTCCTGAGTGATGATACTCGCATTCTTACTTGTGACACTACTGCTGACACTGCTCGTAGGAATAGTCGATGATGGTTGTTCAAGTGTTGCTGGAATCGATCTTTCCTCTTCGGAAGTGAGGAGCACCTTCTCAGGAGAAGATTGTGTTGGTGAAGGTGGCAATGTCAATGATGGATCAATTGTAAGAGATGGTTGAAGTGACTCCATGGTTGGTTGAGTTACAAGTGATACTGGTTGAATTGACTCTATACTGTTGTGACTACCCGCTAACTTAATATTGGATAGATTTGAAGATGATAATTCACTTGTTCCCATAGAAAAGTCAAAATCTTCCATATTTAAATCATCACTTTCCTCCTGAATAATGTCTTTAGCTTGTGTTGTTGATTCAGTACTTGCTATTACTTGTGGTTGTTGAAGGAGAGTATTGTTATTACTACTTGTATTTACATTGGTCGTCTCGTTAATAACTTCCTGTTGTTGTTCGTCCAAATCAATATCTTCATCATCGTCTTGCATCTTATTGTCCATCTCGTCCATATTTACACTAATACTACTATTGTTACTTGTTAATCCTGGTTCAACTTTCACTCGTATCAGGGATGCATGTTGTGGTGCTTCTAAATCATCATCGAAACAAACACTTTCATCATCTGAATTAACAACAATTGCTTCGTCAAAGTTAACTTCTTCTTCTTCATCAGATGTTATTGCTGGTATTGTTGGTGGTGCTTGTTGATTATTGAATGGTTGTTGTACTTCCTGGACTTCATCAAAATTGATTTCTTCATCCGAAGCCTCTTCATCAAGCACTTGTGATGCTTCATAGTAATTTTCCTCCTTCTTTACTCGAATTATTTGTTGTTGTTGAACATTATTATTAGTATTGCTGCTAGTATTATTAAAGTCTATTTCCTCATCAAAGGTTTGACTATTTCCTCCCAAATCAGCGTCATCATCTAGGTTCATATCATCCGAAATTTCCTCCTCTTCATGATGAAGACTTGCTGAGGAAGAGTGAAGAGTAACGTTGCTATTCATGATGGAAGAACCGATTGTGAAAGGCTGTGGTCGAATGTAAGATGTTGATGATGAAGATGAAGAGGACGGATTATTGTTATTATTATTGATAGTATTATTAGTATTGAAGGGTTTTATTGTGTTATTATTGTTGTTGTTGTTGGAGTGTTGCTGTTGGTGAGTATTGTTGGAGTTGTTGGGCAACATTTTTTTTCTTAGTTTTTCAATCTTGGTCACGAAATTGTAAATTGAACTATTTAGTCTTGTTACAAAAATATTGAAATATTTTGTTGTCATAAAAATATCAAAATATGTGAATGATTTCAATTCATAAGAATTCACAGTAGGAAAATTTGAAATGAAAGAAAGATTACAACAATAGTTTCCAACCAATCGGAACATAAAATTAAAGATGATATTTATTTGATATTTTTCATCATCTAAAGATCATCTTCACATTATAACCCAATGACAGTAATGAAAGATAAAATATCCTACCACCAATGATTTTTTGAACCATCATCAACAACAAGACCTAAACGTTAGCGACTCCTCAGTGTCAGGTTTCAAAAAAGTACTCACCCAACAATACTGGCTTACTCCATCTTTAAAAAAATCATGTCAATTCAAATATCAAGAGTCGGTTTGATGAACTCACTCTTGTTGATTTGTATTCTTCTTGCAACATTGATGGTGAGTGGTATTGATACTACTGCTGCTGTTACTACTAGAACCAAATCAGCAGTGCCAACAATTCCCGCCAAATACTTTAAAAAATTACAAGGACCACCATCAGAGTTTTCTCTTCACGCTTATCCAAAGCCTTCCGAAGGAGCTATTCAATCAGACTTTTATTTATATGTAGAGAAGTTTAAAAAGAGTGAGAGCTTGAAGGCCTCGACAACACATCAATATGAATGGAGTGCTCGTGTTGCTGTTGATAGTTCTGAACAAGTGGATTTATCCTTACTCTCACAATATGTCAAGAGTATGCGTGTTCAAGTTTTGGATCAACATGGTACTGACATTACTTCAATGGCTAGTTTTGTTGTTGATGAGGAAAGTTTTGGAGCCTTCTCAGATGGTGAAAATAACTTGTTACCTTCAAAAACTTTGAGATTTGATGCCAACTCAATTCGTCGTTTGAAAATCAATCAAAAGAGCAAGCAAACTAGTATTGGAAGTAATTATATTGATGAATGGATTGTAAATGTTTTTGTTGATGCACCTGCTTCAGCTCCAACCTATTATGACGATGAAGCATTGCACTTGTTGGTCTATAATCAATCTCCACTTCGTGCCTATACTCAATTACAATCATATGACAATCAATTGGTTGGTGAAAATGTCATTATTGAAACTTTCATGTATGATGAAGATGTAACTCCAGTTAAGGCAATCAATGATATTCCAAGACCAATTCGTGTCTTTGCCACTGCCACTGATGAAACAATTTTGAGTGCTCAAATGGAAATCTTGTCACCAAGTGGTCAAGAAACCTCTATCAACATGCTTGATAATGGTCTTTTGGGTGATCGTATGGAAAATGATGGAATTTACTCTGCTGCTCTCAATGCTCAAGAAGCTGGTGACTATGTTATCACTGTCTCAGTCAAGGGTGTTATCAAGGGTAATGCCGTAAAGAATATCTCACGTCTCATTAATCAAGATCTCGTTGAATTTGAAAGAAGTACACACCATGTTGTTTCAATTGTTAAAAAGTCACTCGAGTTGACTCAAAATGCTGTTTTCTCATTCAATGCTCCTTCTGTTAAAACTGCTCAAATTGCTGATGTCACCTCACAAATGGTCGACGTCAAGTTGGTTGCCAAGCCATTAGATGCTGACGCTTTAGGTAAAAAGTTCAAGGCCTATGCTGAAGTTTACTCTGCCGGTGATGCTAAATCAAGTGTTCCAATTGCTTTTGTTTCAGGTATGGCCATTGCTGAAAAGTGTGACGGTACTGAATGCCCAGAAGGACTTATCTACTTGCCACTCCAAATGAGTTTGGCTTGGGTTGCTTTGGCTAGACAACAATCTAATGGAGTTATTTCTGCTCCATTCATTTTGAAGAATGTCAATATTCAAGATGTTGCCACCTCTAATATTATTACCAAAGCTGATCAAACTCTTCCTGAATTGACTAGTTGTCATATCAAGTTACCAGAACATACCTTGTACAATGCTAGACCAGTTGATATTAACTACTTTTTAAACACTCATGAAGGTATGGAAAAGTTTGATGGTGTCATTACTGAATCAATGTTGTTTGGTCCAAGACCAACTGAAATTGCCACTAAGAGCCTTACCTCTTCAACACAACACAAGGTCTTGCTTATCCATGGTTATTGTTCTGGTTATGCTCCATTCCCAAGCTCTGATTTCACCAATGCTGTCTATTTCAGTGATCATAATGCCAACAGAAACAATGATGAATTTGCCAGTATGATTTTCGAACTTGGTCAAACCTTTGATTCATTCTCAATGGTTGGTCACTCACAAGGTGGTCTTGCTTCATTGCACTTATTTGCTTATTATTGGACTCATGCTGACGTTGCTGCTGCCTCAAAGAAGACTTTGGCTGGTGAAACTAGAAGAATTATCCAATCTGTTGGTTCTCCATACAGAGGATCTGGTTTGGCTGGTGTTTTGGCTAGTATTGGTAAAGTTGTTGGAATTGGATGTGGTAAACAAACTGATTTGACCTATGATGGCGCCAGTAAGTGGCTCAGTTCTATTCCAGTTGCTGCTCGTCAAGCTCTCTATTACTCTTACACTCAATATAAGGATTGGTCTTGGTGTTCATTGCCAGCTAATGTAAGTATTTTATTTTTTAAAACTCAATTTACCAACTATGTCAATTCTAAAGGCTGTTTTGAAATTACCAAACGATGGAACCTGTGAAAAGAGTAGAGCTTCTGTTGATGGTGCAAATCACTATGACAGCAAGAAGGGATGGTGTCACACCAACAAGATGAAATACAAAGGTCAATGTGAAGACTCTGAAAGAAATGCCGTTCTTAACAAGTATGCCCAGTTGTAAATAAACAACCCATACAGATTTCTCTCCCATGACCAAATATTATCTCTTGGATTACGACTGCCATAAATAACAATATGAAATAAGGAATATAATCTTATCAAATTTGTGGAAAAGATCACTTCTCAGCCAAGTTCAAATATGGCATATGACAAATCTCTCAAGATGCACACTAACCTAGGGATTGTTTTCAAGACCTGACTCGAGTTTGAATTATTTCGCTTAATGTACCGAACTCGCAAGATCACCTCCAAAATGGTGTGTGAAAAGGTCTTTAGTGCAAATAGAAACCAAACTGGACCATTGCCCAAGGTGAATGTCGTTAATGTTACATTGGCTTGCATGTGTTTCGGTGAAGGTGAATTCAATCAATTTCCATACTATATAGTATTACACTATAACCATTGAAGAATCCAAGAATTTGATGGTTTGGGCTCTGAAGAATTCCGGCCAAAACTTTACAACCAAAGTACTTGATGCACCTTATATTTTGGTTTCTGAACATTTTCAAACAGAGCTGTTATAAAGAATCTATGGAACTCTTCAAGACTTATCCAGATGGGGCCTTTGGTATCCGGTTCTTGGTAGTTTTATTCAAACTTTCTACTCCGTTCCACTTTGGTCTTTCAAAAGTCAATATTTCACTCAAACAAATTGCCAGCTTCTTGTCAGGTGTGAGTTACACGAGTGTTAATTAAGGTTATTAGAAGTTTCTTGGATACCGAAAATGAAACACCACTTCACATTGAATAAAAATTCAATTCAAGTTACTCCATTGGTTTTATATTGTGAATGTTGATGTTGTGAATTAATTGTTGAAGGGAGTCTCTAGACCAGTAAAAGCACGAAATCGTAAAGTTTGACATTTGGCTTCTTTGGCTTCTAATAATTATACAGGGTCGGCCAACAACAAGCAAGAATAGTTAAGGTAATGTCCTTAATTGCTCACTTCCTTAATAGTATAAACACGCACCCTATGACCATTTCCAAGTTTTGATCTCTGCTTGTTAAATACCTCTCTGGATTGAGCGAAGAGTACCATTTTTCAATCTTTACCAAACTCTACAATCCATCTCTCTGTCAACTACCATCACCTCAAAAATAAAACAATGATCCACAACAAGTAATTTCTTTTATCCTGATGCCAAATGATGTTTGTAATGGTAATAGTAGAGAGCATCTATCAAAATGACCTCTTTCCATTGTTTGATGCCTCAATTCTTTAAAACAAAATGACTAGACGAATCGTTCCAGAAAATGCAGAATCCAGTTGGAAAGCAAGTCAAAAAGAAGAAGTTGAAGAGGAGGAACAATTGTTGGTCGCTGAGAAGAAGGAAAAGAGGCCTCTGATTCTTGGGATTTTACTTTCGGTTAGATTATTCTTGATTATTGTCATTATGAGTGTTGTATTATTGACGGCCTTGTCAATTTGGATAACTTCATACAAAGTCAATCAGGATCAAGCAATGGAAGCAGTTAATGTATTGATTTCGAATATTAGAGAAAAGGTTTCGAATTTCTTGAATAGTCAATTGGTACCTGCCAAGCAAGTAGCTCAGCAAATGGCCTATGATTACCATAATAAGTATGTCAAAATAGATGACAGTGCCTTGCCATATGTCTTTTCAAAAATGAGAGTTTATAACATTACACTTGCTAACTTATGTTATGGTGAAGGTGGTTTAAATGCAATGCAAGCAGTTACAGTGGACGAAACTAAGGGATCTTTCGTTTGGGCAAAGAAGAATCCTGGAGAAAATTTCCTTACATGGATTTTAGATTCAGATACTGGAGCAGTTGTAAAATCGTATGGATTGATTCTTCCTGCCTATCCAGTTGGTAAAATGGACTATTATGTTGAATCGTTGAGTTTATTCCAAAATTATCCTCAAGGTGCTTTTGGAAATGTCTATCAAGTGATTAACAGTTCAATGCAGACATTCTTCTCTGTTCCAATTTATAACACAACGAATACTACATCAAAGCAAAGACTTGGTATTTCAAAAGTCAACATTTCACTAACCTTAATAGGAAAATTCCTGGCAAGTGTTGAAGTTTTGACACGTGGGTTTGTCATTGTTTCAGAATTCAACACAGATTATGTAATTGGTTCCTCCCTTGACATTCCAGAACTTTTACTCCAAAGAATTCACTCGGTCAACATTTCCCAGCACAATGCAGGAGAAATTATGAGAAAGTTTCATGAACTTTCGGGTAAAGTTGAAACCTTCCAAACTACTCTAACCATTGGACAAACCACTTATCTTATCAGTTCTAGTGCGTATGTGTTTGAGAATATTAAATGGAGAATGACACTTGTCTTTGAGGAGAGTGAAATTATGGAAGGTATCATTGTAAGCAGTTACATCATTTTGGGAGTTACAGTTGGTGTTTGTTTATTAGGTATTTTGATAAGTGTTTTGATTGGAAATGTGGTGACGAATCCTTTCGTCCAACTCGAAAAGGATTTTAAAAAGATTGAAATGCTTGATTTGGCAAATATTAAGCCAAGATCGTCACTCTTCTCAGAAGCTGCAAATATTTATGCATGTTTAACTGCAACTGTTCAGTGGTTGAAAGATTTTAAATCTTTTCTTCCTGATTCAGTTTTGAATCAATTATCAGATTCGAATAATGATACTTGTGATAAGGATAAGGATCCTCCTGGTGATTCATCATTAAGAGAAAGTGCAAGTGCCATTAATTTATCCAATCGCAAATCTGAAACTCAATCAAGAATCAGTTCCCATCATGACAAGAAGAGAGACATGTTTAAATTGGGATTATCAGTCAAGGAATGTTGTGTTGTTAATGTCAGAATTAATAACATGAATGAGAAATATTTCTCAGATCCTGATGTACTTTCACAAACAATTTCTAAGGTTTTAACTGGAATTTCAACAATTTGTAAAACAGTTCGAGCTGATTTACAAATTAAGAGTTATGATGAATTTTTGGTGATTTTTGCTGATCGACCACAAGTTTCAAATATTGGATTGGAAACTGCATTGAAGATTGTTGCTGGAATTGGTCATTTGAATGATAATTTGACAAGAAATGGTCATGGAAAGTTGATCAATTCCATTGGCATTGCCTCTGGAAATTCACTGCAAGGAAATGTTGGAAACAAACAAACAAGATACTTTGCTCTTGTTGGCACAGTGATTGAAAGGGCAAAAGATTTGTGTTTCATGAGCTCACAATTCGAAACTCCAGTCTTGACTGATCAAATCACTTTCAAACATGGTAAACAATTTGTTTTCAGACCAGTGGATAGAGTTAAAGATAAGGATGGAAATCTCTTCACTGTTCATGAATTGGTAAAGAAGAATTTGGTTGAGAATGATGAGTGGCTCTACGAATTGGAACAAAAGAGGCAAAACTCCAAGCACAACGATTATACTCTAAGTGTGGAGAAGCTCTTTCAAGCAAGAGAGAATGATTCAATTATTCCTACAGAAGAACTCAATTCAATTCGTGAATGTTTACTCTCCTATCAAGATGAATGTCCTACTGATAAGGTGGTAAAGAGAATGGCCAACCTCTCCACCCAAACAAATGATTTCTCCAATTATCATTCAAATGTTGCAAAGATTATAAGAAGCTATTTAAATGTTGATAGACCTGTACATATTAATGAATAAAAAATTTTACTTCTCCCTAAATTGTAAAGAAGAATCGCCTACACATTATATTAAATTCTTCTCCCCACTCATTATGATCATATAAATCCAATTCTATATTGATTTCTCTCGAAATTAACAAATCGTTCATTCCACTAAATATTAATCCAATTTCACTCTTACATCTGGCCATATAAAAGAATGAGCTTGCGAGTTGTTCTTTAATGTTTTCTCCCATATCATCCGAGTCGTATCTTGTATAGATAAAATCAATATAATACTTGAAATCCAAAATGGCAAGCTCATATTTTTTCAAGTCCAGTAAAGACATGGCTCTATTTCTATACGTGTCACTGATGTCATCAGAAAATTGAATATTATTACCAAAACGATCTATACAATTAGTATACCATAGTACAGCATTTAGATGATCCTCAGCAGCAGAGTAGGCAAATCCGAGATTGTGTGAATAGTTTTGCTGAGTTTCATCCAACAAGTCTGCATTGTAAAAATCATTAATGGCCTCTTGATACTTTTCCAGAGAAATAAATGTAAATCCTCTATTATTGATAATAAAGGCATGTTGTTGTTTGAGCACCTTATAGTCACGTATTCTTGCTAGCTCTTCTGTATTTTTAGCTCTTCGAGTTAGCTTCTTCAAGTCCTCAAATTTCTTGTATTCAGGAAGAATGTACTTGTCCAGTAATTTCTGATAGGTTTCTGCCGAATCGTTCAACCTTCCCATTAGCTTTAACTGTAGAGCCTTATTGTTGTAAAGAGTAATCAAGCTACCATCCTCGTGGCAGTCATTGTTACAAATACTGGAAAATCTATTGTAAAGGCATTCTCTGTAAAATCTCTCTGACAACCACTCAGGACCTTCAAACTCTGGTTTTGTAATTCTTTCGTGAAATTCTATTGCGTAATCAATCAGTTTTACTCTGGCACTATACTTTAACTGATCACGTAGGTAAATGGAGTATAAAATTGAATTCTTATAATTTGGAAAGATCTTGACACTAATTTTGAGGCAAGTCTTTGCTAATTTGAAATAATAGGCCCGCTCAGATTCCATCATAGCAAAGCATCCATACGACCAAAATATACTCCCACTCAAAGACAGCATTGTCTCAATCAACATGTGAGATGGAAGCATTAAATAATCCACACAATTACAATCCGTCTGTTTTACCTTTTCGAATCCTTTCGTAACAATACTGTAATTTTCCTCTCCTCCAAACCTGAGTAGATGTGACTTGTACAAGTTAAAGCACTCCTTGATATCTTTACGAGCCAATTCATAAATTAATTTCCCGGAAATTCTAGCACTAATACTCTTTGTATTGTCCAATTCATCATCATCACCAAATACCAGACTCTCAAACCTCTGAACAGAGTAGGTAGTCGAGTTGTTACCAAGAGTAAAGACCAAATCGCACAAGTATAAAGCTCTCTTTTCCAAGGCCTGTATCTTTTTCACTGCCACAAAAGTCTTGTCCTCGTATTGCTCATCTAAATGTTGAAGCACGTAGGTAATGTCGCTCACTGCCGATAGACACAACCTCATGTCAGAATTCATAGTATCTTTACAGGCTGTCTTGTAGAAGGCATTTGCTCTATTCCAATAACACATGACATCTCCACAACAACATTTATGAACATCAAAATCCTCTTCGTTAAATGAAATTCCAAATCTTTGATCCAAATAATCAATATATCTCATCATTTCCACACAATCACATTCCTTTGTATCGTCTGCCACATTCTCATATCCATACAATTCATCTTTCAAATAATTGTACTCCTTTTCCAAATCCACAAATTGTTGCAAAAATCTCTCCTTCACTCTATCGCACACTTCAATAAATGCTTGTTCGAATTTTCTCTTGGTATTCTCCGAAGAGACAGGAAGTTTCTCCTTTGAATTTATCAACTTTTCAATCTTACTCAAGTAGGCAGAAGGTTCATAGCTAGTTTCTTGTTGATCATTCTTCTCTTCACCACCAAAAACATCAAAATCATCTTCCGACTCCTTTACAAGTTGAGTGAGAAGAGTTGGATTCCATGGAGGAAAAGTCTCCTTCTTCTTTTTCAAGGCATTATAATCTTCTGTTGTTATTGTTGTCGTGGTAGTTGAAGAAACTGTTGTTTCAGCTGTTGTACTATTAAAATCCTCTTCATTAGAATTGATACTAGTTGCCGATAAATCTTCTTCACTATTATTATTATTAATCATGATGATGCTATTTTTTTGCTATTCTCACGGAATGAACAAAATGATGATGAAAAATTATTATTAGGTGTGATGATGAACCTATTATTCTATTATTTTGTGAGGATGTATTATTTACAAACTAATGGAATAAATATTAATGAAGAAGATATGAGGAGGTTCTTTTTTTAAAAATTAAAACAATGAAATAAATCGTGCGCACTCATCACATAATTTTTTTGAATTTAAATTTTAAAATTGAATTATAAAACCGAATATTCCTATTAATCTTTCTCCTTTTCCACTGCCAGTTGATGAGATTGATGTTGAACATTCTGTTGTGGCTATTATGATTGCTTCAATAAATGACATTCTTGGTTCATCAAAAGGAAACCAAAAAGGTCCAACACGGCCATCCTTAAATAAGTGTTTAAATGGAGCATCTCACCTAAAGAGTCAAGGCCAATTGTGTGTTTATTGCCTTAACATGAGTTTGAAATTGCCAAAGACAGAATTCAAAACAACGGATTTCATTTTTCCCGCCAACATGGAACTCTTATTAAGGAACCATAGCTATTGCCATCGGTACCAAATCGGACAAGATCCCTCCTTAATATTTTAATGTTGTCTGACTGAAAGGAAGCATAGGATGATGATCTCTGTGGCAAGCCACTAACCTCAATCAATCAAATTCCTCAGTCCTCACAATGAGGTGAGGAGGAGTATCGACTGGTTAGTGTTCTTCCTTGCTTGTTAACAAAGAGTGCGGAAAGGATAAATTAAAGGAAATTAGCTTCTTGTTTGGAATGAGGCAAATGTCCTTCTTGATGCTCTTTGCGTTTCTTGTTTGGAATTTTTACACTCACTAACCATTTTATTAAAAAAACAAACAAGATCTGCTGCAGTGGAATTTATATGACTCAAAGTAGTGCAATACAGCAACAAGAAGTGGTGGCTAAAAGGCAAACAACAACATCATCATCTCTGAACTCCAACAACATGACTGTTGGATCCATTGAAAGTGTCAACCTTAAGCTTGACATGGACATTTCGCCAAAGAAGGTTGTAAATAGAAAAAAGTCTCCAACTAATAAGACACATGTATCATCTTCATCAATAACCATGTGGCCACATGAATCAAACTCTGTATTATCCTCTTCTGATATTTGTTCATCGAGTTCATCTCCCAGTAATACAACAACATCTAACAACAACATGGATCATCACAAGATTAAAAAGTCTCGGAAAACCATCAAGTACGAAACACATGTTTTTACATGCAATGACGAACCACTAGTAGCATCAAAAAGAAAACTTATTGCCAAGTATGATTTGTTACGAGTGCTGCATTTACCTCAAACTTTGGCAAGTCAGGTACTGGGGTGTAGTTTCTCAACATTGAAGAGAAGATTCTACGAATCGAAAGAGGACTTGGGAATTGAGAAATGGCCTCAGTTTTATCAGGAAGTGAGGCATTTACCAATATTCGAGTACATTTATCCAATGTCTCTAACATTTATTTTGAATCCTGTAAATAGACACAAAAAAACATCTTATTCAGACTTGACACCTCCGTACATTTCTGACTCTGAGGTGAGGAATCATATGGAATATCCAAACTAGCAAAGTCATGCAGATATGTGGAGAGAACAATTTTGATCTGGAGCTAAATTATTAACGTCGCTTATATCGAAAAGACCTGAGAGACGAGGTCTACAACCACTAAGTGGTAGCCTGCCTGTGGTAGGCAGAGAGGTATTAACCCAGATAATGAACCTGGATGTGACAACAGGTCCAAAACCTTTTCTTAATAATTCCAATTTTTCCAATAGTGAAAGTGGAATAGTATCTACTGTTGAGAGGTATCTAGGTACAGAAAGATCTGGAGCTAAATATCATTTATTCAACAAAATCTTTCAAACACTTGATGTTATCAGCAATAACATTTACATTTGTATCAGATTTAGGATAAAAACAGAAGAAACGAGTAGTAATATGTTCTGCTTGTGGAACGACATAGTAAGGAGAAGCAGTAGTTGGAACACCAGGTGCCTTGTTAACTTCACAAATCATAACACAACGCAAATTACTGACATTACCAAATTGAGATTTGGCCCAAGAAGTACCCATTCTTGAATAACCAAAGCTAGTAGCTGATTCTCTGGCCATGTATACCCCAGGCCCGTATGCTGCGCCAGTGGTCATGAGCTTGGTATTGGAAGCATTGACCAAACCATTTCTAAGAATGGAGTGGAAGTTTTCGATGGCTGAACCATGGAATGCCCAGTCTATAATTTTTTTAAAAATTAATTGCATAATAATACTTACAAGAACCATACTTCTTTCTGTTTTGAGAGAAGGTGGCAGCCTTTTCTGGGTTATCCATCATCATTATGTATTGATATTGAGTTTGCATTTCTTGAATTCTCTTCTTTTCGGGCATTTTTACAATAGCACTGTTCAATAGTTTTAAATATAAAAATAAACATTCCAACTTACCATCTCTTACAACTCAATAGCCATCTCAAAATTTCATAAGCCTCAGGATGTAAAAACTTTCTGAGTTCAGATTCATTTTCACAGTGATTTTTCATTTCAGCAATAGAAGGAAGTCTGTCGAGAGCTTGTACAACTGAATTAAAGTTCTTTGTGGATCCCTTTATCAAATATTCTGGGAATGGATCGAAAATGAGTTCCTTTCTACCACTGGTAGCTGCTGAATAGGCCATACTCACCATGATATCGACGACGTCTCCATTTTCTAAAATATCAGTGTGAATAGATGAGGGACAAATGACAATTGGAATGGAATTGCATACACCAAGTTCGATATACTCAAATTGGCATTTGAATTTTGTACAAATAACAGGTCTATTTTCTTGTGAAACAGGGAGCAAATCGTGGCACTCAATAGAATCATCACAACCACAACAAAAGTGATTACATGATTGTACTCTGAGTACAAGATAGGTCAACATTTCCAATATAAAGTTTGTCTTTGGTTCATGTCCTGAAACGAGAGCCTTATCGTAAGTGTACAAATTTTGTTGAATATATCCACATTCTCTCAACAATTCTTCGGCAGCCTCTGGAATAACATTGGTATAATACAAAGCAAGAGCTTTAGCTGTATGAATCTTCTTTTCCTTGAGGAATTTGCTAATAATTTCCTTTTTTTCCTTTTGAGTAGTCTTTGAACTCCATTGAGCTAATTTCAAATCTGCAGCACCAAATCTAGTTGTCTTGTCAAACTTTAATTGCTCCCATCTAAAATCAATATATTTAGTGAGAACGTGTTCCATTTGTTCAGCAAAACCACTTCTCAAGTGAGCCAACTCTGGTTTGTATTGAACTCTTGGTGATGTGTCGTGAGTTAAATAATCTGGAGCAAAGTTAATTGACATGGTAAACCAATTGTTTTGAGAATTTATACCATACTCCTTTTTCATTTCAGTAGTCATGTCATCAACAATAACATTGAGTCTGACATTGTAAATTTGACTGATAAGAGAAACAAATTTGGTATCAAAATAAGTTTTTGCATCATTAACATGGCAAGTGAGTTGATCTTGCATTTCTCCATCTTCTTCAAAATCATCAACCATGTCATCATCATCAAGGTCGAAAATCTTTTGACTATTTCCCTTTCCAGTACCAGGTGTTGGTGTTCCGACTTCATTCATCAAGTAGTCATCTCTCTTCTGGACGAGACTATCCATGAAGGTTTTGATTGTATTTTCCAAACCATTTTGTATTTCAATATATTCCTCATTTCCATCATATGTTGCACAGATCAAATCTTCGGAAACTTTAACAATATGACAAAGAAACTCTTTCAACCCGAAAAAATCAACATTAATGTCCAACTCTAACTCTCCAGGACCAAAATTGACAATACGAAACGTTCTAACAACAGGATCTTCACCCTTCTTGAACTCTCCAAGTAATTCAGAGAGACGTTCCTTTGTCAATACACTACTACTGGACATTTTTATATGTAACAAAATATAATATACTAATTTGATGATGAAGATGTTGATAATCAAGTTGTTTTGTTGTTGATCGATGACAAAACGGAAAACACCAAGAACAAGATGAGAATTTTTTTTCTTGTTGAATTTGAAGCTATTTTTATGGTGATCATTACAAGATTGAACTTGTTCCAACACGCAGAGATGTTAAATAATTTCATGATTTTGTGCTTTGTTTGAAAATATTGTGTAGCTATTAAGTGGAAGGTAAAACAAAATTCTTCTTCATAATATTTATGTCTTGTTACAGGAACATGTTGTTAAAGAGAGATCCAAAGTAGTTCCAAGCAGGACTTGTTTTTACCACTTGTTCATTTTGGATCCTCCTCAAATCGTGTTGTAAAATCAAAAAAATTACCATCACATGACGAAAAACCATAAAAGACGTGATGCCAGATAAACTATTCTACTCCCATTGGTAGATCGTTGAAATCATCATCTCCTACAACCTATTTTAAAAGTAATATTACTCATCATCATTATGATAATAATTTAAAAAACATATCACACAGTTTATTATTATTACAATTATAATAATATGAAGAGAGGCAATCACTTGTTATTCCTAGTAGCATCAATAGTAGTAGTACTTGTTCTATTATTTTGCTCATCATCCGTAGAGTCACTGAATATCGGCAGCAAGTGCAACAAGCATCACAACAACAAACATTGCAGTAAAAAGCCGTGCAACATTAAATGTTCTACCAATTTGATGAGTAAGAACGGATGCCAACTATGTAAATGTTGTCCACCCTATCTTCACACTTGTAAATTGTACTGTAAGAAGGGTTATCAAACCAACAAGTATGGTTGTCAAATCTGCCAATGCATTCCATAGGAGAATTAACACAATTTTCTATTAAGTATCCGCGCTGATTCTCAAGAAATAATTCCATAGCTTGGGAACTAACTATTACAATAAACATGCACCAATTTTGTAACAAGAGATGTCGCTACTATTCTCTGTGCTGGTAGTAACTATGTAATTTATTTATTATTAGAAGGAGAATAGGATAGAAAATAATTTGAAAAAAACAACATCAACACCTTATTACATTTTCTTCAAACTCTTTTATACAACTGCTTCTTCTTCATCATGTCCAACCCATCAATTGGCAGCAATCACACTGCCCAGAGACGTTTACTTGTACATTTAAATCATTTACTCCCTTCAAGTCAATCAGCCGATCTGATTGAATCTAACGTTGTAAGAGGATTGACATCATACAATGATGAAGGTGATCGTTACAGTAGTATTTCCTATAATTATAAACATACGTTTGATGTTAGGAAAATGACTTCATTCCTCAGTCCTAGCTTTGATAAAAAGGAAATGTATAAATTCCTTGATACACCACTCATGCTTCATAAGAGTATCAACATTACTAAGGAAGAGGCAAGAGAAGTTGCCTTGAAACAAGTTATATTCCTATGTCAATCTGGATATTTCAATGTAACAGATATGAAAAAGAATCCTGAACTGTTTCTTCAAAGAATGGAAGCTGGAATTATTGATGCCTCAATGAATGTCAAGTTGGGTGTTCAATTACTTCTCTTTGCTGGTAGTATTATGAACTTGGGTACCAAGAAACATCATGATTTATACTTGAAAAGAGCAGAAAGATGTGAATTACCTGGTGCATTTGCAATGACAGAAATTGAACATGGAAGTGAGTATTTAAATTGATATTATTTTGAATATTCTAATGTATTCTAAAGGCAATGTTAGAGAATTGAAAACCACTGCCATATTTGATGAACAAACAAATGAATTCGTCCTCAATACACCAAACAAGGGAGCTATTAAATGGTGGCTCGGAAATGCTGCTTGTCATGCTACAATGGCAACTGTTTTTGCTCGACTCATTTTGAAAGGAAAGGATTATGGTGTTCATGCTTTTCTTTGTCCAATTAGAGATCCAAAAAGTATGGAATTATTGCCAGGTGTCATTGCAGGAGATTGTGGTGATAAGATTGGATTGCATGGAGTTGATAATGGATTCCTAGAGTTTGAAAATGTCAGAATTCCATACGATAATTTATTGGATAGATTTGGTGGAATTGATTTAGAAAGCAAGTCATACAAATCTGAATTTGATAGTGCAGGAAGAAGATTTGCAGCAGTTCTTGGAGAATTAATTACTGGAAGAGTTACCATTGTAAGTGGATCATTGAATTGCAGAAGAGTTGGATGCATGATTGCCACACGTTATGCAAGTCAGAGAACTCAATTTTCTGCAGGTAAAGAATTCCCAGAACAACCAATTCTCGATTACAAATCTCACAAAACAAGATTAATGCCAATAATTGCCTCTTCTTACGTTTTTGAGTTTATTAAGAGAAATGTTGTGAAAAAGTATTGTAGATTACATTTGGAAAAGGTTTCAGATGATGAATTGCAAGAAATTCATGCCCTTTCTGCTGGTGTAAAAGCTGCAATGTCTTGGGATACTCAAACTCATTTGCAAACATTGAGAGAAATGTGTGGTGGACATGGTTATTCTGCATATAATCGTTTGGGAACTCTTCGTAATGATCACGATGTTTTGAAAACATTTGAGGGTGACAATACTGTATTAATTCAACAATTAGGTGGATATTTATTGAAAGAATTCAGCAAGCAGTTTAGTGGTGAGCTGATATCAGATTCAGTTCAGTATATTAGAAAGCAAGTTGGTGGTATGGCTCAAAGAAATCCACTCATTACCAGATTGTCAAGTAAGAAACATTTGAGAAACTCTGATTATCATTTGCAAGCTTTCGAGTATAGAACTGCAAAATTATTACAAGAGTGTGCATTGGAAATTAATGTAAACAAGAAGAAACAAGGTATTTTCCGTGCATTCGGTGAATCTCTCCCTAAATTAATTAGATTAGGTAGAGCCTATGTTGAGCAAGTTGCCTTACACGATTATTTACATGGCATTGAACAAGTTCAAGATCCAGAACTTAAACCTATTTTGAAAATGATGGGAGACTTGTATGCTTTGGATATTATTTCTAAGAATGTTGGAGACTTTATTGACCTCATCAAGAAGAACAAACTCTCAGCCATTCACGATATGGTTGAATGGTTGTGTGAAGAATTGAGAGTTCATGCTGTTTCTCTTGTTGACTCATTTGGATTTCCTGATTTTCTATTGGATGCACCAATTGCTAAGAGAGATCATGGTAATTATGTCCATCACATTCTCAATTATTCTCTTACAAGAAATAAGGGTAATTCAGATTTGATTGGTAAAATGCAAACTGATGTAGTTATGAAGAGAAAGAACGTTGCATCTGATGAAGATGTTAATCAAGTGATGGAAATAAATTTGTAAATCTTGGCACTGTATTTAAATGGGAGTTTCAAACTTTCGAATGTTTTGTAAAACTCCCTGATTCTTCTGAACTCTGACAACCTTCAGATCCAGTGTGGGCCAACCAACTCTAAAAAATATGATAAAATACAGACCAACAGTATTATTCAATGTCTGTATACCTTCAAAACATTAATATACTACCATCGTTTTTTCAATGTCCAAAATAAACTCGTTTTTTTAATGTTTACAAACTTTAGCATTGGTTGGCCCACAGTATCTAGAGCACATGTCGCTTCATCTAATAGCAAAATCTTTGTGTTGTGAAACAAACTTTTTTTACTTTTATCTGGTCAACTGCAATTTGCTTTCCTCGCTGATAGGAGTTTCACTAACGAATGAAATAAATTAAACACAAAATCAAAATCATAAGAACAAATAGAAATAAGAATAAATTTGAGTAGGGCGAAGGTAGTTTTGATCTACCGCCTCAAGGCAATGGTCAAGTGTAAATGCATGACAACCTTGCGTTTCTCCCGATTGAAACTATTCACCCTAATATATTAGAGGGAAAATTAAACGAACACTGTCAAGAAAAAATAACCACTATTTTTTATTTTGGTTCAACAATAAATATTTCAAATATATTTCTCCAAAAGACAATCGTTGATAAACCAATGGATATTACTCTGCGCTCTAAAAAATACGCAACCATTTGGCAAACGGTGAAAAATCGCATAGGTTCAACTTAATTCTCTACAAAATGACGTTGTAATATTTGCATTTAATTCAGTAATTGTAAAGTATATCGTATTTGAATTGGTGTTAAACTTGTTAATTTTCTATTGCTTAATAGTAGTGAGTTGAATAGTTGTGAAACTACCTTTAATTGCGGTGCGCACTTATTCCGACATCATTAAGAGCATTAAGGAATAAGTAAATGGTATTTATTAAAAGGTGGCCGTGCCAATACTCACTCTTTGTTAGAGGTTGTTAGATTTCAACCATTCAATGGTGTTTTCATCTTCAAGATCAATGTCTTCTTTTTCAAATTCAATAACAACAATATTTTCAAATAGTTCGGGATGATTTTTAACTTGTTCTCTTGTTGGAGTGTTGATGAACAATGCATCAAACAATTTATGATATGAACACATAATATGATCCAATGAATAAATTGTTAAATTATTACTCTTCTTTGATATTTGTAACTTTTCTTTGAGTGTGTGGGTTTGGTTCTACTTGGGTTTGGGTTGGTGGGGTTTGGGTGAGTTTTATACACTTTCATACAATAGAGTGATATTGAAATGTACCCTTTGATATTTCTGGATGGGTAGCATGATTTAGTGATGATTCCGACAATAAAAATCATATATTGTTCATATAATTATCAAGATATTGTATAATTTATTAAATATAAAGTGGGTAATATTGAATATTCTTTGTAGGAGCGGAAGCACTTATTCTTGTCAGTTGGAGTCAGTATTGTATTAAGGTTCATTTTAGGAATCTTAAAAAAATACAATAACAACTCACCTGCATCAACATCATCAAGTATATCATCTATATTGAATATAAAGCAACAGCAAGAATGTATGGAGTTGATTCAACATGATTATTGGATTGGAGAGATGGCAAAAATATTACTATTATTGTATTTGTCAAGTTGGAAGTACCCTCAGGATCATCAGCGAGGTTTCCTCTTCATCTCTTCTTGTTAGAGAGGTTTTTCATCCACAAGATGGTCATCTTCTTCATTGAAGAGGTTGCTTTATTATTAAGCACTGAGAGAAGCGTTTTTAAATTTTATTTTGATGAAATAAATCAAAATTTATTACGCACAACACATCAAGAACAACAACAGCAACATGCTGATACACCATCATCATCACTGGGTGAATTGGCCATCATTGTTGTATAATTTCTTGGAATTTATTGGATTAACAGTAAATTTTGGAATTACTCTCCTATTGAAGATGGAACATCAGCAACATCACCAAGATGATCTTCAATTGGATAGTATTGTTTTCAGAAGTGGTTTCACGCTTTTTGTGGGCTCTTTCAACATACCATCATCAGAATGGTCATCATCTTGTTGAGGGAAGATGTTCAACCTTGTTTTGGAAAGTAGAATATCTTACCACCACTCTATTCTCCTATTTTGATTGGATTGGTGGAGGTGCCACCACCTCTTCATACATTGGGTTTGGGTTGGTGGGGTTTGGGTGAGTTTTATACACTTTCATACAATAGAGTGATATTGAAATGTACCCTTTGATATTTCTGGATGGGTAGCATGATTTAGTGATGATTCCGACAATAAAAATCATATATTGTTCATATAATTATCAAGATATTGTATAATTTATTAAATATAAAGTGGGTAATATTGAATATTCTTTGTAGGAGCGGAAGCACTTATTCTTGTCAGTTGGAGTCAGTATTGTATTAAGGTTCATTTAAGGAATCTTAAAAAAATACAATAACAACTCACCTGCATCAACATCATCAAGTATATCATCTATATTGAATATAAAGCAACAGCAAGAATGTATGGAGTTGATTCAACATGATTATTGGATTGGAGAGATGGCAAAAATATTACTATTATTGTATTTGTCAAGTTGGAAGTACCCTCAGGATCATCAGCGAGGTTTCCTCTTCATCTCTTCTTGTTAGAGAGGTTTTTCATCCACAAGATGGTCATCTTCTTCAATTGAAGAGGTTGCTTTATTATTAAGCACTGAGAGAAGCGTTTTTAAATTTTATTTTGATGAAATAAATCAAAATTTATTACGCACAACACATCAAGAACAACAACAGCAACATGCTGATACACCATCATCATCACTGGGTGAAT